ACCGCTCGGACTATAGGAACGACTAGGCTGCGGCAAATCCGCTCCGTTAGATGTCAAAGTCATATCCGCATCCGCAGATTGCGGATGTGGGATACCACTTCGACATCCGCATCCAACTGTTGGATATCCGCGGACATCCAACGGATGTCCGCAAAATCCAACAATTATCCGCACTTGCATAAAATTCGCTAATTTAACTTATTCTGGCACTTCATGTGACCCTTATATAGCTGACCAAGCACTCTTTTTTCATCACATTACAGATGTATCAGTATGTTATGGTCCTTTGTGGTAAAAATACTATCTTATATATGATCTACCACTTGAAATAATATGAAATATAAATAAATTTAAGAAGAGATTCTATTCTCTTAGCCATGTGTAATAGTTTAATTCCTCAGGGATATAGTAGGTAGTGGTAATTTAATTTATTAAAGTAATAGTTTCCGTTATTTTAGTTACTATAGAAAATATATATTTTAGTGTATAAAAGTTAGTGTGGATGCTATAGAAGAAGACTATTAAAGATAAACCCGCTTAATTTACTATAATCTAACTAAATCTTCCTGAATATAAAATCTCTAAAGCTTAAAGAATTAGGAAATGTAATTCAATTAGTAGATTATAATATAAAGATATAGTGAAAACATAGTATGTTTATTAGAATTATTGGACTTAGTGATTTTAAAATCGCTCTTATATAGACATTAGTTAGATATTTCTTAGATATCCGGCGGATATTAATAATCATCCGACAAATATCTAATTTAGTATTAACCTAAATCTTCTAATCTAATCATTAACCTAGATAGAATATCCTACTAGACTACCTCATTAGTTATTCCCTATACTTAGGTAGGGAATATGATATATCGTTATTTCATATTCGAGTCGCGTCTAAGTCACGGTCGCGTAAGCTATACCTTATAGTAAGGTATCTCCCTAATCTTTCTAGCCTAGTCACTTTAGTAAGTATTCGAATTCTGTCTTTCTATTTCTCTAGCTATACTCTATACCTTACTTCCTCCCTTACCTTACCACTATACCTCGATCCTAGTACTTAGATAGTTAATACCTAGTATCTTAATATACTAAGTCTTTTATTAATTTAGATATCCTATAATTAGATAACTTTCTTAACTTCCTAAGCTAAGCAGGTCGTACTATAACCTCCTTTTCTAATTACTCTCTCCCGCCTATACGACACCGTTATACTATTCGCGCACCGGAATCACTTCGTCGTGTCGGTAAGTATCTCTAAAAGTATTAGATCCTCTTTAACGATAACCGAACCGACCCTAATATAGAGGGTTCCCGGAAGAGTTTTATTGAGTAGTAGCTAAAGACCGAATTCGGTGAGAAGGAGGACTTACAGAAGTTAATCTAATAGTAAAGTAAGTAAAAGATATCTAATATTTAGGACTGCTTTAATCAAGTCGCACATAAGAAGACTAGTAAGCCTAAGGTGATATATAGGCGCTACTAGGCTATTCTTATTTATCTAAGTTATCGTCGGGCAGGGACGTCTCCGATGAAGATATATATAAAAAGTATTATATATACGAAGCCTTCGGGCTTAAAGAAGCAAGGCATTAATTAACTTATATAGAATATAGTCTATTTCCCCCTCCGAGCTAGACCCTCTAAGCTAGGAAGCCTAACTTATACTTTATATATCTTTAGCCGCATACGCAGATATCTTCCTTATTCGATCAGTCTACCTTTTAACAAAAGATTCTTAAGTTTATAACTACTACCCGGCTTCTATTTCGGATTACCGAGTATACTAGTTTTAGAAGTCTTCTTAATTACGCTCGGATTGCAGACTCAAAGCTTAATATTCCCTCTGCCCGGATAATACGACGACTTCTTAATACATCGGTAGAAGTCTAATAGCGAGAGATACTTAATAAACTCCTAGATAGATACCGAATCTTAATTGCGCTTAATTATTAGACATCTCCATTCAAATAAGTATTTATAGTAATCACTAGTTATTTCATTAATCAAGATTAGAACTATCATAAAGTACTACTTAGGTTTAAGTATCTCTATAGATCACACACTAGTAGTAATCTAAGTAATACTATTATTTAGATTCTATAACACTATAAGATTACCGACCGAGTATTATCAATCACGACTAATAATACTATAAACAACAATACCATAATGAATAGTATCCAGGAGATAGTCTAGTCCCTTCTTCAATCTAGTACCTCAATCTTTCGAGTACCCTATATTACTTATATGATTTAGCTCTGCCTATAAGAGCTCCTTAGAAAGCTAAAGACCGTACCCGAGAATAATAAAGCCGAATCGGAGTAGTTAAGTAAGCAAAACTTAGATCTCTAGACGAAGTGTCCTACTCGTTCAATCGTAAATACCCTTAAAAAGGTTTCTTTAATTCTAGTTCACTTTTAATAAATTTAACTAATTACTACTATAGGTCCGAGGGTTTACAGTATTTATCAATATAAGCCCACAGCGCCGTGAGGCATTCCTAGGGCTACAGAAAAAGGAGCCAAAAATTGTTCCAATTCAAGATGTGCGCACACGCTAGAACTTAACTTTCTTAATGCTTACCCGTGCGCGAAAGCTTCAATCTTACTTTGATAAGTATTACACTACAAATCAATATACTCAGTTTAAGCTTAACGATAAGGAGTGGCGCTAGGTTGAGTATCTTCTATTGATTACCAAGCCTTTCTTTAACTTTACCAACGTCTTATCAAAGACTAGGGACTAGACCTCGGCAGAGTCCAAACCCGCCCATATCCAAAGCCGTCCAAACCCGTCCGTGGACGGGTTTGGGTACCCCATAGACTATCCATAGGCGGGCAGGTTAAGGGGGTGTCCGCCTACTGTCCAAACCTGCCCGTCCAAACCCGCCCACGCGGGGTAGTGGTAAGATGTATAGAGTTATGCAGTAATTTAGAGTATTTTAAGGTATTTTGGTTACAAAAAATCTAGATTATATTAGTTTAGAGTGACATGAATTCCGAAACGTAACAATTTCTATTTATTCTAACTCCCTAAGCCGCTTAGAAGGTCTAATTATCCTCCCTAATATACGCTTTCGGCTAGTCCCCTCTAGTAATAGAAGAACTACATTATCATCATCATCATCATCATCACTTCTATCACTAGTTTTATCTTCCCTTCTAACTCGAGCACTCAGTAAGGGCACCTACTAGCTAGATTCCTCAATAGTCAGCCGAGTGTCACTTAGAGTAGACACAGATTCTTCCTCTTCAGTATCACTGATCCTATCTACATAATTGTCGGACTCTAGGCGGTGACCATAAAGTCGTGGTTATACACACAAGACGATAGTGTGCATAAGGGTAAATACTCAACGTAGTGTCTGAATACACGGTTATGAGTCTATCGGTCGTGCGCACTTCTATGAAGGAGAAGTACCACGATTGTGGAAGAGTACCACTGATCTAGAAGAGAGATCACAAAGGATGATAAACTTGATTCAATTTAACTAGGTAACATAGCAGTATTTATATCACAAGAAACATAGCAAAAGATCACATGATAAATCAACAGAATCAGAGTGTTGAGAGTCTCTTGCTTAGGTAGGCAATCATATGCGAGATCGTTGAGGATCAATCTGTTAGATCTTTATAGAAGAAGATCTATATGTAGAGAGGGGTTATATGAGTGGGTCCTTCGTCATGTGACCCCACAACATCCACATGTTGACAATAATTCTCTTCCCGATCAGTATTTAATTCTTCATCCTTAGCCTCCTACTCATTTCTCGTCCTGTCCTGCTTTATGCCCTCTAGGTAAAGATCAGTGAGTTTAAACTTAGTAGAGTATATATATATTATTAGATCCTGAATACTTATCGGCTTCAGTGATCCACGACGATAGTGACAGATATCCCGTGCAGAGTTAAAGAGACGCTCTACACCTACACCGGTTACTAGGATAGAGAGAACATCGCGTGCCGTAGTTATGAGTGCTAGTAGGGATGACTCTTACTTCCTCTAGAACTTAAGCGGGTCCTCTTTTATTATACCTAAGGTATTCTAACATTAGTAGGGTTAAAAAAGCATTAGAATAAGACTAACCACTCTTAAGATATCTCTTAATCTCGTCTTCCTCACTCTCACCCTTATCCTAGTTTAGCATTACCGAAAGTTTCGAGCTTATTCTAGGTATAGTTAAATAAGTTAGTGAATAAGGACGCTTCGATACTCGAACTTAGTACGGTCGGATATAGTCATAGAAACTAGTCCGGTATCTCTTACGCTATTCATATCCATTTTCAGACCATTTAGGTCGAGAGAAGTAATTAAGCTTATACGATAGGGTAAGGATTGTGCCGATTGTATAGAGATAACCGTGGGCTTATATCGTCCTTCTATAGTAGTCCGATAGCTTCTGCTTTCCTGCCTTAAGAGCTTACCGTATTACTTATTTCTAGCTCACTTTTTTCCGTCCGAGCTAGGTTAATAACCTCTTAAGATATTTAAATAGAGTATTATAGATCTAGAAGATATTATAGATAGTAACGTCTTTAGTTTAATAGAGGGCGGTAGTGAAGTTATAGAACGGCTAGGTAATGCAAAGAAGGTAATCAATCTAGCGCCACTCCTCTCGATCTAAGAGAAGATAATCGTATCTATTCTTAGTACAGAAAAGATTATAAGCAGATCGGATACGTTTTATACGGCGAAGTATTAGAAATATTGAATTCCAGCGAGTCTTCACATCTTAGATTAGGACTAGGGCTATATCCTCTAATTAAAACTTCAAAAATACGTCACGGCGTTAAGGACTAGTATTAACAAAGACTATAAAGGCCCGGACCTTATAGCTATATAAGTAGTCTAGGTATTAAATAGCTAGGGAGAATATACCTTATTAAGTATCGAGAGAATATCCTTATTCCTACCGGCCGGACGGGGTTTAAACTCCCTCTCTATAGACTTATTACTTAGCTCTAGCTTCATATAGACTAGAAGACCCTTAAGACTTAATTAAATCATATATATAATATATAGAACTCGGACGACTAGTACACCGGTTACCTCCGCTAGGGTTTCAATCTTAGAATTTAGACTATCCATCAAGGTTTGGTTATTCGAAGCATTATCAGTGGTTATTACTAAGATTCGATGCGCAATATTATAGTCCTTAAGCCGTTTCAGAAGAACTAAGCTTAGATTTTCCCTAGAATAAGTACCTTCTAGAGGTTCAAAACCTAGTAGGAACTCTCTATAGTCCTAGTTCAGATCAATAAAATAACCAGTAATAGCCATAAAAGCCTAGGAGAATAGTAATGTCTAGCAATCAAGTGCAATTAAAAGCTTAGCTCCTTTAGGTAGTTATTTCAAGATCGATTACTATTTTTCTTACCTAGTCTGGTATATTTACCGGTAAACTATTCTTGCTAATAGGAATTAAAGAGGCCTCGGTGATACTTACGCCCGCTAAAGAAGCTTCCGGAAAAGAGGATTCTCCACAGTAAGATATAGCAGTCGAAGACTAGTAATAAAATCTAATAGATCTTCTATCTAAGCCTTCTTATCGAATAGTACTAATACTAACCGCTAGGAGGAAGGGTAGAGTTATCCCTAATATATATATTAGTAGAAGAAACTAAACTAGACTAAAGGACTCACTTATCGCTTAAATAGCTCTTTAAGACTACTAGTCTTAGCAGCCTATATAGTAAGCTTCTAGCACTTAGTCCCTTTCAAATATCGTGTTATTAGCGTCGTCCTATACCCTTTACGATTTAGATAGTCAAGGAACTAGCCACACTCCTTATATAATATACGTAGATCCCCGGTCTAGGTATACGCAACTTAATGGAACGATTTCCACCCATCTAAATAGCGTTTCCTTACATCAAAGAACTAGCTATTCTTCTCAGAAAGCTCGCTTCCATAGGATATTATAAGCCACTACTTAACAAAGTCGTCTTTATTCATTTCGGTATAGAGGACCCAGTCTTTAATAATCTCTATATAGGAGGATAGCCAAGGTAATTACTAATATTTAGTCAGAGAAATTGATATAGGGGCTGTTAGTTAACTACTAAGAAGGTCTAGATCTGGGGCAGGATCAATTAGATCTCCATAGAAAGATAAGGAATATCCCTAGGATTAGGATGTTATTTCGGATAATAGCTAAGAGAATAGCTAATATTAATCGTATAGGAAGAGAAGGGTAGGAATAATATACGAAGAAGAGAATCAATAGAGAATAAGGTATCGCGAGTTACGACCGAGTGTCTATTTACGCGTCGGATAGGGACATAGATCTCACGGATAGCGAGTAACATATCGTAATCAGGTGAATCTAGCTAGGAATCCGGGCGTTCTAATTAGCTATAATATACATATTTCCAGATAGGCAAGGTTGGACATATCTAAACCTACCTATTAATCCTAAAAATTTGTTCAAGTCTAATCCCCCAGGAGTAAGTTCCCTTATCCAAAAAAATTTCACCCTTCTATCCTCTAGCTATAAGCCTTAGGCACTAATCGACGGAATGACAAAAAGAACAGTAGAGGTAAGATAAACGATATTTACTCGAACTTTTATTATAAGATAATATAATTTTTATAATTTCCTAGTTAAATTTGAGACTTAATGTAATATTTCGCAGGGAAATAAAAAGGTAATCATTAAGAATACTATAATTATAGGAGAAGTGGCTACTAGAAGAAGTCAGAGTGAGGTTATCAATATAAAATATATATTTTTAAGTTCAACTCTGTCAAAATAGCATTCTTGTTCAAAACCTACTAACTTATATAGTAATAGGACTAGTTTTGTGAGTCTGTTAGAACTTTCTCGTAAGAATTATCAAGAATACATCATAATTTCATTATATTTCCTTTAGTAAGATAGTTTTCCTCTCGTCTAGTTATGTAGTGACTAGAACGAAGGTAAATAACAGTTTTTTATTCTACTAAATCATGGATTTTATACCCGATTTTATACAAGAGTGGGCGGGTTTGGGCAGGTTTAGTACTTAGCGTATGCGGGCTAGACTAGGCGGGACTTAGCGTAGTTAGACTTTGGACATTAAAGGGGTGTCCATGGACGGACTCTGCCGAGGTCTACTAGGGACTGCACAGTACACCATATCTTCAGCATCTACAACAGACTCTTTACCCACCTTAAAGAGGCTGAGAAGAAGTTAAGATATAAGCGTATATACTAGAAGAAAAGCATGCTCCGGGCACTTCAGCTAGCACAGAAAAAGCTCTCTAAATATTACAGTAGAACCGATAATAGTGCATATAGTACAACCTATACATTAGCAACAATTCTATACCCATCAAAGAAGCTACGATACTTCGATAATAAGGACTAGAGAGGTAGTGATATTAATTTCATGAAGCAGTATCAAGACGCATTCCGAAATAAGTTTATAACTTATCAGAAACAAGCTCAGAGGGAAGCACACCAACTAGATACCTTAGAGAAGATAGATAATATAGAGAACGAAGAGCTTACAATACTTTACGACTCGTAACAAACCACACTCCCTACTGATGAATTTAATAGCCGGCAAGATAAGGTTACGCGATATCTATCGAAAGGTAAGCCTCTTATTTATTCGATATCTACTATATCTTCTAATGAAAAGATCAGGGCTTAGTAAGGGAAATCCACGTGTTTACTAGAAAGAATATAAGCAGGAATTCCTAGTGCTTACCAGAATAGCACGAGATATTCTCTCGATCCCTGCTAGTGGAGCAGGAGTAGAGCGTTTATTCAATTATACTCGTGATATCTACCATTATCGCCGTGGGCAGCTAAAGCCAGACACAATCAAGGGTCTAATGCTCCATCACTTTTTATCTAAATTTGAGCTGAAATAGGCAGAGATCGAGATGATCAAGGAGTATCTCTTATCTAGCGAAGCTGCTATACTTAATCAAAGCCGTCTATCTCCACTATTACTTGAGTTCATAGAACCGATTAGTGATAATAAAGAGGAAGGATGCCAAGAGGAGTTACAAGAGGAGGATTCCGATAATAATATAGATAAACCGGCGATCTCTCACTCCTCAAAGCGGCCTATGGATAGTTTAGATCTAGATAATAGTGTCCTACTAGAGGAATCTACATTTAATGGTACACAGACCCGGACAGGAAGGATTCGGAAGAAGCCACGGCTACCAGACGGATTCGAGATAGGCAAGCCATAGTATAACTATATAATGCGCTGAATGAAGCAGTTAAATAGTGAACTGATTCGATATATCATTGAAAGAAATTTCTGTATCGAGAATATGTAATTAATTCGACAATATAGAACACTGGTAGTACAGAATATTACCTTAAAATCTGCATAAGATGTGTATGCTAAATCAGATCACGAGACTTGGCATGTTTGTACTGTTTTCGAATCCGCTGGATATCCGAGGATATCCAACTTTTCGAAGCCCAAATCCGCATCCAATCCGCGCGGATAGTTGGATGTCAGAATCGTATCCATATCCGCAATCTGCGGTGCGGATGCGGAGCGGATTTGGATTTTCGCGGATGCTGCCGCAGCCTAGGAACGACTAGTCCGGTATACTATCAATCATTCCTAACTATAGACTACGACTGTCACGGGCCAGTGCCCGGCATAGGTCACGTGTATCACGAGACCTTGGCATGTTGACGCGGAGAACGCGCGGAATAAACTTCCCCTCCTTAAGCTTTTTGTAAACAGCATGTTGGCCTAGTTAAATTGAATCAAGTCTTGCTTCAGCCCTTCACATTGACGTGGAGAACGCGCGGGATAAACTTCCCTTCCTTAAGCTTTTTGTAAACAGCATGTTGGCCTAGTTAGATTGAATCAAGTCTTGCTTCAGCCCTTCACAAGTATAATCTAACTATGGCGAAAATGCTAGGCCGGCTACTCCCTAGGCCGGGTCCTCTCTAGTAGACCGGGCCCTAGGCTCCTCCTTACTATAATCTGACTATAGCGAAAATACTAAATTCTTCCCGTTTACAATACGCTATTTAAGGTACCTATTGCCCTTTCCGCATTTAACTCACAGTGACCAGTCGGCTCCGCGTAACGGACTTGATAGGGGTTTGAGAGAAAGAAGTGGATCCGTATATGAAACTACCCTCAATTTTCATTCATACTCAAAGGAATTCGACTTTTCGTCGATCCAGAGATGACCAGTGGCTGCCTCCAGGAACGTTACTTAGAGTCCCAGGAGCAATACAGCCTCTAGGAGAAGTTGTTCATGTTCCCAGAGACAGACTTTACACTCCTAGGAAGCCAGTTCGAGATCCTGAGAGCTTTAACCCCCTCCTAGGAGCAAATTTGCCTATCCCAGGACCAAACAGCTTTTGAGGGCGCTCAAAAACTTCAGCTAACTGGTCAACCTAAGGATAACTGAATTCCCAGAAGTATTCCACGCAATCCCTAGACGTAGAAAGCTCATTATAGTTGCACGATACTTCCAGGGCCAGCTCTTATGTCCCCAGACCGGATATAATTGTTAACAGGGCTAGTTGCTCCTAGGAACAAACAGCGTGATCTTAGAGGCGGTGTAAATGCTCCTGATGCATGAGGGGGAATTCATGATATCGAATAAATGCGCAAACGATCTCACTAGAGAGGTTACTCCCTACCAAGGCTCTAAGGGATACAACGTATTTATTCCGGTCACAAATTACGCGTTCATTCACAACTACATTCTTTCGTACATCTGATCAAAACACATCAAGGTGCGAAAGCGGATCACGTATTAGATTATCAGACTTGTTGTGCGCTCGACCTGGGTGAAAACTTGACTCCACATACACGTTATAGCTGGCTAGTGTTCTTTGCTTGCTTTTCAGACGTCACGGATTCCCTGAGTACAGCCAGTGTTCGATCGAATATAGCAACAAGGTTCAATGTATTGTTAGTAAGCTTCGCAAAGTTCCAGAAAACCCCTCTTTGCGTTCTCGGAGGATGAATGCATGATGAACTGCTCCTGCTGAGCAGCCACGCGAATGAGAGGTTCGAACGGCATTATCCGCTTAGTGGCTTTCACAGAAACTCTCCATGAGGTGCAACTATCGGTCCCAATATCATCATGGACTACTTCCCACTGGAGGCGGACGTTTGAGTGGCCACCAGGTTCTGAGACCCGCATTTGGTTCAGCATACCAGTGACTTGTGAGTAGTCTAGCCACAGATTGTCGATAGGACCACGGATACCGTGGGTAGTGCTCCAGTTTTCCGAAAACCGAATCTTACTAGCAAATATGCCTAGAAAGTCCCCCTCGCGCACGGGGACAATAGAACAGGCGCACAAAGAGCTAGCATCTTTAGGCAGGAGAAATGTGAATGTGGACTTATCTCCCTCAGAGTCTGATACTAATTGGCAGCTGGAGGGTGCGCATAAAACTTCAGGAGAGAAAGTCTGCGGACCCTTTTCCCTGAAGCTTTCTTCTTCACTAGCGAAGGCCCATTCGTTTTTGGCATTATTCCAGGAGGACTCGTGAACTTTCAGCCTCTCTTCAACTTGGGGGTTCTCAAGATCAGACAGGCGCATGAGGTCACCTTTCGCGAGTCTAAGAGCCCGTGTTTCCAGTTGTTCGATGTGAGGTCTATGTTGGGTCTCCCACTTCATTATTTCATCCACAAGGGAGATTTCTGACGTCTTCGGATATCCCTTACAGTAGCTGTCGAATTCCTTGGTGCGGTAATAGAGGACTTTGTCAATACCAGCTTCACGCATTTGGAATAGATTTTTCCAGAAAATCCGGCATTACCGTTGGTTTTCGGCGCCCAACCCGTATCCAGCATCCTCCATGAATTTCTTGGTTGCAGCTTTTTCCGCCATTGTGAATCCGTCTGGAGGTCCCTTCGCGGACGGAAGCTTTGTATGATCGATCAATGCAGCAACCTTGAGAATGATTTTCCAGAAAATTGTTTCGTTGTATCGATTTTGCAGACCCTTCCCTGTGGCCAGAGCATTGTCTCTGCGGATGACGTCAATTGCCTTCTCATAATCATACTCCGAAATCTCATCGACATATTTCCGGATCTTGTCAGGCTTCGTTGTTGTTGGGGCACCACTCGTTCGATGCCCATATAGAGCAATAGCGAAGTTGACCCTCGCGCATTCAAACAATATTGATGACATTGCTTTCACCGTATACGCGGAGTCTGCTTGATAGGACGAGGAACTGTCGACGGGCATATCCAAGTGGTAGGTACCTTTCACATGGTCGTAGTCAGGCTAGATCAAAGACGTTAACCTTGGATCAAGTACGTGAAACAATTTTGTCAGACGGTAAAAGTGGCATACCTGTTGACTTATATTCTGACAACCCACCTCGATAGGTTCATCAGCAATTCTGTCAGGGGGGGAATTATCACCACATTTTTTTGAAATCTTCGGAATAGGCCGCATTCTTCTCTTCCGCGGTTCTGCGCCTGTAAGATCTTCATAGTTCCTTTTTGGTGCATTCAGAATCCGATAGGAGCCTCGCCCTCTGTGTGGTGAAGCCGGAGGCGTTTGTAAAGCTGAGCCGGCTGTTCGTAACGGGGAGTCTTCTGTGTTGCCGTCCTGGCTCGCCAGATGAGCCTGCAGGACTAGAATCACGGTCAATACCCATTCCACTAGCTAAGTCGAGTTTAACGTACCGTCATTATCGACTTTAGAAATCAAAGAATCAATATACTCTTCGTTGTATTCGATTCCAGAAGACGTGAATGCGTCCCGGATAGCCTGGGCTAGAAAGGCTCGGGTGGTCTCGTCCATGATCTTTGGAGAATGCGATCCGTGTGACCGTGGACGCGCCCACCTTCGGCATTATAAATACCGGCCGCGTCCTTTGCTCTGGAACTTTCGAGCAGGCTGATCGACGAGCCAAGCCCACCTGGGTGGGGCTGTTGACAGGTATAAGCCAACAATGTATCCACAACGTCCCCTTATCCGATTTAGCAGCCCTGGGGCGTAGATCCAGGCCACATTGTGAGGTGACGTCTTTTTGCGGTCTCGAAATTCAAACCGACCTCCCTAATCAGCATCTACGCTGTGTCCAGTCCACAGCTTTTATATCATATCGCACCTTCGTGTTGGCGACTTGAAAGAACGTTGGGTTGCAGGCCAGGTTGACTTGGCTGTTGAATGTGGTTGGCTAGTGGCGTGGTTGGTAGCCCGAGGAACGAAATCATCTGTTTACGGGACCCATAGGCGCAAAATTCGGAAGACAAGCAGTTGGAAAGCCTGGGGCACTCCAAACAATTAACAGGGAATGGGATGAACAGGACTGGTAGAAAAAAACATCACCCCAAGCCTACGCATAAGACCACGAGCTGAAAATGAATACCTACACTCCGGCTAGTTGAAGCAATCAGATTCGTTAGTATGGATTAAACAGCTCTGCACCTGGAAGGCGTAAGAAGGTGGAAGAAGCGAAAGGCGTTCAAGGATGAAAGTGACAGAGGACTGGTTTTTAAACGGTGACTCACCTCGAGAGGAGGTTCTAGCCCCACTTCCTCGTCGCACTGATCTGCATCACGTGCATTTCCTAATAGTCGAGGACCTCCCACTCTCGTAGCGTCGACAGCCTTCAAGGCCTTTGAGCTCATTGTGGACCCACCCCCGGGCCAGCCGCCCAAACACCAAAGGCCAACAGTCTTTGTATCTAGGTTTATGCCTTATCAGAAAACGTTGGTTTTCGGGCTATGGGATGCGGGCTAGTTTCCCATCACCTAGTGATTTCTATTTTTCCCCTCATACTGTAGCATGTCGCAGGTCAACAAGCTGTGCAACAAGATCAGAGGCCATTTACCCATGATCATCCGAAATATGCCGAAATCGAGTATTCGCAACCAGGGCGTCCGCCTCGCATGAGATATAGAGAATAACCAACATTCTTAGGAAAAAAAAATCCATCTTGCTCTTATCTACCTGTCTGCTCGTAGGTATGTTCTAGCAGATCAAGGATATGTGTCATAGTTCGCCCGTTAAGAGGAAAGTTGCAAAGGTCGCGATGAAGTGACTTCAAGCTCATATGGGAAAGCTCTCGTTAAGGGATTTTTAGCTATTGCAAAGACTTGATTGGCCCAAATTTACTCCCAGTTCCACTTTGGAGTACCATAAACTTGATCTGCCTACAATGATCTGCGCTACAGTATTATTGTACTGTATCTGCACGAAGTACTCTGTACTCCTTCAATCCTGTTGCTAATTCTGGCCGCTGATTCTGGCCGCCTCATACATTTTCAAGCTCGAAGAGACTCACGATAACATCATCACTCCCAGCATACAGCCTCTCATACTTCGCCGCTTCATCATCAATTGGTGACGCGCTGCGCACGCCGATGCCCTGAAACGATGAAGAAAGCGAGAAATATAACAACAAGTGAATGCGCACACGCTCGAACTTAATCTACCTCCCAGTCGTTTCTGTACTCGGTGTTCGACTGAGGTAAGAATATCCTCTGCGGCTCCCCGTGGGCACCGAATAAAATCGCGGCAGGCGTGTTTACGCATTGTTGCCTTAGGTCGCTACTTCAATCTATCCAACATTTTAGCCAGGGCACGAACAGGCTCGGCCACGAGGCAAATGATGATCGCTGACTTCTTCACTGACCCACTATGCCATTTCCCCGAAATTGACCGTTCTACGTATTCGAAATTCTGAATGCGCATGCCTGAAGTCTCATATTTACGAATATATTTTCAGGTTAATTCATTCACCTGCAACGCAATTTTCCCGCCGTTAAAATAAAAGTGAAGGTTAATCCGGATGGATTCGGAGATTAGACTTCAGGGGCGAGAAAGGGTAAGTCTGGTTGTATTGGGGATAGATTCTTTAGACGCTATCTTTGCTCCTTTACTGTAAGGTCATGAAGCCTGCATGGCTGCTACTGATTTTTCCGGAACCTTTGAATCTCGATATGCGCCATGAATTTATCCATCTAGTATTGACCGTTTTCTCCTGTCATTGGAACATGGCCTTGCATGCGATCTTTTGAGTTCGGGAGAGGGTTCGCCGTGACTTGCTTGAGCAGCAAACGTTGGACGAGCCCCTTTCGGCTCGGCTGCTGAACGCAGCCCGGCGTTATATCCATCGGCAGAGTTCAGCGTAAGAGACCCAAATCGACTGCTATAACGCTTCTCTGTCAAATGGTGAAGTGCTTCCTCCGTCATGGAACCAACCAGTTGCGCCGAGTTGCCCTTAGATACGGCTTTCTTGACTTCAAACAGATCAGCCAAAGTAGTCACCACCACTTGGTCGCTGTCACCGTCCGCAATGACCTCTCCGACTGCAGCCTCGATAAGGACTGCAATATGGTGGGGAATATCTGGAGCTGACATTGTGGACGTTGTGGACGTTGATACTGGAAGCACTTTGATTAGGAAAAAAAAGGACGTAGCTCAAACAATGACGATCCTTACATCCGGTTGCTGATGTTATAGAAATAAAATCGCCTGCGACCTTTCCCTCTGTCAGGGCGATCTAGCGGGAAAGTGGGTAGGAACAGAGAGTGGAGAAGTCGGAATAAGGTGGCAGAATGATGCAGGGTGCTTGTGACCCTCCCGACATTCTTGACTGTCGGCAGATGCGGCGTGGTATAAAGTATCGTCGATCACGTCTTCTATTTAGCGCTCATGTTCCATTTTTGTCTAAGTTCACATTTTAACCCTCGGAACGTCTCAGAATGGAGAGTTGATGATATAAAGCAAGATTTCCCGAACAAGTATGATGATTTTTGTAGCTATATTTATCCCCCTAAGCGCCCCAAATATAGTGTGCCAAATTTGGGACCTACATGTTCAACGCCAAATTGTACTCGTTTTCAACAAATTTCATTCGTCGCCAGCGGCGCTTATTTCGCAGTCAAAAATGACGTGGCCAGGTTAGCCCATCGCCACTAAGTACCCACTTAGCACTGGTACTAGGTACAGTTGAGGTTTCGTGTGCATGTATCGCAACGTTTCCGTCTTCGCTGCTGGCCCACGAACATCCAACCAGTGGTGATCCGAAACCGAAGGACTTGTCATAAACCCTTATTAAAAGTCTTGTAAATGGAAAGATTTCCTATTCAAGAACTTGATGCGAGTCGCCGGCGTTCAAGCTCCACGGGTGTGACGAGCTGTGAAAAGCCGTTCCGATCCATCATAGCGCCGCGAAGCGGCAGATGATGCAGATTTAGGCTGACGCCTTGTCTCAGAGCATACATTGGCGGCCATGCTAGTGAATGGCAAAGCGGCTAACCTTGGAATAAAAAGGCATTTTAAAGAGAGCAAAGGAGCCACTTGTCGACGATGTAAGCCCGCTGTTTCAATCGTTTTACACTTTTTTCATTCGAGGGGTGCTTTAAGCAGATATATCAGTAATTGAATTTGATTTTGACGGCTGAAGAAGACACCATCATGAGAGGTGTAGCTAGGATAAAACGATTCCTACGCCTGCCACGAACCCCGACCAGAGATCAGGACGGTACACCCGAGCGACTATCAAGAAAGGCCTTTCCTGCCGGGCTCAAACTGCTTTACAGCCCAAATGATGGGACAATAGAGTTAGAGTACGTTTACAACTACAGTGGGAAGCAGTCCTAATTGTCTTACCCAGCGTCATCTTTGTCCATGGCCTAACCGGCGATCGTGAAGCGACATGGACCGCCCGTGGAGCGACTGATCCTTGGCCCAAAACCCTCCTCCCAACCATGCTTCCGACAGCCCGGGTCCTCACTTTCGGATACGATGCGTATGTTGCAGACTGGAGAGGCGTAGTGTCGCAAAGTCTTATCGCTAACCATGCGTGGAATCTACTCACTTCTCTTGCATCATACCGAGAGAACGACCGCACAGTAGGGCAGACAACTATATTAGATGTGTCAATGTATTAACATACTCAGAACGAACGGCCGATCGTATTTGTATGCCATAGCTTAGGGGGACTGGTTTGCGAGGATGTACGATACCGTCTTTAGTCAAAGAGCCGCGCTAATGCCATAACAGGCCTTATTCACGTCAAAGCAACGACCGGAACCACATCTCCATAAAATTCTTCGTTCCACCCTCGGTATCATCTTTTTCGGAACACCGCACCACGGAGCAGGTCTTGCTAAATGGGCCGAAGTCGTCTCCCGATCAATCGGCCTCATCAAAAAGACGAATCCCAATATCATCGAGGTCCTAAGACGCGATTCTGAAGTGCTTGCGCGTATTCAAGACGGATTTCACACAATGGTCAAAGCGCGAAATCTGGTAGAACCGCCGCCGATTGAGGTCACTTGCTTCTATGAAGAGCTACCTGTGCTTGGATTTGGGTTAGTAGGTCAGCCAGCGCCATAGCTTTCACTAGATACTGACGCCAAAGTGCTAGGTTGTGCCACAAGATTCGGCCATCCTGCCAGGTTATATTCCTATCGGAATCCACAGCAACCATATGGATATGACGAAGTTCGCCAATGTCGATGACCCTGGATTTGTGGCTGTTTGTGGAGAGCTGCGTCGGTGGATTAGAGAAACGGTTGCAAACAAGAAACGCCAAACTAATCCAAATTCGAATCCGTCACTTGCTGAGCAGCCAAGTCTTGCAGCCAACCAGTACGGTGATAATAATCGCCAGTATAATCATTTGGGTGAAGGGGTGCAGAAGATCGTTGACGGCCATTATTTTGAGGCACACGGGAACCAGACTTTCGGTACGGTACCGCCCAAGGAGACTTCATTAGTAAGAGACCAGAACTCCTTGGCCTAGGAGGCTGGTGGTGGAAAGGCAACGCGACCACGCACCCAGTCCATCTGCTATTGTCAACCCCGTACGTCGATATATAGATATAGGATTTCTCTGCTGCCATATTTTAAGGAGAACTGGTTCGTACAGATATGCTGGAGTAAATTATCATTTATAGCACTTTTGTTCCACTGTAGTCAGAGTACTATCTCGGCACTGGGTTGGGATGGCAACGTAAGCAGCCGGTAAGCCTCTGGTTGGTTGTTTTCTGGTATCCTTTTCTCCACATTGGAGTAGCCAAGCGTGGGAAAAGAACAATGTTGGCAATACAGTACACAGGACGTTTTATAGCTCACAAGTCTCGCTGATGGATTTGAACCCGGGTTGAAGCGGACTGGGAACTATTCATAGACCTGCGACTTTATGTATGAGCAGTCGGGAATACCAGAGTATGGGTTCCGCTGGCAAATCGAGCTCTCAAAGAAAATGTATGACAAATCATCGGTCTCGGCTTGGCCCATTGGCCAGGGTTGGTTGGTACATAGGCCACCAGCTTACATAGTCCTGGCTACATAGACCGGCTAGCCTAGAGTCGTAGGTCTATGTGGGAGTCTATCTTTGCAGTTGAAATCCTTTGGAGGAATTCGCTACTGAGCATCAGGTTGTTCTAAAAGTGGCTAGGTTCCCGTTACTCTTCGCCAACTTGTCGCCGTGAGTAGAATTGTCCGGGATTTTCCTTGCCCATTACAGATCGCAACCGTATTGTTGCTATACAGTCTTACACAAATTGAGGAAAATTCTACCTGTTCGGTTTCAACGGAGATAAGGCAAGCCAGAGAATGATTGGCAGCAAGTGCCAAGACCGATGTGATTGCAATGGGCGTTTCGCCAGCACATAAAACGCAAAAGCACATTTCCCCAGCGCAAAGCGCAAAGGACGATATGTCCATGAGAGTTATCCTTCCTTACCCCAACGTCTCTGGCCGGGAAACTCGTGGGTTATGTAGGCTGGCGGGCTATAGAGGCTGGCGGGCTATGTAGCCAGGACCATGTAGGCTAGCGGTCTATGTAACCAGGACTATGTAGGCTGGCGGGTTATGTAGGCTGGCGGGATATAGAGGCTGACGGGCTATGTAGCCAGGACTATGTAGGCTAGCGCTCTATGTCATACTTGGCTCTTTCAGGCGGAGCTCGATTTGCTGGCAGAATCCATACTCTGGTACGGAGTACAAGTCCGAGGTCCACTGCTTATACATAAGATCACAGTTCTGTGAATAGTTTCCAGTTCGCCTCAATCCGGGTTAAACCCATCAGCGAAACGCCCATGCTGTTAGCCGTCTAGTGCATGGCCAACATCTTGTTACTTTTCGACTGCCATAAACTGGCGAACCGTGAGTGGGCTCCAAAGGGGTAGAAAGGAACAACGAACCAATCATATTGGTTGACTGCTATGTACTCCTTTTTCCACTTTGGAGTAGCCAAGTGTTCGCTTTCAGTAAAGCTGATTGGCCCGGCTTAAGTCCGTTCTCCTGGCGGCATACTCTTCTGGAAGGACTAAGGCGAGTCGGTCTCTGTAGAACAGGGCAACTATTTGGATAATAATTCGAAAGCCCATACGGAGCCTTCTTAATACAAAGACAAAACTAGATGTAGCGGGGCCCGAAAGGCTTTCAATGTTTGTTTATTGTGGGGTCTACGTAAAAGGCGGTTTGATCAAGCATTGGCTGTGCGTAAGTAGTTACAGCATCTGTTTAATTCATGTAATATCTAGGAAAACATTATGAACACTAAGCATCCAATCTCGTACTATTATCGAAATGCGCTAAGTAAAAGATACTTCAAATGGCGAATTCTGCCTAGTCAGTATTCTACTAGACGGCCTGGATACAATATTCACATATTGCTGACAGAGTTGGAAGTAGACTCCATAAACGAAGTGGACTTTGCGGACTGGGCGTTCGGGCCGAATGGGTTACCCAGGCTAGAGGTTCTAGCGTTCGGAGACTTTTCTTACGAGGAGCGATATCAGAAGCAACGGTTTCTGGCGCGTCGGAAACACTCGGTGCGATTGCGATTGCCTGGTCAACGTCCCGAGACCCGTAAACACATCGGCTGGATATTTTGCATTGGTGATATGAACGATCCATCTCTTGGGAGCGACGTTGGTTTGGACGGTAGCAAATTTCTTCCCGCCTGCCCCGATAGTGGTCCAATGGAGTCGCCCGATGAGTGGTGATCAGTGTCGGACACCTAAGGGTGGGCTCCTGGGCTTCCCAATGTGCCGTTGGCATCATCACAGTGTCTGCCTGACCCTGACTCCGACAGTCCCCGATTTGGCAGTTTTCTGCCCGTAGTATTGAGTACTTCCAATAGACTCGTTGCTGCTGTACGGTGCCAGTCGCCAGTAATTTGGTTATCGTCTATAGTGATCAGTCTTATTTCCGGTTCACCACCGAAGCATCCTCCGGGGCAAGTTTTTGCTTGTAGGTAGGCACAGTTGGAAATCAAGTAACTACATGGCCTTGTTTTGTTCTTCAATTTGATTATTACTATCATTTTAAGAAATAACAGTTGTCGCCACACCTGCTTAGCGTTGTGAGCCATATGGCGGTGCGGTGTTCCGGATATATATTTAACAGACTGCGGTCGGGGAGTCGATATTTACTCGATATTTACTCGCAGGGTATTCAGTTCTGATAGGACCTCTAACCTAAATTCGCAGGCGTGGCCCCATATACCCGAGAAATGGGTACGGTTTGAGGGACTACGGTGGACTGCACCAGTTTGTTGGCAATGGAGCCAGTTGAACCCCAGTTGAACCCCTGACACGTGACTTTAACCACCTTTGAACGCTGAGAGCTGTGCCAAAGGACTTTAAGGTTGACACACGCACCGATCAAGTAGTGCGAGCCGAGACTATACTGTGCCAATTTTTTCTCTGATAAAACTCCCACCACTGGCGATCAGGGTGACGATATACATGAAGATTGCCGTGGCAGACGTGCTGTAACCCCTTGACGCACTGTACAACGCGCATATCGCATCAAGGTCAGGATCAACCCTAATTTGCCAACCACATCTCACTCAGCCCAATCCTGATCTACCACTTGGATAACTTCGACGTCCATTTGGGCTTGACTCTTACGCAGGACCATGAATTTCAATCCAATAGGCTGCAATCCACCAATTGGACCGCGACCTCAATTCTTACCCCTTTGGCCCCATGGTTAGGAAAAGTAAGATTGACAAGAGTATATTTATTCACACGCTAGAGCTATAAGGTCCGACGTGCAATAAGCTCTTCTGGGAGAGGTGTATTCCTTAGGCACATGCCATCTTCCACTCCAAAAGGGGTGAGTAATTTAAACTTGGCAAACAGTCGTAGTGCGATAAAAGCGGGATGAAACTGAGGAGAAGAATATGCGTGACCAGGGTGCTTGAATTTAGGCTATCGCGTTTCTGTAGCGAGCGTTTCATAGTCAAGATGTTCAAAGCGCCCTTGGTCCATTTTCGAGCTGCAATGAATTCGTAATTTTTGTTTAGTTTTCAGCAGCCTTCAATCCCGCTGAGGCTTCCTTGATGGGATATCATGTGACTGAGAGCTTCTTTTGCTCTCAGTCCTCCCTGAGACACGCTAGCTTTGTATGGTAAAGTGGGCATTTGGGAAGCGTGTAGAGCACTCTTCCACTCAGAGGTTATCTTAGATTCTTAAGACATCTTCAATATTACTCAATTTTTGGCATATGCTGTCGCTCCTCCTATCTCCTATCTCTCATCTAAACATCCTCCTCAGTAGGCCTCTGCACGGGACCGGAAAGACCGCACCCAAGACCGCATTAGACCGCACCGCGCGGTCTTTGGTCCCAGACCTTGAGACCGCTGGGCGGTCCTACATTTTTAGGGACCGCACCACTGCGGTTTGGTGCGGTCCTGCGGTCCTGCAAACAAGCAAAACATCTTAGACCCAAGGTATGCATAATTTATGTAGAAGTCGCCTGTATTTTCGAGTATTCTGCTTTCAAATGATATTTAATTTTATATAATTCTGAGGTAGGAGTAAAGAATAATTCTTTGTTTGGTGTCTGTTGATTTCTACCGAAAAAGCGAGGATTGACTGATTTCCTTATGAATAGCTTATGTGGTTCTTGTTTCTATTAAAGATATACAAAATCCTCATCCTGTCTCAAGCGCTTTGGAACACGCCCAGATGAACGCCTCTGAGTAGTCCTCCCTTCTTCTAAGTGGCTATTATCAGGCAGGGGAACCTCATCGTCATCATCGTCAAGTTCAAATAGCTGATCCGGGGTAGCCCTTCTCTTTCCAAGCGCTCGCGCACTAGGAAGTTGGATAGTTTCGGCAGAATCTTCAGTAGTGGATAGGTCTTCCTCGTTATCACTAATTGGATCAAATTGTTCCTCTTTCTTCTGGGCGTCCTTCTGCTCTTTCTTTGCTTGCTTCTCTTGCGTAGAAAGATACTTATCAACTAGGGCAAGCTACTCTGACTCCACGTCAAATTTTATTATACACATAAACAACATCAATTCCTTGATTGTCTGCGGTTTCAGTGAGCCCCGGCGATAATGGCAGATATCACGCGCAGAGTTAAATAACCGCTCAACGCCAGAACCACTGGCTAGTGTTGTAAGGATATCTCGAGCAAGGCTTACCAGAATAGGATATTCATTTTGGTGTTCTTTCCAGAAAACGAGAGGGGTTGCTTCGATAGTACCTAGTGAGGGTGGTATAAGAGAAGGAGTATATAAGAAGAGGTATATAGATTAACTTACTACTTCTAAGATACCGTGTAAGCTCATCTAGAGCCGTCACGTTTGACTGAAGAGATACAGTAGGTCTCAGAAGGATATTAATGTCAGAGACGTCTTAAATTGTGGGCTGGAGAGTTGATGTAGACTGTGCCTCTTCGTAGCGCTACCGGTAAGGCTAAATATAAGCCTCTAGCGACTACTTATAGCGAGGCCCCCAGTGAGGTTCCCATTCAGATATTATAAAGAACTCTAGCTTGTTCCGTGGTCCTAGGATAGTCGCAATTACATAGAGATCACCAGGAATATCATCAGTCTTTCCATAATACTCTGTAAGCTTATCGCGCGCACGGTCAAGCGCGGACTTCATCACTCTCTTCCAACCAACCTTCTTTCGCGCTAGCTACACTTTCGCCTTATCAATATATATGAATAGGGCGTTATAGATACCAAAGACGTTATGGATAGTCACGTCTGTAGTTACCGAAAGAGACGAAGTGAATTTAAAGAAGGGATAAGTGATTGACAGAAGATAGTTAACTTATCGCCATTCATCTCTGTCTATCTTTACATCAGCGAGGTTAAATTAGACACAGAAGTCATCAAAGGCAGACTGCAATCGCCGGGCACGCCTAAGCATAAGGAACGTCGAATTCCATCGTGTCCGAACATCTTGTATAGGCATAAGCTTAGGCTCTTTCGTCTGAAGCCTTATAAAGCTCTCGCGGCGCTAGGGACTTTTGTTGATGTAGACTGCTACCTTCCGAACCTAGAATATAGTGCGAGTTAGTAAAGAAAGAGAGATAATAGTAAGAGATTAGAGAGAGCTAGACCTTATTCAGAGTATCCACGATCTTTCTATTCTCTTGCCGAGCTATATACCCTTTCTCGGTCCATTCAATCTCTTCCCTCTCGTTTCCTAGGTTCGCGTCCATCTGACCAAGGAGCTCCTTTAAACTGAGCTATATAACATATGCAATATATGGTATACGAATAACCGGTATACTACTAGGTAGCTATAGGGATTCGACGACCTCTTGAAGGCTACCGAGTAATGTTCCGTTATTAGATGCGTTATCAGTAGTAATAGTTAACACCCTCTCAGTAATCCGATGCTTCTTAAGAAGGTCAAGCAGGACAGTGCTTAGATAGGCCCCCGTATGTGAGCCCTATAGAGGTTCAAAGCCAAGCAAGAGCTCTCGGTAATTCCACTCTTGGTCAATGAAATAGCCCGTTATTGCCATAAAAGCTTGGCGAAATGGTGAGGTCCAGCAATCTAATGCAATAGAGAGCTTAGCACTATTAGGAAGCTTCTGTAGAAGAGTATACTGGCGTTCTTCCACGATCTCTTGAAGATGACGGCGGACTGTGGTTGCAGTTGGGATTTTGGGGAAGCAGGGAGCAAGCCGGGCCATCTCAAGAAGGGCGCGAAATTCAGGATACTTAATAAGCTGGAAGGGTAGCCGCGAGGCAGCAATAAAGGTAATTAACCTTTCCATCCAAGCTTACGGCGTAAATGATGCTTTACGAGACGACAGATATGCCTAGAAGGGGTATTTTATAAGATTAGTAATAATTAGAAAAAGGTAGACTAATTATCCATACCCCGTTCTTGATAGCCTTCCTAATATCTTGCGACTGAGTCGGTCCTCTCCGACAGGTACCTACTTACGAATAATGCCTATTCATAGTAGATGTTCCCCGGCGCTTATCGGTAGGATGGGTAAGGATATGGTCGCAATTCTTGCATATTACCTTAGGAGACCCATCCTGGATAGTAGCGACCTGGTAGAAGTGGTCCCAACATTCTGCATTACGTCTACCCTTAAAGATATTCCGTTTCATCTTACTTCCATACTCCGTCTTTAACCACTAGACGATGAAATCCTCATTCGCCATTTCTGTCTAGAGGATATAGTTTTTCCTTTTAGGAGGACCAACGCGTTCGAGTGTTTCTGGGATAACAGGAGGAATCGCCGGTCGGAGTAAGTTCACGTTAGGAGTAGAAGTTAGCGTTTCGCGCCCGTCGAGGTTAAACAGCCCATCAGATGTGAAGAAGGAGAAAGTATCTCGTGGATTATCCTCAAAAGCCGATGAGGGATACTGATCAGAGAACTGAGAGGAGGCCTGACTCTGTAACATTTTGACGAAATGAGTATAGGATAGGACGGGGGAGGTAAAGGACTTAAGGAGATACCTGCTAAAATATTTCCGTCTACTAGAAAAAGCTGAATAAAGGATTTTCTCTAGGAGAAAGCTATAGGCATAATTTAGATAGATCAAATTGAATTGTAATAGTGATTAGGCAGTAGGCTCCACTTTACTACAATCCGATAGGATAAGGGCTACGAAGACCGCAGAAGACCGCATAGAACCGCAGGAAAAACCGCGATAGACCGCATAGAGGGCTGCAAAGACCGCAGAAGACCGCATAGACAGCTAGTAGGAAATACTATGATTGACCGCAGAGGACCGCAGAGAACCATGAGGAGGACCGCACAGGACCGAAAAGGACCGCTAGAAGGCCTATATAATAGTATAATCCTCCTTTTCTGTCTAGGTCTACACTTCATATCAGAGAAACCAATTTTGAAAAGAGATTATTATGATATGTTAGTAGTAGAATATAGAATTTCAAGATAAATAGTTAACTAGAGAATCTAAGCTCTCTGATAATACCCTTAATACCTATTTTAGCTGTATGTAGGGGGTTATGTACACTCAACGAAGAAGTCTCAGATGAAGATAGGGTCAGGTACTGATATCGAAATATATATTTCTTACCTCATACACCTAGCCAGCAATAATTATTACTAAACCTCTCTATTAGAACTTAGAAATATACTAGTACTGGCAGGTCTAGGTATTTTAAATAGTAGATTTTCTATATACGAGTATATTTCATCTGTTTTCATAGTGGCTGATGCTGAAATACAGTAAATGTTTATGAAGGGACCAAAACAGTGTTTAATAACAGTAATTAAATGGGATGAATCATCAATTTATGTAGCCGAAAAGAGAAGGTCTTGGTAGAATTATGCAATTGCGGTTCACCGTGGTGAAGACCGCAAGGGACCGCGGTTCACTATGGTGCGGTCTCAACCCCCGAATTCGAGACCGCAAGACCGTGCGGTCCGGTCCGCGGTCCTCGACCTAAGGACCAAGACCGCACCATGCAGAGGCCTACTCCTCAGAGATAACTTCTGCCTACAGCCTGCTTAAAGTAGCGCAAGCAAGATCTGCCAAGTAAGTTGAGCTGGTCAAAAGTAGAAGTCTCTCCGTTCGACACCGCTATCGCCACCAACGCTGCCAGAATACCAAAAGTCATTTTACGCGAGGTCAGGATCCAGCGCTTCATCGTATTCACCCACCAAAATCTGGACGAGTACGTCTTGATAAAGTCACTCGGCCGGGGAATCAAGGTTTCTTTCCAGTAAGTCGAAGCATATCCAGGCCAGGATGCAGAATTTCGCCCCATCTTGTTGATGTACCAGTTGGAACAACCGGCCGAGAAGACAGTTCCTTTCAACTGATGTTGAATATCACTGGCCCACTGATTTTCAGCTGGAGCTTTGATTTCCAGAGTGGATAGCTTCTTGTCAATGACTGGTGCGATCATAGTCCTGGCAATGTACTCAACCTGTACTTCTGACGCATACAGGACGGAATTGTGTGCTGGGAAAGTGTTCGGGCCGAACCTGTTCATTCTGAGTCAGCAATCGAAAGCAAAAAATGAGGAATTTGTCGGGATAACCAACAGCATAGCGAAATTGGGGAAGTTGTGCACGAATGTCCCCATGTATGCTTGGGCGCCGCGGTTCTCCTTCCACTGCTGCGCGAGGCTTCTTCCATTGGCACCAAATACTTCCATGGGTACCAGGAATTGCTGCACATCGAAGCCCGTCGCTAGCACAATAACGTCGAAATCTGTTTTTGCCCCATCGGAGCTGATGATACCAGTCTCGTCAAGCGCCTTGATACCTAGCGGAACTAGATCGAGGTTTGGGTTGTGCAGGCTTTTGAGGTAGTCTGGGTCGAAAATCCGGCGCTTACAGCCTGTGCACAAACTATTAGCTGTCTGCAGTCGACCAGGATGATATTCAGTTCAATTACCTAGAGGAAAATCGGGGATCAGGAAATCTTGGTACTCTTTCGGTGCTTGTTGCTTGATGTATTGCCGAGCGTTATCCTCCGTCTGGGCACGCAGTCTTGCAGCATGGGCGCCGGGCATATAAGTAGCAACCAGATTGTCATTGGCCAGGAAAATTCGGAGTCGGATGAATCTTTCCCAAAGAGGCACGTAATGTAGACACCATTTTTCGAACGCGGTGAACATGCGATTCGGCCGCTCGTGATACCACTGCGCGCTTCGAGCATATTGCTTGATGTATGCGACATCTTTCACGACAGCGGGAACCACTTGAGCCGCACTGCATCCATTCCCGATCACAGCCATTCGCTTTCCCCGATAGTCGTAGTTGTGATTCCAACGAGCGGTGTGAAAGATCTCCCCCTGGAATTTTTCCATACCGGGAAATTTGATGTCGCGCGGCTGGGAGATGCCGCCTACTGCAGAGACAAAAATTGTGGCATTTCTCGTATAGACGATGCCTGTGAGGTTGTCTCTCAACTGGACAGTCCAGAACCCATTCTCGTCCCATGATGCCGAGACGCACTCGATATCAAATTGCATGTGCTTTCTCAGGTCGAACTTGTCGACCGTGGATTGGATGTCTGAGATGAGAATGAGCGACTCTTGTGTCTTGCCAACCGGTCCGTGAATACTTACATTCGAGAATCTCTGGACCCTCACATAACTCCTTAGACCAGTTAGGGTTCTGATTGAAAGAGAACGAGTACAAAATTGTCGGAACGTCGCATCCACTAGGCATTTATCAGCATTGAGATCATCACGGAGGCGAAGGAACATACACGCCGGGGTACGTGTTGGAACGCCATGTTCCTCCCGGCCCCGAGGCCTTGTCATAGATCTGAAGCTGTCAGCGCGCGCAGGCGAACATGTTCATCCTGTGTACGTACCGTAAAATCCCGAAAACCGAGTTTGCATTTCAAGGTGTAAGCTAACGCAATTCCCGACGGGCCTGCGCCAATGATGATGATCTCTGGATCAGACATGGCGGTTCAAGCAGCCAGCCAGACAGATATGACTGGAGATGGCTTAATTTGAGGCTATCGTCGGGAGGTCTTAAAGTATTCTCAGCATGCTTTGTCATGTCAATATGACAATTTCGATGGAGAGACCGAGGCATAAATCAATATCCCGGGTAGGGTAATTGCACTTTGTCAGAACAGTGCCGGTGGACCTCCGCGGGTTTCAACTCCCGTGGAAGGGCGCCGACCCACAGCGCCCAGTCACCTTCTTTTCGTCAACAACGGTACATGCAGATCGGAATCCAAGTACGAGGGATTGATGCTATTCGTACTCGATTCTAATTCCGTCCTCCTTTCACCTTGGAAATAGTAAATGAACTACACATCCATATCTCCAGGCCAACTCGAATTCACATGGGAATCGGGGTTAGAATGACTTACACACTACACTTGCGTACTCTGGTCGAGAGATACTTGCAAAACAGGTGGATGGGAGATTGATACGGGAGATCAAAAGAATGGAAATAAATGCAGGAATGCACAAGAATTGGGAACCTGAGGCCTCTATAGCCCCAACAATACATGAACTTGAGAATAGGGATTTGGTGAACAACCATTTATCGTGGAACACCCCCATGTTACGAAAACAGCCGTCTCTGCAACACCCGTTGTTGTTCAATTGTTGCCAATATACTCAAATTTATTCATAGTATTTCTGTGCCTTGATTAAACCATCTGCCACCGAGAAATCGTGTCCGAAAATGAGAGTCGCCGAGAAGGTTTTTTGAAGCCTTCGGATAAACTTCCCGCTGTCTACCCAGCTTCGATAATCACGAAGCAGCCATCCGTGAGCATGGTTTTGCTCAAAATTCTCTTTGATATGGTACTGATCGGTAGTCCAGATGAAAGTACCGTTTTTGCTTAGGTTTATTTGCAGGATGCAAAGACCTGGGGTGTGTCCAGGGCAGTGATAAAGTGTCAACCCCGTGGCGAGATCGAGTTGAGAGTCGTTGAATGTCTGCCAATTCAGGCATCCATCGATATCGAGATATTCGCCACTAACGCTTGTTAGAATAGAATACTCAGCTCGTTGAAAAGAAAAAAAAAAGGCTCACAGATAGAGGCCGCCATCAGAATTTGTACCAGCGGCCCAGCAGGCGTGCTTGAACTCCTCTTCGTGAACATAGATTGGGACTCCCGTATTGCGGAAATACTCGAGTCCTCCAGCGTGGTCCAAATGGAGATGGCCCATTATTATCGCCTTTACATCATCAATTGAGTTGCCGGTTGCCTCGATCGCCGCAGGGAGCCGGTGCGCGGCACCATACTGAATTCGCGGGAATAGATCGAGAGCTTCATGACCCCACTTCACGATCTGATTCAGAAAATACCAATGTTGATGGAACGGTGTATGAGTGACAGACCTTCGTAATGTCATCGGCACAACCTGTTTCGAACAGAACGAGGCCCATTTCGGGATGCTCGATCAAACCCGCAATTATCATGAGGTCCCGCCGCTTGTTTTGGGGCGACGGATTGCTGACGGAACTACTGTTGACTCCTAAGAGAAGCCTCCAGAATGAAGATTTGGTCTGTCAGTACTTCGCTTCAAAACTATGCGAGTAGTACTAACCAACCCTCATCTACATTGAGGCTTCCTAGATTCAAGATATGCATTTTCGTTCCCTCCGGACACGCGTAGGCCGGAATGGATGCTTTGACCAATTGATGCACCGAGCTATTCATGTTGGGTGGATGGTCGAGTCGAGGCCAGATACACGTGCAAATATTCGGTTCTTTGCGTACTTTTTGAATGATAGATATATTGTTCTCGAGCCTGTCGCAAAAATCCCACTAAGGCTGGTGGAGAGGTGGAACACTGCGTACACTCCGGCCCGCATTGACGCAGAATGACACCCAGGCACTGAGTCATGGCCGATGGTACTGTACCGTATTGTACTGTCACGTAATGTATTGCAGAACTCCCCAGTTACCCCAGCTTCCCCGCGTTGGACTCGCCCCAACTTTTTTTGCATTCAAACGAATCGTCCTGCGTTGATCAGAGTGGATGGGGGCGCGTCTGCCCCTTCAATTCCGTCAACTTGCTGTTCTGTGGCCTCCCCTCCAACATCATTTTCACACAGCATGGATGAAGGAACAACTGGCCCCCAGCTCGAACTAGATATGAGAGCACGAAAAACAAAACACATCACGCGGGCCTGTGTCGGGTGCAGAAAGAGGAAGACAAAATGCGATGGGGCCAAGCCGCGATGTGCCAACTGCGCGCTCTACCAGCAGGCTTGCACGTTCTCCCCCACGATCGACAAGCGCAAAATGGCCTCGAAAGAAAGAGTATCGATGATGGTGGCATATATCCAGGACCTCGAAGCCTTGGTCATTACCAATGGTCTTGACCTCCCAAGCAGTCGACCGGACATCCTTTTACCACCGGTTGCTCCCAGCGCACCCGCCGATATCCAACCGCGTGAGAGCACCAAGGCTTTTCCAACGTGGCCGGCCAGCGAGGATCAAGCACAAATGCTCGGAGATCGGTCCTCCGTGCCTTCAACTGAGGACTCACCAGCTACACATTGCGGCCTTTCGGTGTCTACCGAATCATCATCCGTATTAAATACCCTCTCCGACCGTATCGGATCGCTGCAAGTGGCAGAAGACGGCCAGTTGCGCTTTTTCGGACCGACTTCAAATCTACATATCTCACATGTTGGACCGTTTCCATTGTTCAATTCCAACATCCGATCCGTGCATCGAACCGAGGAACTCGTTTTAAAGGCGGCAGGTGTGGATCACCACGTTGACGAAGAGCTGGAGGATCACCTCACCAAATTATACTTCGCCTGGGAAAATCCCAACATTCCTATTGTGGATGAAAGAACGTACTACGAAGAGAAGATGCGGTATCGGAAGCTCGATCAAGACAGCCATCGATATTCCGAAGTATTGATGAATGCAATGTATGTGTCTGCTAATGGATGCTGAACCGGGAATTTCACCAAGAACTAATCAAAACAAACCAGGTGTGCGATAGGCGCCGCCTTGACTTCTCGCTATCGGCCCGATCTTCCAGAGTCCTTGGTGGACTTCTTTGCGACAAGAGCAAAGGCCCTTTTGGAAGTAGAAATGGACTCTCCGACTTTGAGCACTGTTCAGTCCCTTGGAATCTTGAGTGGGGTAGAAGCCCTTCTCACAAGAGACGCTCGGGGTTGGCTTTATAGCGGTATACTTGGACTCTAGTCTTTCACAGCAAGGATATCTACTGATCTGAGAACGAGCTCAGGAATGGCTATGCGGCTCGCAATTGACCTCGGCTTGCACGTAGATCCTACACCTTTCGTCGAACGAGGCGTCATGGACATGAACGAAGTAAGGTTGCGCAGTTACGTATTCTGGGGGACTTACAGCCACGAAAGGTACTTTTCCACTTTTCATGATCATGGTTTACTAGTCTAATTAACAGGGTCCAGAATGTGGAGCCTGTATGTAGGCAGACCCGAGTCTATAGACAACATCGACATCACGATGCAGCCGCCGCGCCCTGCAAATCTATCGGATACGAACAAGATGTGGTCTCCATACGTGGATGAAAACCGCAGCAGCACTGACTGGGAGTGTCGCTCGTGCCTCGATGAAGTTGCACAAGCGACGATCGATCTTTGTTCAAAGATGTCTTCTATTCGAAAGGTTCTGTACGTGCTTATTTTATAGGTCTTATGGCGGTGACAGAGATCTGACCTGTGTTTAGATACAATGCCCCCAAAGATGGTCCCCTGGACATGCAAAGGCTCCACAATTTTGCCACCAAGACTCGGCACGAGCTCGATGCCTGGCAAGCCCAATTGCCAGAGGGCCTATGTGTGGATATTACACAAGCTGAATGCGTCTATCCCCCTCATGTCCTGCAACTTCAGTATGTCCCTTCCCGTCCTCCAGTATTCGGTGTATGACACTAAGCCAGAATTTAGCATGCAACTGCATGCTTTACGGATTATTGTGGACCGGCCATTCGTGCTCTCGGACGCCGCCACCAGTGCTCTAGCACCTGATCAAATCAGCGAAAGCCGTGAGTCCTGCAACGGCGCAGCTCTGGGAATCACGAAGCTCGTTCAAATCTTCCGGCGTCATTATTCCCTTCGTCGTGTCAACATCCAAGCTGTTCATCTCATTTTCACAGCAATGCTTGTCCACGTCCACAATGCCTGCCTGTCTGAAGATTATGAGATCTGCCACGCCGCCCAAAGACACTTGGAAATATGCTCCCAAGCCCTCGGGGAGATCGGTCAGGCCTACAAAAATGCGCTCCGAGCGCTGGAAGTTATTACGTCCATCAAGTCAAGCCTTCTGCTAATTCAAAGAAGAGCTATGAACCCCTGGGCTGAGCTGATGAATCAGCCAGGATTTATTAATTCAATGGTTGCCTCGGGTCAACCGCAGTCTACGGTGCCGGTACTTAATTCGGAAGCCCAGCTACCGCGGTCAACTGGTGACTTTGGTACCGACGGCCTCCAGGGCGTTGACTTGCTCAGGGGGCTGGGCTTGGAAGTACCAAATACTTCCTTGGCCGGCCAGGTGGTTTTGCTTGAGCAATGGCCTTGGAACTCGCTGAGCGCGTCATTAGCGCCTTCAAATGCGGAGGAAGATCTTCCTGATGTAAACCTAGGATAATTCTTGTTCATGTATTTCAAATTCACTGTGGTCTCTTTAGCTTGCTTTATCATTGCCTGTGTGCTGAGATTGACGCGGATATTGGTGCTTATTTTCATTTGCTCAAGACCATTGCTGTGAATTCAATGAGTATTCCTTGAGCATGTACTTCATGTATCTCTGTAACAAGGGATATTAAAAAGCAATGCCAAATCGCCCGGCATTCGCCCCAGATTCCATCGATTCGATGACCTGATGTATGTCCATGATATCGGTGAAAGTAGTTACATGGGCTTTGATCCCATGCTTGTGGCTGAACTGAATAGGTTCCCTCATCTGCTGCGGCGTACCACTGCTGGCCCCCATAATTCGATACTTCCCGAGAAGGATATCAAGTGCGTTGATGGATAGATTTGACTTTGGGATACCCACAATCATGAGGAGACCATTTACTCTGCAAGTTGTTAGAATGCCGAAGGTCGCTCTGCTGATTTTCCGAACTTACCTCAATACATCAGGAGCGGTCTTATAAGCGGCGTCCGAGGCACTCAAGACAATTGAAGCATGGGCACCACCAGTCTTTTCCTTCAGCTCGGTGACGTAATTTGCGTTAGTTGCAGGATTGAAAACCAGATCTGCGCCGAGCTGCGCCGCAGATTCTAGCTGAGACTCTGAAATGTCAATCCCAATGACGCGGAGTTCCATTGCCTTTGCATATTGAATTGCTACTCCGTACGTCAGCTTCGTAGCACTTTGAAATGGTTGAAACGAAATGCTAAATGCGTACCCAAGTGACCTAGTCCTCCACATCCAATGATTGCGAGCCATTCGCCTTTTGCCAAACCGCACTTCTTGACCGAGTGGTAAGCTTGATGATCAATCAGTCATTTGACGACTCGAGCTAAGTTGCATTCGGGTATACCTGTCACACCAGCACAAAACAGCGGCGCGGCTGTCACCATGTCCATTTGATCAGGAAGAACCATGCAGTTTCGATAATCGGCCAGCGAGTACTCTGCAAAGTGGCCATCGGTAGTGAAACCGTGTAAACGCTGTGTTCCCTCCTTGCAGAAGAGGTTGTGGACCTGACAGCCCTCACATTCATCTAAATATCCGTAGGTAAGTCCCCTGTCTTGCCACAAGTGAACTATCCTCAAATTCAGGGCCAAAACTTACAACACGCGTAGCTGCAACCAAGGCATCCAACGCGATCGCCAACCTTGAAACCCTCCACTTTACTACCCATCGCAGCAACAATGCCGGTGTTTTCATGTCCAAGAGTGACCTTGTCTGTTGGGGGCTTTTCAGCAGTATGACCCCAGAACAACATCTGCAAGACGTAATTAGTGAGTTCTATTGCGCCGATATTATGGGAGGGATGGCTCACCAAGTCTGAGTGACACAGTGTTGCGCAAACATTCTTGATCAGAATGTCGTATTCCCCAGGCTCCGGAATGGGAACCTCGTTGACTTCAACTTCGTTGGTAAGCTGAAGAATTAGTTAGTCAAGCCCGATGCAAGAACTAATCGGAAGACGACGTACGGTATTGTACTGAGCGGCTCGCATTGTGGGACGCATTTTGACGATAAGCGAGTTCTCTTTGAATCCGTAGTCAAATCCGTCAGTACTGAAACGGACTTTATAAATCGTGAAGAGTGAAAGCTAAGGCAACTCCAGATAAACTTAGATGCAATTTTCCGTGGAACTGAATGACTGAATCAGGTCTGCCTTTGTCCCGGTCCTATCTTACGACAAACTAACCCCAGGCATGAGTCAGTGAACATGACATCGATCCAAGTCGTCAGGCGTATTTCCCTTTTATTTTCAATTTAAATTTTTTTTTCTTTGTCGGCGCATGAATAAAGTAGCGGGGCATAGAACTAATATTTGCTGGCACACTGAGGCATCCTAACACTATCTGATAGATCATTGGAGGACAGACTCACTGATTTCCGCTTGGATTAGTATATCTTTTTAGCTCATCGGTCACTGTATATAGCAGAGGTCATTTCAGGGAAGTAATCTTGAAACTCTCGCGATATGGTCCAGTTACTTAGTCGCAGGATATGCTTCTCGAAGATAGAATTCAGAACTACCTGGCCATTCAGATTGGAGATTGCGTCCTCAACCTCGTACGGCCAGTTCACGCTTACGTTTGCAGAATAGAATTCCGAAAAGACTGCAAACGGGTAGCGGTCAGGGCGGTCGATAAGCATGTCCCTCGCGCCTGGCCTGCCCCATTACGAATGATTAGTGGGATCCTCACAGGAGAGGCAGCTAACCTACCAAGGAATGTTATCGATCCACGCAGCATGCGGAGTCGTGATCTGCATCGCCGTTGGCCGCAGCCACTTCGGTATCCGCACATAACTTTCATCGCTTGGGGAAATTTGCCACTACGGGTGTATCAAGCGTTACTAAAGTTTTGGCAACAGGCAATAATTGGATAGTTAGCTTACCCGAGTAGTGAGGTGCATTAGGTACATGAATGCCATTTTTTCAGGCATTGGGACATGGTGAAAGGTGCCGAGTACCTCTGTCATGAGACGAATGATCGGGTGTGTCGTCGAAGAAGATTCGAGGTTGAGCAGAGCAACCGGTGATGGCTTCGGGGGACCCAGCACATCGTATAACGGGACTCCCCTTGCAATCATTGAGCGGCGCGAGAGGATGAAGTCCAGAAGGATCTGGTCAAGGGGGCATGTTGCAGAAGTGTGCTTGGGCTCCGCACAGGCAATCGATCTCGAAATCCCGGGCTGGGGCTCTGGAGGCGTCGAAGATGAGTGGTAACCGATTCCGGCATCTCTCGGGGTGACCCAGGCCTCATCTGCGTGGAATGAGTCAGAGACTCGGTCTCATGTAGGGGGTTCAGGGTATGCCTTCGGGGTCGAGGCATGCACAATAGTGGAAGGAATTACATACCCGCTGCTTGATTGGCATCCGTTGTCAATGCCCCTGCGATCCCTGGGCGCGTCACGCACGAATCCCTTCTTGTATTGTTATTTGTGTCAATCACTACCACCTCAGCTACCGAAAAGGTTGAGTCATGGGGCTCCGAGGGTCGCCTCGGTGATCTGCCTTCACTGAATAAGGCTCGGTCAGGGGTAGACTGACTCGGTGCTTCAAGAGCATCCAGCGCCAGTGGGGATAATCTTTCTTGACCAAGGCCTTCCGCGAGTCTTTTTCGGCTTTGCTCTGCGACTGTATCTTCCATTGGTGTGCTTAACATGGGTTGAGACGCCTTCGCCTGCTCCAGCCCTTCAGCGGCAAATTGGCCAATGCTCTCCAGGCATGCTTTCAGCTGCCGATTCTCCTCCCGTAGCCTCTGAAGCTCTTCTAAGATGGCTTGGTCGCTCGGAGTATGGGATGCCTTAATTCGAGCGAGGTCGTTCTCTAATTCTTGAATGCGTGCTTTGGTGCGATCGCGTAAGGCCCGCTGTGCCTTACGGTCAAGTTCCCTTTTGTGCTGGATCTGTTGCGCGGTGAGGCCGGACGTTGTGCGGCGCCTCTTTGCCGCGGGAGCATTTACTGGAGATACCATACTGCCCCTGGGAAGAGGGCGTAACTTCGCACAGTCCCTTTTTAGGCGGTTGAGTTGGCTCGAGGGGAAATGGATTGTGATGATGTCGTGGGGTAAAATCTGGGGGCACTGGCATTCCCCCACTTCCCCCCGTTTTGCCACGGAAAGACGACCCTTTTCCCACTCCATCCATCGGCACCTCATCAACCCAAGATGGATCTTGATCACGAAGATATTTGCTTGCTATACATCAGTCCATTATTGCCGACACCGGCCTTGACCGCTAAGTCACCATCTGCTCTGTATCGATCGTCTTACCGACTCTGGTCACGTGAGTCGGGAGTGTTCTTAAAGTTTTTAAACCCCCAAAGAAGAGCTCGGACTCGGCGAATGATCGAATCAGAACTCCGCCAATCGTTTCTTACGGGGCCATTTCAACCGCCATGCCCCAAAGTGGGCTGGCATGAGTCAGTCCCAAATGTCAAGAGCTCCACGGAAAGTAGTCCTGCGGCATGAAGGCGTGGTCCGGTGGGATTAGCGATGTCATAGTGTCAGGATATATTGAGTGTTAAGAGAAAGAAGTCATCCTCTTGGACAACGTAATTGCCCTGCTGCGAGTCTGTTTCTTCTTTTTTAGGGGGATATCGACGACGAAATGAAGCTTGAATCACACCTCACTCAGTTGTTCATCAACAACGAAGTACGTCAACTCTATTACGTGGACGCATAAGCGATTGATGGGTTGTTAATCATTGGAATAGTATGTCGACTGTCTTAACTCCAAAAGGTACACGGGTCCTCTTCCAATGTTTCACAGCTCTGTCTAATTCAAGAACAGGCTCTCCGTCCATAACCCGGCGACCAAGGAGCTAGTTAGCGACGAGATACCTGTTGCCGGACCAGCAGACGTCGACCGCGCCGTCCAGGCAGCTCAAGATGCATTTGCACCGAATTCTCCATGGCGCTCAATCAATGACTTCGACCGGCAGAAGATGTTGCTCAAGTTTGCGGATCTTATTGAAGCAAACCAGGAGTACCTGGCGTCGCTGACACGCGCTACCCTCGGTGCCCCCTACCTCCCCTTCGGCAAATCGGAGATCGACACCGCGATAGGATGCTTCCGATGTGAGTCTAAAATGCGACCCTAATACCTCGATCGACAATGACTCACAGAGTGGCAGATTATGCGGGGTGGGCTGGCAAATTCGCGGGGCAGAGCTTCCCAAGTACAGATGGATTCTTCAAGGTTGTTCGAAATGAACCGTTGGGTGTCGTTGCAGGGTATGGACTTGTCAATACCACGACGCGTGGATGCAAATGACCCCCATTTTCTAATTTGCCGCGACAGAATTATTCCGTGGAATGGACCTCTTGCATCTATCGGTCTCAAAGCCGCCCCTGCTCTGGCAACTGGGAATGTTTTTATTCTCAAGTCAAGCGAAAAGACCCCACTCGCCGCTGCCGCGCTTGGAAAATTAATTGTGGATGCAGGTTTCCCGCCTGGTGTCTTTCAGGTCTTGAGCGGCGACGGAAGCACAGGTGCGATCCTTGCAAGTCATATGAAGATTGCAAAAGTCAGCTTCACCGGAAGTCTTGCGACGGGAAAGTCTGTACAGATTGCAGCCGCCAAGAGCAACTTGAAAAGAGTGACCTTGGAACTGGGTGGGAAGAGCCCGGCGGTGGTGTTTGATGATGCTGATCTGGACAATGCTGTCAAGTGGTAAGTTATGTACGTCCACTCACGGCGACCGGGCTGACCTTTGGGGGCACAGGTGTGTGAATGCCATCGTAAACAACACGGGCCAAATTTGCTTTGCTGCATCCCGTGTTTATGTTCAAGAAGGTATCTACGACAAATTTCTCGCTGCTTATCGAGAAGCATTCACTGCGAAGCAAGCGCTCGTTGGAGACCCAGAGAAGGACTCGTCTGAAATTGGCCCCGTCGTGGACCAAAGTCAGTATGATCGCATTGTGGGTATAATCGATAGGGCAAAGGGAGAGAAACAGGGAACTCTTCTTCAAGGAGGGAAGCAGGGTCAAACTGCGGTAGGAAAGGCCCACCATTGCAGACGCCGCTGAGCTCGCGCGCTGACCATTGCTTACAGGGTTACTACATTGAGCCCGCGATCTTCACGGACACTGCTCGTGACGCTTCTATTACCTGCGATGAGATATTCGGACCAGTTGTTGTCCTGAACCGATTCAAAACTGAAAGCGAGGTTGTCGAGCTATCCAACGACTCTCAGTACGGGTTGATGGCGGGTGTTTTCACGCAGGATATCAACCGTGCATTACGACTGAGCGAGGCGTTTGACTCGGGCGTCGTCGGAGTCAACTGTATTAGCACTATTCACTTCTCGTGTCCATTTGGAGGAACCAAGGAAAGTGGAATCGGCCGCGAACTTGGCATTCACGCCTTGCATGCGTACACGGAGCCGAAAACGGTCTTGATGAACATGTCTTACTAGTGACCATTATTCAGACTAGTTTAGTACATGGCACTCGTCGATAGGTTTTCCAGTTTTGCCCGGGCTCATGGGAATAAATGGAGAAACGGAATTTCACGATGTCGTTACTGCCCTTTTTTGGTTTTTTTTTTATTTTTATTTTTATTTTTTTTGAGCTACTGGCTTCAAAGAAAGCGGGGAATTACTAGGTCAGCGTTGAAGAATAGTAAAGGTCTCAACCATTGTTGTCGTACTATCAGTCTACTCCGTCCAGGTTATACTACCATTCTTTGTCGAAACTTGAGCTTTGTCTCAGTAGTTGTTGTCCTTCAATTGCGGGCCTTGCAATTCGTATGGTTCGTGAAAAGAACTTCTCGTATGCAAGCTTGCCAACGTGAAAGAATCCACAGGTGGGTCCTACCAGCTTGTCGTTCAATAATTGCAGATAGCACCAAAACATTACCATTTAGAGTATACATTGCCTCGTCGCCGACCCAAACTTCCCCGCGGATAAGATCCCTGTTCTCCGTTTTTCTCAGTTCTCTCGGCTTAAAATCGGGGGCAAGGATGTCTACGGCAAGATATACCCATCGATGGATACTTTCAACTTTGTAAATATTGCCCCGCATTTTGATCGCTTGCAACTGACAGTGGTGTCATGATTCATGAATGAGGCTAACTTTACATCCGGGGTACTTGGAACTGAGTTCTCGGCTTGGCAGCCGCGGGTTTGAGATTCCGGACATGTTAGATCGAGAAGAATCATCAACCATCGCAACAGCGCCTTACCCTGGGTATCCACTTGACATTCATCGTGAATAATATGCAAAATCTTGATTATGTGGCGCTCTAGCTCTAAACTCAGGCGCTTAGTATTTAAAGAACGGCGAGGGTACTATGTAGAAGCGCAAAATTTCTCAGGTCACCTCTCTCCATTTGCATAATGAGCCCGCTACCAACTTCTCTACGCATTGCCTCCGTGTCTGGGTCAGTGACTGATCGCCGACATGCTTTCGCGGAGGTTGCAAGAAACGAGGATGTGCAGTATATTGTGGGTGACTGGATGTCAGAGTACAACATGACTATGCGTGGTGGTGCTAAAAGCAACCCGCAAAGCGATAACGCGGAATTTGAGACCTCATTTATGGAAGCCATCGAGCCAGCGCTGGAAGCACTAGCCCGACGCCGTATTAAAGTTGCCGTCAATGCGGGCGCGAGCGACCCGGAAAAGCTTCATGACGAGCTCACACACGTCATTATGTCTCAGGGCCTGGATCTCAAAGTCGCATGGATTAGTGGCGATGAAGTTTTGAATCAAGTCCAGAAGGCTATCCAATCCGGCGATCCGCTGGTGAACCTGACGACTGGTATGTTCTCCATGAGTTCCTGGAAACTTCAGTGATAATTGACAGTCTCCTTCAGGTAAAAAGATTTCCGAATGGGGATTCACTCCCATCTATGCTCAGTGTTACCTTGGCTGCTGGGGCATCGTGGAGGCCTTGAATCATGGCGCCGATATAGTTCTCTGCGGACGTGTGACCGATGCTTCACCAGCCATGGCGTGTGCCGCTCATCATTTCTCATGGCAACGGACCAGCTACGACAAGCTTGCTCACGCATTTGTGGCTGCACATTTGATTGAATGCTCTACATACGTGACGGGAGGAAACTTTTCCGGGTTCAAATCACTTCACGGAAAGTATCTGGACATTGCATTTCCCGTAGCCGAGATCAGCCCCAGCGGACGCTTCGTCATAACTAAGTCTGCCGGAGAGGGTATGGTCACTGTCGACACCTGCAAAGCCCAGCTGCTATACGAGATTCAAGGGCCTTACTATTATAACCCTGATGTTGTCGCTGTTCTCGATGGGATTGTCATGGAGCAGGAAGGACCGGATCGGGTGTAAGTAGACGAATTTTTTGGAATTATATGAGTCGTGGCTAACTGAAGCAGCTCCGTTTCTCAGGTCAAGTCAGTGAGACCACCGCCAACGACAAAAGTAGGCATCACGGCAAACGGTGGTTATCAAGCGGAGGCCCATTATTTCTTATGCGGACTGGACACTGCTGAAAAGGCAGCAATGATTGAGCGACAGGTTAGAAATCTGCTGGATGAATCTTCGTTCCATACACTCAAGTTCCGTTGCAATGGTTCATGCCCACCTGATCCAGCAAACCAAGATGCTGCAACTGTCGACTTCCGCATTTTCGCGCAGGCACGTGATGAATCTGCTCTCTCGTTGCATAAATTCTTCAGACCATGCTCCGACACCATCATGCAGTCCTACCCTGGTGCAACGTTTGCTGTGGATGCCCGACAGGCGTTGCCAAAACCTTACTACGAGTATTTTGTGACTGTGCTGCCCCAGGACCAAGTCAACCACATTTGTCACTTACCTTTTAAGGACACATTTATACCTATCAACCCTCCCCTGGATACGGTGCCATTCCTGTACGAGCAGCCATCCTTCGAAACAGAAAATCCGGTAGACCTATCGACCTTTGGTCCGACCACACGAGGGCCGATAGGATGGATTGTTCATGCTCGCTCAGGGGACAAGGGCTCGGATTGCAATGTTGGCTTCTTTGTACGCCATTCCGATGAGTGGGACTGGCTACGGTCTGCGTTGACTATCGACATGGTTCGAAAACTTCTCGGTCAGGACGACGAGGCGAGGCCAATCTTTCGGTTCGAGTTGCCACACCTGTGGTGTAAGCACTCAACGTGAATCCTGATTTCTTGTGTAATATACTAACGTCTCTTGCAGCTGTGCACTTTTTGCTGAAAGATCATTTAGACCGTGGTGTGTCTTCAAGTTCGACCTATGATGTCCTGGGTAAGAACCTTGCTGAGTACCTACGGTGCAAATTTGTGGACATTCCGAACAAGTTCTTGGAGCGTGGGAAGATCTAGTCGTCGAGAATCCAAGGAAAGCCACGGAGTTCGATAGAAGATTGGCATCAGCGTCTTGTTTCGTCTACAAATACAAAAGCTCGTCAATATCTAGAATGTGATATTTCTATGTTTCTATAAATACGTGACACTCTTTTCGTCACAGAGTTCTTCGTTAGGTGTCACCGTCACCTCTGTTGTTGCAATTATTTATGCTGAGTGCCCCGTCAGCAAGTGTGAGAGAACATAAACTAGATTGAACACAAATTAAGGCGAAAGAGAGGGGCGAACCTAAATCAACGAGAAAATTTCCGCGATGGTGTAGTTTTGACAAGCAGAGGGTGAGGAATTCTCCAATGTCCAGCCGACATTCTTCCCGAAGCTTCCATCATTTCGGCCGGCCGAGAACTGAGTAGACGCAACTAGTGAAAACTTGATTCTCAGCCTCTATTTCACGCTTATTTCTCACGCACAGGCAGTTCAGACCTCAATGAACCGGGCTGTCCAAGCTTCACACTATCGATCTTCTGAAGGATTAGTCCGGAGACAAGTGCGGGGAAGTAAGAAGGCTAGACTAAAAATGCTCCATGGACAACGATCTTCATTAGTTTTTGTGGCTTAGATCAGTGGTATTATGACTCAAGTTAGCGCGGTAGTATATACTGTTCTGACTCATTTCCTATGACTCGTTGCCCTCGATTCCCGAGCTTTTGCCGGAATGCATGATGTACCGAGTATGGAGTGATGATCTCCGATTGGCTAATCCCTCACCAGGGCGATCGCAATTTTGGGTCGTCACCCGTCAAGATCAGCGAAAGTAATCTAAATATTAGGCTGGAACCCTGGGCAGTCCGGGAGCCAAAACCCGGGGAAAAGAAAGACAAGATTAGCCAATCCTGCCGCTACGTGCTGTACATTGCAGTGAGTCGGTATTCACTGTCTTGTGCTGGAGGAGTCCCCGCATAGAGCCACGGCTTACGTCTTAGTTCTTCCCCGGATTCTGTGGGTGTGAATCATCATCATCCTGACCTTCCGAAGGAACTAGTGTCACATCTACCAGAGCCACACCTGGTACAAATCATAAATAGGCCAATAGCACAAGTAACCGATCATGATCTATGTAAGACGTGTTGAACTTCATTCCAACATGTTTGAAAACTTGCGGGGAAGGGCTCTCCGAGCTTCAGTTGCAGTCAGTGCCGGCAGCGCTTATTTGCTCTTTGGATATGACCAGGTGAGAACACGTCTGGATGCCAGAGAAATGTTATAGATGCTGACCAACATAGGGTGTACTTGGAGGGCTGGTGTCCCAGCCCAGCTTTCTCGGCGCGATTGGAAACCCTTCACCCACCTACCTGGGGACTATTGTCGCTCTCTATGATATAGGATGCCTCGTAGGTTGTATCATCGCGGCAGCCTGGGGCAATCATTTTGGGCGATGTCGCTCGATATTCTGGGCGAGTATCATCATGGTCATTGGAGCGACCATCCAGACGACCACTTATGGAGCAGTTCAGCTTATTATCGGGCGTTTGATCTCTGGCGTTGGAAACGGTACTTTCCCGATAATACATCAAGTATGCCCTTGCAACATGGTTAATCTTTTTACCAGGGATTAACACATCCACAGTCCCTATGTATGTCTCTGAAATTTCTCGCACTGAGTCTCGTGGTCGGTCACTGGCGGTCCAAATGTCGTTAGTCATTGTATGTTTCCCTGAGATTTGATCCTTGACAGGCGCCATCTAACGAGGACAGTTTGGCACGGTGATAGCCTACTGGCTTGACTATGGTATGGTGCGCAATTTGAGTGGAGAGGTAAAGCTTTATTTACGAAATTCTTTTCTGGGAAGCCACTAATATCTGAGATAGGTGGTCTGGAGATTTCCAATTGCTTTTCAAATATTCTTCGCATTGATCACCATCAGCACAATCCTCTTTTTGCCTGAATCACCACGGTGAGCTCTGACCTTAATTATCGGCAAGAACCCATGCTCACTCACTTTTCTAGATGGCTGTTCGCCCATGACCGACGAGAAGAATCTACTCGGGCCGTATCGCGCTTGTTAGGATGCGACGAATCTGATGAACGTGTCCAAAAAATAACATGTGACATGGAGGAGGCACTGATGCTTGAGCGGCGACAGCCAAAACTTGATTTTAGGAGTTTGCTCAAGAGCAAGTCCCAGATCAAGCCTGCTCGTCGCCTCGTGTTATGCTTCTTAATTCAATTTTTCCAGCAGTGGACTGGAATCAATGTTATAGCCTTCTATGGTCAGTCAACCCACAAGCAAGAAAGATCTTGTTCTAACCTTCCAGTAGTTACCATTGTTCTTGAGAGCAACGTTGGCCTCAGCAAGGAAACCAGTAGCCTCGTGGCTGGCATCGTCCAGATCTGTTTCTGGTGTGGCACATTGCCCGTAATATTCCTTCTGGATCGACTTGGCCGTCGGATCATGCTACTTTCCGGCTCGGTTGCTCTCTTCCTCTCTATGACACTATTCACCTTCGGCATTGCGATTGATACTACTGCATCAGCAAAGTTAGCCCTTGCAATGCTTTTCTGCTATGAATTCTCTTTTGGGATGTCATGGAACGCTATCCCATGGCTATATGCGCCGGAGATTACTCCACTTAATTTACGACACATTGGATCCGCGCTATGTGCATTGTCTGAATGGCTCTGGACATTTGTGAGTAACTTCATTTGTCTCTCTTTTCAACTACTAACGCTTTGAAGGTCATCGCTCAAATGGCTCCGACTGCTATCGCAAACACTGGTTGGAAAATCTGGTTGTTGTTCGACATTATGCTTCTCATCAGCTTCTTCTTTGTCTTTTTCTTCCTTCCAGAGGTTCGACTTATCACTGCCCAATTCAGAAGCAGGATACTTACAAATCAATTATACAGACAAGTGGCAAAACACTGGAAGAGATCGACTACATTTACGTCAAGCCGGAGGTCCGATATCAGTTGGACGAGGTCAGTACGAGTGCTGACCATGAACTAAGTAAATCGAGAAGCCGTGTGCTTGTTGAAGACAATTCCTCTGCGCAAACTTGATCTCGGGAAAGAACGGCTAGGACAGCAATAACAGGGTGACATAGACGCCTGCTTTTAGAACGATAACATTCAAGCAATTAAAAATATCCACACAGACTTCAGGAATTCCTTCATGATGGAGTCAGTAAATACTCAGTAAACCTGTAGTGCCCATGACCAATCGCATGCAGGTGGATAGGTATTTAATTCAGAAAGTCCCTTCATTTTCTGCCTACGGAGTTAAAATATCCTTAAGAGGAAATACCATCAGATAGAAATTGAAACGCCGCATTCTCACGTTAGACCAAGCGAGACCGCGATTTTTGAATAGGAAATGGTACCTTTTGGGAAACACCAGACTCAAGAAATCAACTTGTGTGAACTGATACGGAGAACACCATCACTAATTAGTGTATTGAATATTTATTTGAGATTTCACTATATTTCACTGATGAAAGGCGCGTCTATGTGAGTAGTCAATCCAATACCCTCAGAGGATTGCTCTGAAATCTCTCCAGCAGGACCTTCCCAGGCATCCTGTCCCACATTAAGAGACAGCAGACCCACCAGTGTCCCCTACCTCCTAGTGGACTCATACTTGGCGCATAATGATGCGTTCCGTGACTTGCTGACTGCCAAAACTGGATTCCGCGGATTCAAAATTCCGGCAACGACACCATTTCCCCGCGCCCCCGCAATTACATTATCTGGATACTGGATGAGATGAATGAGTGCCAACTTTCATGCCACCTTCATCTACCACCAAGAGGACATGGGACTTGTCGCTAGTCTTTCTACACTCACGTCCATCGACCGGCAATCGTCATGAAGTACAGAATCAGATCGCATCAGGCCTTGCAACTGAAATCCCAAAGATCATCACGAGCGTGTTCTGCATGTCGCTGCCGCAAGGTTCGGTGCGACGTAACCTTGAAGGGGCCTCCCTGTACAACATGCCAGTTCCACGACATTCAATGTTCGGTTCCTGTTGACAGGAGAGGTGAAAAGGCATCATCTGCTGGAAGTCCCCTGGACAAGTGCGTCACCTCGCCAGGGAACCCTATCAGAACCGACCATGTGGCGACTTTTGAAGGTGAGCATCCTTAAATGCCCCTTGCCTTGCCAGAACTTAACACAGACATGTCCAACTGATCTTCGGGGTCTAGATAGAAAATCAGGCTACTGGACCGAGATGAGAAATATGTTTTCCCAAGAACAGTCTGACGCCCAATTCTCCCGGAACGCACCAATTCGATGGGAGAAATGGTTACCCGATTACGCCACCCCTCTTCCTTGTTCAATCACTAAGCAAGATTGTCGATTCTTGAAGAAAGCAGGTGCATTCGATATTCCCGATTCCTCCGTTCGGGACGAACTTATCAAGAATTATATCGAGTTCGTGCATCCTCTACTGCCAATTTTGAACCTGGAGGACTTCTTGGCGGTTATTGAGGAGGGGTATGCTGGTAGTCAAGGAATCAGCTTCCTCTTTTTCCAGGCGATCATGTTTGCTGCGACACCTTACGAGTCAGCAGAATCAATTGCACAGGAGGGATTTCGCGATCGAAGAGAAGCAAGGAAGACGCGATATGAGCGTGTGAAACTTTTATATCTTTCTGGGTGTGAGGATGATTGTATTGCAATTTTACAGGCGGTACTCCTGTTGACCTACTGGGATGAAAGTTCCGAGGACTTCCGGGACTCGTGGTACTGGGTTGGTGTTGCGAAGGCCCTGGTGACTTCTATTGAAAATCAGCCGGAAAGTCAAGATGAATCCTGCCCCATGGGACTTTGGAGACGAATTCGGTGGTCCTGCTATATGAGAGATCGTCTGATTTCTATCACCAAGAGATGGCCCCTTCAAATTCGTGATACTGAGTTTGATATTCCGATGCTGACAATGTCAGACTTTGAGATGGGCCCGCTCTCGACCAAAGGCTGTTTAGGCACTGATGGTAGCCATCCAGCAATTCGAGACCCACCTACCAAACGACTGCTGGCCCATGCTAGCATCGCACTGGCGTGCCTTTGCCGGTGTATCTCACGGGTCATTGAGTCACAGTATACTGTGACAAAAACGGACTCTATCCGTCCGGCACCACGCCTGGTTCCCAAAACTCCCGCCGCAACTCCTGGAGAAGTGCTACTTCGAGACAGTGAACTCGAAGAATGGCGCAGCTCTCTGCCCGAGGCACTGCGCTGGCGAGCGCCTAAGTCTACCAAACGTATTCACCGACATGATGATGTCAAGAATCATTTTCGCGCCACGCTGGCCGGTTTTTATAACATTGCAACCAGTGCACTTCATCGGCCCCAAGCTGTCTGTCTGCCATACTCTTTCCCTGAACTGAGGCTACTGTCAGAGCAGCGGGTCCGAGATTCGGCCATCTCAACTGCTAAGATTCACGAATACTTCTGCGAGCAAGGCAGAGCAGAACTCATGCCTGATGGGCAAGTTGCAATGCTGGAGTCAGCTATACTGGCGCATCTCAGTAGCCTTCGATCTACTAGCGCAACCAGAAGACAATTAGCTTTGCAAGGTTTCCAGTCGTGTGCAAGAGCGCTGAAACAACTTTCCAACACATATGCCTCAGCAGAAGAGTCTCTTGCTCTTGTTAACGTCGCCGTTTCGCAGACAGACAACTCATGGAGGGGCCAGCCATCGGACCTCTTCCCACACCAGGGAGATATTTATGACTCTGGAAGTGAAGGCCGCAACTCGGCGAGTTCTGAAGAGAGGGATACATCGTTACAATTCTCACTCTGGGAGCATGTCAACAAACTTGAGCCACCACAAGTGGGGAAATTGTTATTCTCTCATTTCATGATAACACCATGGGAACGAAACCTACTAGACGAATTGGCACCGCCTGAGGGGGAGGACCGAATCCATGCCGATGAACTCCGTGATTCAATGTTTGAACAGCTTCCTCGGCTGAAGCCGCAGTCCACCCCGAGTGACAACACAAGCAGCCCCACAGATATATTTGCTGGGAAACTGGCTGCACAGTCTAGTCAAGAAGATGGCCAACAAGGAGGAAATTCTGCTCAACCCACACCAGGGTTAGACCAGCCGATCGATCTCGATTTCGTTCAAGGTTGGAATCAGCTGGAAGAGATTGAATGGGATTTCTTCACCATGCAATCGCATTAATTTTAAAATTTTACGAATAAACGTCTATGCCGTACATTTTGGTTCATGATAGGCAAAGTTGGCTTAAAAAAGAATTGACAGGAACAAGACAAATAAACTTGATCAAAATATCCATTTAACCATCGCGCCATTATCAATTTTTAGACAAAGGTATCAACTCCTTCATTATCGAGGTAAAGGCATGTGCACTCTATACCTCAATGCTGTAGACAAGGTCGGCTTCGAGGCGATCCCAAGGATATGTGTAATGCAGTTATTAGATAATCAAGGAGAAAACAGAAATCACAGAAAATGCACTACAAATGGGAGAAAACATCAGGATTGCTACTGGTGTCTTTTTAGACAATGTTACCTCCAAGTTATAATATTTGGACTAGCAAATTCTAACAACATGGTATCTTTCAGTTTCCCAGGTTCCCAGTTCTTTAATGACTTCTCAACAGATTCCTATTTGCGCGACCTTTTAGAGAGGTTTGGGGCTAAATGGATAGTCTATATAGCCCTTTGGGTCTTTTGGAGTGTAGAATGTTTCCCGCTGGTACGGAGTAAAGGCAATTCCGTTGGCGATCCGGTGCGGCAGGTCTGGATTTGCCAGAAAATGGCGACCAAAGGCAATGGCAACTCTGTTCGGGCGGTGGCTCTCAATGGCACGAGACGCAGAATCAGCAGTAAATCCTCCTGCAAGAATTACCACAGTGCTGTCTTGCAATGCATCAAACAAGAAGCTGACATTTTCGCTCGCAGTTTCAATTGTCGCGGCGCCAGAGATGCGAGGCTCCACTACGTGCAGGTATGCAAGCTTGAGAGGTGCCAGCTGGCGGAGAAAATGAGAGAATTGCGCCTGGAGAAGCTCATCCTCCATTCGCATCGCTTGAAATGGGCTCCAAGGACTGATGCGATAACCAGTGCGCTGTGCACCAATAGCCTGAGAAACGGCGGTGGCTACTGCTACGCCGAAGCGAGAGCGATTCTCAATGCTGCCTCCCCATGAGTCCTTTCGGTTGTTGCAAGTGTCCTGAAGGAACTGGTCACATAGGTATCCATTGGCTCCGTGGATTTCAACACCATCGAACCCAGCTTCCATGGCGTTTTTCGCAGCTTGGACGTAACTATTGACCCAGTCGCCAATTTCCTCCTCGGTAAGCGGGCGCGGAATAGAACTTGTCGATGAGATTGGGATATCACCGCTCGAGATCACTTTGTGGCCGGTCTTTTTGAGAACTTCCGGATCGGCAGCTCGGCCCAAAGCCCACAGCTGGCAAAAGATGTAGCTGCCTCGAGCGTGCACACTGTCGGTAATGGTTTTCCACTGCTGGATCTGCGCATCGTTCCAGATACCGGGCACGTTCTCAAAACCTCCAGCCTGTGGTGAAATGAAGGTACCCTCGGTGATGAGAAGAGTCCCAGGGGTTGAGGCTCTCTGGGAGTAGTAGTCACGTACGATATCAAGGGCCACGTGGTCATCGTCAGCCCTGTTACGTGTAAGAGGAGCAAGAACGATTCGGTGTTTCAGACTCATGTCACCGACTTGCAGAGGGGTCAATAGGGCTGCCATTTTGTGTGCTGAGGATGGAGACTAGAATGAGCTGTCCATGTCTGAGACTGTGCAGAATTGTGTCACTTAAAGTACCATGGTTAATTGACTTTAGTGGTCTGAATAACATCCTCGGGGACTTTTGTCATCATCGCGCCTGGCAGCGGATGAATTCGAATGCCTGTTTGTCTCGCGTATCATGCCAGAGAGAGCACATGTGTCAGAGAGGTAACTGAGTCAGAAATCGTATGTCAGTGGTCATCAATAATGTATGGAGCGGTAACTTACCGCCCATGATACGCAGTGACCCGCTTGGCTTGGCGTTTTACATAATAATTTGGTATCCTTGGCATTACGGTTGGCATCATGTATCAGAGCCATCCACATGATATGATTCGTTCTTTCTCTTCACTCAGCCTTTTGGTCCCTTGGTTTTGCTTGATCTCAAACTCAATTTCATTCACCTGATCTGATTGCTAGTCTAGTCTTTGCCGGCTTACTCCGACATTCAATGATGGATAACTTGTGGAAATCATCTAGCTATACTGCTGGACAGGGTCCGCTCCAGGAATGTCGGTAGCCGTTGCAATCGCCTCATACTTTTCAAGGATCGCCAGAGTCGAACGACATTTTGTCCGCACAGTCGCTATTGCATCCGATCCCATAAATATCCGAAGAGGCAGTTCCGTCTTCCCTAGCACGGACCCTTCCTGTCGGACAACATCACGGGCTAATTCTACCGCTCGCTTCGGACATCCGGGCTGTTTTCCATTCGTTTGCTGCTGGCGTGTCCTCAGAGTCTCCACCACCGTGTCATAGTCGGCTAGCGAGTCGGCGGGACGTGTAAACTTCGACCTTCCATCTCCAAGTATATTGGTTCGAAATTGACCAAGCACCAGTAGGTGCACCTTGATCCCGAACTGCTTGACTTCTTCGTGTAAACTCTCCACGGCGCCTGAAGCAGACTCAGTTAGCCGGGGCTTCTAATACTTGGCCGGATGGCAGGAGAATTAGAACCACTCTACCTTCCAGAGCAAATTTCGAGGCGCTATAAGGTCCACCGCCTGCGACGCCTAACCAGCCAGCAATACTGCTCATGAAGAGAATCGAGCCCGACCGGCGCGGCCGCATATGCTTCAGCACTACTTGAGTGAGCCGCATCGGACCAAATACATTGGTCTCAAACTGATGCTGAAGGCTTTCCATTCTAAACGGACCGTTAATCTTTATTCTTAAAGGATACTTGTCGAGTCTTACTGGATTTCTTCCCATACGCTGGACATCACATATCCCGCGTTATTGACGAGCACATCAATGCGCCCGGAGAAGGATAGCGCCTCGGTGACTTTGCGCCTGATCTCTGCCTCGGATGCTGTGACATCGAGTTGGAGCAAGCGCACGTCTCGGTGGTCTGCGAATTCCCTCAGGGAGTCGATTTTGCGAGCGGTGGCAATAATACGATCACCCCTTTCCAGGACGGCCGGTATGAAAAGCTTCCCAAGCCCAGAAGAGCAGCCGGTGACCATCCACGTAAGTTGCGATGGCAGGGGATTGTCCGTGCTGGCCATTTTGCACTCAATTGCGTTGGAAATCATGCTTCAGATGATGACGGTCGAGGCGGGCAAGGGTGTATTAAATAGAGGTAGGTAAGCTTTGCCTACTGGACTACCAATAGACTTTGGTCCGTTGTAAATGGACGGGGATTGGTACATTTGATTTCCGTAGTAACAGTACTAACTCAGTAGTTATTTTCTTCATTCTTACTCGACCACCTCGTGACACAACACATAATAATAATATCGTCCATGATCCAGCGCCAAACGGGTCGTGTACAGAACTAGCTCGGGTATGAATGACCCTTTTGGGTGTTCGGTATGTAATCAAGTTTGCCTTCTCCGGATTGTCTCCGCAGTCCCCACCTCTCTCCATGCACGTGTTTTCTCCGTTTCTTTCTACAAACACGAATGCTATCTGATCTGCTTTCTCGAAATTGACAGTCTTTTCACATTCCACTAACTTCGCCATCTCATAACGCGACAGTGCACAATATCCATTTTAACCCAGCTATAATTCAATCCGACCATTGTGCAAACCCCCAGTGACAGCCAGATCAGCCCCGGTTGTATAAGAAGAGCCACTGCATAAGAAGTAGGCGACTGCCATTGCCAAGTCTCCCGTTTCCCCGATTCGACCAAGAGGAGGCACATTCCGAAACACATCCTGTAGCTCAGTAAATTGCTTGGACATATCAGTGGCAATGAATCCCGGAGAAACCGTGTTCACCCGTATATTCAGGGGAGCTAACTCGGCACCAAGCGTCTGACCCAGGAGCTTGATTGCAGCTTTAGTGCCACCGTACATGGAAACTCTCTGTGCCGGAATAGCGCAATGAGCTGCGATGGATGCGATCATCACAATTGACCCTCCAGTTTGTTGCTCTTTCATTTGTCGTGCAGCTAACTGGGCACAAAAGAAAGAACCAAGAACCTCGAAGCTGAATCAGATTTGTGCGATGTCCATTCGGCGTTGAAGACTCACATTGACGTCTAACAGTTTACGGCATTCATCCCATGTGTGATCCAAAAAGGGTTTATCCATCGCCACCCCCGCCGCCGTAATACTGCATCCGGCCCCTTAGTGATGCTGCGCTGTCCAGTCACATCTTGGAGAGAAGACTCACCAGTTGTCTATTTTCCCCAAATCATTCACGCATCGATCAAATGAGGCTTGTAAGCTCGTCATTTCGGTCACATCCGTACTAGCAAGTCACGAGAAATTACTAAATTGACCGTGAGAATATGGGATATGAAGACTCGTAATAGAAGCCATACTGGTAGAACTTGAATCTCGTTTTGTATTTCGTAGCGAGTTCCTTCAAATCTGTCTGCGGCTCGCGTATGTCCATCAAGACAACGTCACTTCCGAGGTCCGCAGTGCTTTCCGCGAGATCGAGGCCGATTCCACGAGAACCTCCTGTTACGTGCGAGGATAATTAGTATAGCTTCAACGAAGTGTCTAAGATACGCCTACACACTGAACTTACCCGTTACGACTGTAACTTTGTTTTTGAGGGAGAGCTTCGATGCCATGAAGCTCTGACGGGTCATACCAGAGTCTCCTGTTGTGTAGGAAGCCATAGAGTGAGACGATTTGACTCCCAATGGATTGAAGCATGCTTCCAGAGAACGACTGTGCCTAGTCAGTCTTCTCGGGAACTTGAGGTGTACCTTTGTCCACCACATTATCCTGTCTGTACTTGTCAGGGCTGTCGTGGAATGCCGATTTGAAACTGTTCCCTGAGTCCTTATCTATTAAAAAGTTATTAAGTTTTATATACTCCGAACATGTACATCAAAGGTGGGCCATTGTTCGGAACCCGACAAGCAAGAAGTCACACTCCACTGCATCTTCCCCGCATGATACACCCCGGGTTTCAAAATCCGGCGCAACGATTGACGCTTTTAATACTCCACTTGCTTTAGCGTTTCCTTCCCAATGAGTACAATACGCAAAAGAGATTGCCTCACAAGCGATGTCCCTCGGGCTTGTAATTCCGACTACAGTCCACCGAACTCACGATTGGACGTATCGAGCCCATTATCCCAAGAACTCTGTGTGGTTCCCCTCGGATGGCATGCCTCTACCAACCAGATGTGGATAATGGTAGCGGTTAACTCCACAGCCGAAAGTTTGACAACGCGGCTCCATGCTGTGCTTTCAGAATACTCGGGTTGGATAAAGTGAACAATCTTTAACCAACCCGGCGTTTCAAAAACGGCGCCAGATATCAAGCCGAAGCTCTATGATACTTTCGTGTTGATATCTGCCTGCTCAAATCCTACCCCGGCCTCACGTGGACTAACCAACAACGTGATGTCCCTAACAGCGGGACCCTACGCATTCTGACTCGTAACCACTTAGTCATACCCAGCTTCCCGATATTTTATGTCATCAAGACCTGTGGCGAACAGTGAGGATATAATTAGGATCCAGATTTTGTTGGAGAGATCTCACATTCATTTCGCAAAAACAAAGGCACTTTCAAAACACGTCGATATGACTACCCGAATCAACCATAATTTCAAGCATGTTGAGCTTAGTTATGACAAAGAGCCGAATTTACAGCCCTGCATTAAAGTGTCGGTCTTCTTCAAGAAGCTAGATTCAATTTCATACGACACTTTTTTCGAGCACTGGCAAACCGTTCATGCAGACCTTGCCGTTGCAACACAGGCATTTCAAGCACATATTCTCCGATATGTCCAGGTAAGTTCGATCCAGTCCTAATATTGATCCCTGTTTCCGTGGCACTAATACAATTGAACACGCTATAGCACCACCAGACACCAGAGATGAAAGCTCGAGCTCAAAGCCTCGGAGAGAACGTTCTCGATTACGACGCTTGCGCCCAGCTTTGGGTACGGACCTGGGATGATTGGAGGAAATTTTACACAAGTGAAGAATATGCTGCTGCCCTGAGTGATGACTGCAATCTCTTTATGAAACTTCCTATGACATATATGGTCGGGGAAGAGAATCTGGTCGTGGGCGAATCTCCGAAGGATCTCGGCGGTAAAGATGGATTGCAGCTCCACCTATAGGACAGAAATAGCCAGCTCTCTGCTCTCTTGCAGCATGCTTCAGTGACCATAGATAGCCTGGACACTCTACTTGGGCATCACCTGTTCTGCTACTGAGGAACCAGCGTCTCTGTTTCCATCTTGAATCTTACTATGACTTATTGTGACCTATCCTATTCTTCGTACTTTTTTTTTTCTTATTCATCCTTCCCATCTACAGATATTAACGAAGGTATGAACACTTCTTCTGCATGTACGGTCCTAGCATGCAATACGCGGTCACTATTAGAGTATTAATCCAGTCACAGATGAGTTACTGAGACCGGACTACACTCTTGGCCTTTAGTCTATCCGGGAAGGCCTAAAGTAGCTCCTTTCATCTGGCATTTATGGTATTTCAAAATGCATATCTCGGACATACGGCTAATATATAATTAAATCGTTTATTGCGTACTACTCAGTTGGTATTTATGTCGTAAAGTTTCTGGAGAAGAACGGATAAGCGAGAAAAGAAATAGGTCAGCTGGGTACTACTTCAACCTAAATCCCCACCCCCTTCGCCTGAGCACAAGATCTGACCCATTTCTAACCCGCAATTGTGACTGCTTTGATGTTTTGATACTCACTTAGCCCATACTTGCTTCCCTCCCGTCCAACCCCGCTTTCCTTAACCCCCCCAAACGGGGTTTCCGCCGCACTGATCACGCCTGTATTAACACCAAGCATCCCGCACTCCAGTCGCTTTGCAACACGGTGTACGCGACTGATGTTTTCACTGAAGATGTAACCTGCCAAGCCAAATTCCGTGTCGTTCGCTAAAGCAATCACCTCTTCCTCATCAGAGAACGAAAATACTGCCGCCAACGGTCCAAACGTCTCCTCTTGATAGACAAGCATATCCTTAGTCGCGTTGGTAATAATGGTCGGCTGGTAAAAGTACCCAGCGGGTGCTTCAAGTGGTTTAGCCCCACCGTATCGAAGCTGCCCACCCTTTTTGATCGCATCTTGCACTTGGATTTCGACTTTCTCAAGGGCAGAAGCGTTGACGAGCGGACCGTGAGTTACGCCGGAGTCAATACCACGTCCTAACTTGAACTTCTGCACGCGTTCGATCATTCTCTGAGTGAAGACCTCTAAAATATCCTCGTGAACAAATATTCTGTTTGCACAGACACATGTTTGACCCGAAGATCGGAATTTGCAGATCAAGGTCCCTTCGACAGCTTTGTCAAGATCTGCGTCATCGAAAACAATCAACGGCGCATTACCACCGAGTTCCATGCTGACCCGTTTCATGGTTCCGGCAGCGAGTTTGGCGAGCAGTTTACCAACTCCTGTTGATCCAGTAAAGCTCAGCTTCTTGACTAAACAATGGGTAGCGAGCTCCAAGGACGCGCTGCGATCTTTCGTCGGAACAACGTGTATAATGTCACGAGGGAAGCCCGCTTGTAAAGCAAGTTTAGCCAAAGCAATCGCACTGAAGGGGGTCTCGCTCGGAGGTTTGATCACAACGGAACATCCGGCCGCAAATGCTGGGGCAATCTTTCGAGTGATCATGGCGGCGGGGAAATTCCAAGGGGTGATAACTCCGCATACTCCAACAGGCTGTTTGGTGGTAATGACCGTTGCATCTTTATACGAAGATGGTATAACATCGCCATAGGACCGGACAGCCTCTTCGGCAAACCAGGAGACAAAGGATGCGGCATAATTTATTTCACCTCGCGCCTCTGCGAGAACCTTGCCATTCTCGAGAGAAAGAATACTAGACACTGTACATACATAATTAGATCATCGTGAAAGAACTGAAGGAGCATGCTTGAACTCACAGTCTTCGACGTTCTCCAGGATTAACTCATTCCATCTGCGAAGAAGGGAGCCTCTCTCCTTCGCTGTAGTTGAGGAGTAATATTGCTTGTATCCATTATGGGCACTCTCAATCGCCTCCCTGAAATCTACTCCACTAAGGTTCGCACAAAATCCCAGTATTTGGCCTGAGGACGGCTCATATACTGGGAATTCTTTCTGTGGGAAAGCATGCCTCCATTGGCCATTCAGAAGACCTCGGCCGTCGAACAAAGATGGATCCCTCAGTTTGACTGGGAAATTTATGAAAGAGTTATCCATTGTGGTGTGTTGATGCAATTGACGACAATAGGGGCTGCAGAGACTTTGCCGAAATACTGAGACAACTATGTTCAGGCGTTCGAAGTTTTGCGTATACTTATATGTTTTACGCGCATATAATTCGGAACAGTCACCAGCTCTCGAATAGTAGAGAGCCGAAAGTTGGCTGGTTGACCGAGGTCGAAGAAGGTATGTAGCCGAGGAACATCACGGAAATGCGCATTCTGCACGCCGTACACGACCAAATCCGTAATCGCCGAAATCCTTCAACTTGACCAAGTGTATCCTAGAGGTTTCCAATTTAGGTATGGAACGCAAAACGATGTTTTTGGAAGGTTACATTCAAACTTTCCTTGATTAGCTTACTCCTGTTCATAATCCTAAATGGCGCATTTCTGAACAGATACCGATCTCGTTCGAGATATACTGGTTCCCGCCCACCAGCTGTCCATAACGTACGCTTTACGCCCTTGTCAGCACGCTTTGCATTAAATTTAGCGAAGTCGGATTTTCAACCGTGAATAACAACAGAGGTACGTTACGCTACTAGTTGATTGTTTAAAACACGCACGGTCATCAGCTCGTCCAAGCGTAGGACAAATAAATTTCTCGTTCTTCAAATCCAAGGGTCACTTGAAGCACGACCAGCTCGAGAGATCCACTGATCTGGGTGTTTCCTCTAAGACTCTGTCAGCCGCCATACGTTGGAAAATACCGTTTATCTTGATTGCCGGGATTGTAAATCCCCGAAATTGACCTGGTGACGCTTTTGGTTAAAGGTAGTTTTTTCGGATGTCGTACTAACTTTCTACGGAGCTACCACACTCGCCACCGCTACCTTGCGTTGTTGGATTCGTCTGGCTATGAATGGGGAACGGTCAAATGAGACATCACGGCCTTCAAATGGTTGGCATTGTCTCTACAATTATGACCTATCACATGCTGGAGAGAGGAACGCTATTTTCTTTTCAAAAATCATAGTATTTTAACTGGACAAAAACTCTGTTTCTTTGAGCTGGTCTCTTAACTTGCCTTCAATAATACCATCTCAGAGACCCCATTTTCAGTATATGGTACGGTCTATCATGCATACTGAATACTTCTAGCTCATCAGTCATCGATCCACACAAAATATTTCGCAAGGAATGAAGTTTTCGACCCCGATCCACAAGGTTCGCGCCTTTATTTGCCTGCCTCGAAGATGACCTTTTGGCATCGTGCGTGATTGAAATCATCGTAACTAGAAACATTCAGCAATTTAGTAATTTATCTGGCTCCGGGCAAGGAAAAATGACATACGCTTGGACGGCTTGAGATAGTGGGCGTATATCACACGTCATGAATCTACAGAGGTTAGCCTCTCTTTGCGAACCCTTTGCGGCAGTGATTGATCTTACTCCAGCACATCTTGTTTCTTTTCTAGTAAGCTCATTGCCGGGCCAAAGATACCTTGATATACAATTTAGCCAAAAGTTCTGTGGAAGACGGGGAGGAAGAAGACCACTCACTTCGGACTGGGCACCGTCCCATTTGCAGGTACAGATTCTTTCCGTAAGCCTCGTTTCCTGTCCATGGAATGGAGCCATTGTGGACTCCAACGCTCGATAATTGGCCCCATGCTCGTAGCATTTCGAAGGCCATCCGTAAGGCACTGCTGTGGCCGACTACTTCAATAGCCACATCCGCTCCCCGCTCCTCGGTGAGTTCTTTCACGCGCTGTCGGAGTCCTTGCTCGTTCTTCTGGAAGTCCCACGCTTCAGCTCCAAGTTGACTCGCAAGTGCAAGTCGAGACGGGACACTATCAATAGCTATCAGATGCTTCGGTTGATACTCAAGAGCACTGATTAGCGCACAGATCCCTACAGGCCCACATCCGAACAGAAGCACTGTACTTTGGCGGATTGTATCTTCCTTCAGGCCGCGAAATGCGTTTTTTGCGGCAAAGTAACCAGTGGGGAAGATATCGGCCATTAATACTAGCTTCTTCTGATCGATGGTTGACGGAGCGTGGAAAAGTGTCGAGTCAGCTAGGGGAATCCGCACATACTCGGCTTGTCCTCCGTCTAGTACAGTAGTGCCAAAAAGCTTGCCGCTAGAGCAACGTGATGAAAATCCACGAGCACAATAAAAGCAGACTCCACAACTGACTGTAAAAGGCGAGACTACCTGGTCGCTAGGGCGGAAGAGTCGTACTTCGGATCCAACCTCGGTCACCTCTCCGGTGAACTCGTGGCCCATGATAAACCCTGTCTGGGACGGTTGGTGGCCGCGAAAGACATGCAGCTCACTGAAACATCATTAGTCCTTGAGAGACATAGTACGGGCTTGCGAAAATTGAAGTCATTTTAGTACTTGCCTACCACATAGAGCTGTGAAGCGTACCTTTAGCACGACATCTCTGGGGTCCTCTATCTTCGGCTGCGGACGCTCTTCCAGCGTGACTTGCAGTGGGCCCTTAAAAACAACACACTGCATAGGGGATGGTTCTAGAGAATTTTCAACGGAATTCGAGGGAGAACGAAAAGAAAAGTGGAGGATGCCGTATATCAAACCGCCGAAAAGGTAAAAGGCTAATATTTATTAGTTTCGGGTGAGTTCGGACCTAATACGACTAACAATTTATAATGCACGGGTCATGATAAGTGGCCTATGTTCAATAAAGTTGAACATATGCGCTCGCTAATGCCTCTGTCGAATATTCGGGAGTTACGACTGTGTCTAATTTCCCGCTGAAATGTGTTCTCAACCACTACCACGGACATAGTGCCCGACTGAGTCATGGCATTACTGTAAGGTGTAGTACGGTAATCTTCGGCTAGATGCATTTCCCCAGATACCATATGGGCCCGATGTTGATAGGCCCGCTGTTAGAGTTTCTTCCTTAGTCTGTCCCACCCACCCCGAGCCGCCCAGCACATCTTCCCCAGTTTTCATGAGGTATACACGTACAATACCCCGCGTCAGATTCGGCGACTCGCCCCGCTGGAGCAATTCCCACGGAACTGCAATCCCGGCTTAGCTTTAATCCCTATCCTCTTGATCAGGACGTTTCATTATTGGTGTCCATTAGTATTAGCTTATGCTTTCGCGACTGCAAACCTTCTAAACTCATTCATGACACTTTCACAGGGATGAAGAGATCCTTAACTTTATTCGACGGCGTCTTGGACGATACGAAAGATGCTATTGGGGGAGCTTCACTCCCCCAGTCTTTTGCTATAAGGACGTCTGTGTAGCGCTTGTTTGGCCAGTTCGAGAAGGAAATCTGCTTTTCGAGAGTCACTACTCACTCATCCTTACTCTCAATCAATCTGACGCCACCTGTCAATATGATTACGCTGAAGTTCGTCAAGGGGAAACCCCTTTATCGCTTGATGAGTTGGTGTTGTTGTATAGTAGGGTATCCTCCCTGTTACTTCACAAGATACACAAATTAACTTCTCTCACTAGGCCTTCGGGCTGTACGGGTATGTGAACGCCCTCAAAAAAATGAAGCATCTGGCAACAATCCGCTAAATCAAACCAGGTACGATGCGGGGGTTCTGGGTGGTGTACAAGAAACAAAACCCTTCCTCGATGCGCTCGGTGTGAGTATCTACACAGACCTTATCGACGAGCCGGTAGTGACATTTGCTCTAGAACCCCACTGGGGCCTATATCATCCCATTGGTTGCCTCTAGTTATACGTTAGCTGCGACAGTCTGCTCTCTCTTGGTTTCCCTTATCGGCATGCCCGTCGGTCGGCGTGGTTGCATTCTGCTTGGTGACATCCTTGTTGTCGTGGGAGGTATTCTACAGGCTACGTCTTGGTCGGTCGCACAAATTATTCTTGGTCGGGTGATATGCGTGCGTATCCATTCTCTATCCGACAGTCAAAATATGCTAATATACTGAGTGTGTCTAGGGTTTCGGAATAGGGGTATGATCAGACATGATGTGGAAATTGGACACTGTTCTGACTTGGCTCTTTAGTTCATTTCCTGCGCTGTTCCAACATACATGGTGGGCAAACCCGGTTCAAAGAGGGCAACAGGCAGAAAGCTGACTATATGAACAGGCGGAGATGAGTATTGAAATCAAAAAACGCGGCCCGGAGGTAGCTGTACAATGCATATTCCTTATTGGGGGATGTGCCGTGGCCTACTGGGTTGACTTCGGATTCACTCGAATGAACAACCAACTGTCATGGGTAAGTATCGCCGGCATTTGTGTTGTGCTTATAGAATTATTGAAGAAGCCTTGCTTATAAAAAGACGCACTTAGCGATTGCCTATTGCTTTGCAATCACTTTTTGCCTTAGTCTCAGGGTCTTTCATGTTTCTGCTGCCCGATACTCCACGATGGTACTACGCACGTGCCCGACATGAAGAGGGTGACGACGTTCTTTCTCGTCTTCATGACCGTCCACTCTCGCATCCTGCCGTTCAGCACATGCGGCATGAGATTCTCGACTCTCTCAAGTTGGAAGAAGAACAAACCAATCAGTTCAGGGTTCTGGATCTATTTTGGGATCGTAGTAACCTCAAGACTGGCAGACGAATTCGTATCGCGTTTATGATCCTCGCCCTGCAGCAAATGATGGGTATGTACCTTAGCGCTGCCAACACAAACAATATTTCACCTTCTTTATTTGTATCTCACATGTTCTGGGTTATAGGGATCAACATTTCTGTGTACTACGCGACGATCATCATTAGCCAAGCAGGCGTCTCCCCGTTCCTTGCGCAACTCTTGGCTGCGGTAATGACCACGGTCTTTGCTCTCGGCGCAACCCTTCTTCCTTCTACTATTGAACGCGTTGGCCGCCGCGCAGTTCTTATATATTCAGCTGCGGCGATGACGGTCTGCCTTGCAATTTTCGTTGCAATGATCGGGTCATCCAACCCAACTTTGGCGAAGCAGTGGACCGCCATTGCCTTCATTTTCATATATAACTTCATCTTCGGTTATGGCTGGATTGGTGTATGCTGGTTATACGGGCCCGAGGTAATTGCCCATTTTCACGCGAAGTCTGAGACAGTGCTGATACGAGATTTCTGGTTAAGATTGCCCCTTTGAAGTACCGGCACGTTGCAGGTGCGGCATCGGCTTTTGGTGAATGGCTATTTTCATTCATCACCGTATTTGCTGGGGGTATTGGCCTCCAGACCGTCGGCTGGAAGATGTGGATTTGGTGTGTCCTCTCTTGCGCTGTGGCAGTGGTCTTCGTTTATTTCATGTGCCCAGAGACTACAGGAAAAAGCCTCGAAGAGATCGATTTAATTTTCAAGAGTGACTCTGATGAAATGCCTGGTGCGATTGCCAGCGAAGATACTGTGACATCCGAGAAGATTCACAGTACCTATGTGGAATCAGTATAACTGGAATGAGGACCTCTGCAATACTGTGTCAGGTTTATCCATTTTTGTGCCTAGTATACTATCTTTTTGGTCAGATAACGAGCTGTATGTCAATGAGGAGGAATAAAAGATTGAGGGATTCTACCAACTGGGGTCCGATAATCGTGTTTAATTGTGGCAGACGCCAAGCTCATGCCTAGGTCGATCAGCGATCCCCGCATAAACCTAAGCGATTGTTCTGTCTCGTGAGGACGAGCCCTAGCAGCAGGATCGACGATTTCTGATATAGCGAGGATAGTTAATACCATAATAGGCTGTGGAGTCAAGGTGAAAAGAAGACATGTGGTGATGGGTGGTTGGAGATCATAAGTTGGTAGATGGGTGGATGCCTTAGGTGTAAGGTGTCAGACGATGATGATGATGATAGGTTCTATTCGGGACTGTTGCGTGAGCCCCTTGCGTCGGGACCACGATATTCCGTGCTGAACATCGCACACAATTATCGCCTGGCCTTCCCCTCCCTCGAAAAGAACATCGCCGTTTCGAAGGAGAGCCGGGCTCTCTCCGCGACGGTTTCTTCAAGAGTTCCTTTTACGATGGTGCGTCATAGTTCGGCGGCCCCCAGTCTAACCCCTGGGGGACAGACCACCCTGGGCTCCTCGATCTATCCGGCAGAGTATATATGGAATTCCCTCTCCGACTCCCAGCGGGACTCATTCATCTCTACCGTTTTCGCGTCCCTTGTTGCGGGCGACGGGCAGCGCAAGCGCCCACGTATAGATCTCACTACGGAGGAGGATGCCGACCATGGTAGGGTCCCGTCTCTTGTTTTGCCTATCCTCCCCCGCTTCCCTGGCCTCGACCGTGCTGCAATCATAGCCGTCTTCGAGCACACCTTCCGCCCAAAGAAGGACCTCATAAAACTGCGTAGCCCCGAGTTTAAAGTCTCGGCACTGGATGGCGAGTCTTTCGACTTAAAATCTACTTCATCTGGCCTGCAATTGCGTTAGGTGATCTCAATCAAGGATTGGGGAAACGACGCAACCCTCTGGGCCCATTGCTTCAGCAACTACGTCGCTGTCTGGTGTGAATTCTTCGCTGCAAAGCACCCGGTATGCATCAGTGGGATGGTCCTCTTCCACCGTCGCATTTGTGACCTTGCCAGGGCATATAAATGGCAGGATTGTATCCTGCAAATGGCCCTAGACCACCACCAGATGGTTGTCGATAAAGGCGACCTCGCCGTTTCTCTTAGTGACTAGGAGATTGGGAAAGCCCTCGAAAGCTCCTACCTACGCCCGGACAACGTACTCCCAGCGAAGACGGCATCGACTACTCCAACCACTCGGTCAACGCGCTCTACCGCTGCCCCAAACAACGATACTGTCATCTGCGAAAAGTTCAACACTTCTGCCGGCTGCCACTGGCGAACATGTCACCGCCGACACATCTGCTCTAAGTGTGGCAACGACCATTCCGTGATAAGCTGCAGAGTCAAACCAGCGAGTTAGGACTACGCTAGGGGTGGCCCTGATATAGCTCAAACGCTATCGCCGCCAACTAGCTGGCCAGCCCCACGTCCTAATACTTCTATTCAATTTATGGTCTTCGACCCCTCCCTCCCGCCTATGCGTGATTCCACTTCCCCCTTCATCACCTCAGCGTGGGAAACTCTCCTAGAACACTACCCTGGCGACCTTGGGACTATTTGTAGCGGTATCCTTACATTCGGTTGCCGTCTCGGTTGTACGACCCGGCCGACAGACCGTCGAACTCCGAACCACCGCATTGACGAACCCTCTCTTATTACCCAGAAGCTCTCCCATGACCTATCAAGTCGTCGGGTGCAATTATCCACGGGTCCCGTTGTTGTTTCCCCGCTAGGGCTGGTGCCTAAACACGACGGGGGCTGGCGCCGGATCCATGACCTTTCCTACCCACACGGTCGCAGTGTCAACGAGTCTATCCCTGACTCCGCCTCTGCTATACAATATATCTCTATAGACAACATCTTCTCCCTTATACGCACGTCCGGTCGAGGATGCTACATCATCAAACGCGACATTAAGGATGCCTTCCGCAATATCCCCGTCGCCCCGGCTGACCGACCCCTCCTAGCCTTCTCGTGGGATGACAAGACATATATAGAGTGCTGCCTTCCATTCGGCCTTACAACTGCACCCTTCATCTTCAACCTGTTTGCCGAGGGTCTTAACTGGCTCCTAACTGCCTATTTGCCCTTGGCCTCTATCGTGCATTACCTTGATGATTTCATCGCTATTTTCCCTTCCTCCGTAGGAAGTCTCTCGAAAGCTCTTACCACTTTCAATACCGTATATATTCCTCTTACGGATGCGCTGGGCATCCCACGGAATGACTCGAAAGACGCCGCGGGTACCGTGGTCAGTGTCCTTGGGGTCGAAATCGACACGTCACTTCTGCAGGCCCGCATGCCTCACGACAAGCTAACACGCGCATCTTCCGAAGCCGCGTCGCTACCACAGCTAGATCGTGTCTCGCATAAAGCTTTGCAACGTGTCGTCGGTTTCCTCTAACATTGCTCAATGGTCATCCGTCTCGGCAGAGCCCGCCTTCAGTCGCTCTACAGCGACCTCGCTTCCTTCCCGTCTCACCAACGCTCCGTTCGCCGCCTATCCCATGATAGCCGCGGGGATCTTGCCTGGTGGAGGGACACTCTCCCGTTATTCAACGGCATCCATTTCTTCAACAAGAGCCGCCCCCCAGTTGCCCTCTACACAGACGCGTGCGACTTAGGTCTGGGCCTCTTCTTCTTCTATGCGTCCTCCTGGGACTCCGCTAGGGACTGGATGTCTGCAGCGCCTCACCTGCCTTCCACCCATGCGGCAATTGTGGACGCCTCCTCCGCCTGCAGCGACGTGGCCCACATTAACATCAAGGAGGTCTCCGCAATCCTGCAGGCCTTCCTTCTACATAGCCCCCATTGGGCTCATCATCGTGTCCTCGCTTTCACAGACAGCGCCGTCGCATTTCATGGCCTGTCTAAGCAGGCACTCCGGGGGCCGGCCCATCGCCAACTGCTCAAGCTTCTCAGCGTAGCAGCCGCCCTTGACATCGAAGTCCAGCCACACTGGCTACCTTCATCAGAGAACCTGCTTGCTGACGCACTATCCCGTTCCGATTATAAGACCATCGCTGACATTTGCCCACAGTGGACGAGCTCCTTTCCCTTGCTCCGCCCGCCTGGTTCTGCCGACAGCCAATCTTCGTGAATGCTGGCCATGCAAAGCTGGTTTGGAATGGCCTTGCAGAGGGCACTAGGAGAGGATATCGCTCTGCACAGCGCTCGTATGTCCGTTGCTGCGCTCTTATAGGAGTACAGCCGTGGCCAGCCACAGCCTCGGCAGTCTACACTTGGCTAACGGAACGCCTACTGGGCGCGGGCGGCTCCCCGCCTGTGAAGCCCGATTCAGCTATGTCTGAGCTCTCGGCTCTCCGCGCGTATCACATCGATAACGGTCTGCCTGATACAATTTTTGACCTCCACGCAAAGCATTTTCGTCGCATGGTCGATGGCGCTCGCCGGCTACAACCACCCCGCCGAAAACGGATTCGAAACCCAATTTCACGCGCCTCAATCATAACCCTTTCGAGTAATATCTCACACCTCCCTACCCAACCGCGAAGGCTCTCAGAGGCCCAGAAAAATGACCTTAATCTTGCCGTGGCCGCCCGCGTTGCCTTCGCCGGATTCCTTCGGTTGGGGGAATTTACATACTCAGCTGCCGACCTTAGAAACACTCAAGTCTTCACTGCTACCAAGTTAACCCGCGGGGATATCAGGTTATCCCCCACCATGGACCACGTCCTCCTCACGTTAAAGAGAAGCAAGACCGACCGAAACCACGAAGGTGTCAATATTGTCCTTGCAGCGACAAACGATGCTGCCTGCCCCGTTGAAGGCCTCTCTAAGCTATTCCTCCACGACTCACAACCCACGACTGCGCCCTTATTTACGCTCTCCTCCGGCCCTTTCACCTCATCCGCCTTCCAACGTGCGGTTATCTCTAAGCTCAACCGCGCCGGGGAAGATACCACGGGACTTAAGGGTCACAGCTTCAGGAAAGGGGCAGCACAACACGCCTACAACGCAGGCTTAAGAAATGACCACATTCAAGCCCTCGGGAGATGGTCTTCCGAAGCATTCCGCCTTTACTTCACGACACCTACAACAACACTATGCGCCTGGAACCGTCAATTCCAGACCGGTCATCCAACTCCGGTCTCATCTTCCATACCACCAGCCCCTCCACCATCCTCTTTTGGCCCACCGGGTCATTTGGGCCCGCCTGCAGCCCTCACAACGCTGTAGCCCTCCATCAACGAGGCCTACATCGCCAGGGTTTAGACCGCAGGTGCCCCGTTTGGGCCAAAATATCTTATTCGTCTCCATTTGTGCCAGTGTAGCAATGTTTGGAATAGAATATGATAGTCCAGCAAGGCAATACAAGTTCGATGAAAAGCTCTGAGCCAATGCAAATTTGACAAACAACATCATATATCCATTGTATATACTTCCTTCCCGGTACTTGAGGTTGATCGACCGGAAACCCAAACACTATACGGTACAAGCAAGCGCGTTCGCCAACAACTCCAGACAACCAGAGAAGTGATAGGCGAATGTGCAGACAAAGGGCAAGATCACATGTCAATCCGCTGTATAATCAGTACACCACATTCGACCGATCGTCTGCCTAGCGAGGCACAATTCGCAACTCAACGGACAGTACCGCTGACCCCTTCGTTGGTGTGCGCTTAAGGGACTTGAGGTCAAGTGGCCGCATAATATCTCGAAGACACAGGCGGTCGTAGCAAAAATCGAGAAGCGCTCGCTAAGTCTGAAGGATATATAGATCCAACAATCACATTGACAAGTAGTGGTACAGTTCTGTGATCTAATACTGTACAACATCAGTTGGACTATTTGTCTAGAGTCCAAGATTTGACAGCAAAATTAACAGTGGTCGCGCGACAGAGGGTGAGTCTCACCTGTTCTCACCCATTTCTCACCCTACCCTGTCTATTGCGCACTCACCCCATCTCACCCCTACTCGCACGGCCACAAAACGGCGATCACCCATTTCCACCCCAAGTTAAACTACCTGAATTGCTAGGATTGGCAAATCGTGCGTGGCTTATGTGTCCCGACACTTCTAGATATTTCCCCAGACTACTTGTGACACTTGCTCACAAATGACTGGATTGATATTCCTTATTGCTCTTGGTGTTTGGATCGGGTTTATAGTTTTTGCACTGTATCGGGAGACTATCTGTACAGCTTGACGATATACCGCTAGCATATAAGTCATACGTCTCTCCAACAAATCTCACCACAACATCTACCTCTCAACGAGTCTACTCCCTCTCCTCTATTCCCTTTGATAATCCCTAGTTTTACACGCTCTTCGTAGCTTTAAAATCAGTACGACACGCGTCTTGACAAACTTCCTTACATATCACTACTTGATGCATAGTAGTACCATTCCACCAATTGTTCGATCCATGAACACAGGTATGACGTCGAAGGACCAGCTCCCCCCTATGCTGGGGAGTTTCACATTTCTGGGTGGAAGTATCAAACGGCTTGTCATATGATGTGACTCAGTATATGATATGATATAGTTTTGAACAAAATATAGGGATATAGATCGTCCAGCCATGATTCCTGTCGGGATGTATCCTCCCGTCAGAATAAGCAAAGACATGTTGTACGTAATCTTGCTAAGCTGCGGCTCCCGCCGCATGGATTCAGGGGCATTGGACGAGGACTTGGAACACACATCTATCTACATTTTGAATCAATTGACTTTTTGCTTTACGGCATAACACTGTCCACTTAACTGTGTACACAGTACCTAGCTGGTGATACCAACAGTTACTGAAGTGAGGTATTTAAATACTGGTAGTTCCGAAGCGCTGGTGGGACCCTGAATGTTCCCCCGCCTTCTACTTACCAAATCCTGATCGGAATAACAAGTTTGATCAATAGGGTTTCCACGATGGCGATTGGGGCGGAATATGAATGCGTAGATAGCCAAATATTGGTGAGCTGGAAATATTGATTGATTTGAGTGGGAAGTATCAATTATGAAGAACAAAAGTCGGTGTATACAGCGGTATCATAATGTCAGTCCAAACCGGGGGTGCCTTGAACGTTATCACGCACCCTGTCAAAGCTTTGACAATTCTGAACGGCGAAAACTTCCAGATCAGAGACGACCCCATATAATCTGAGTTGTCTCTCATCGACAAATTGAAATTTTTAAGCGAAGCGTATGGAATCCCCTCCCATCATGGTGCACCTTGTGAACGGTTAGAACCTTGCTCGCACATAATGCTAAGCCTCGCTAGGTTCTCCCCGAAACCTATCGCGGCCTCCCCGGTAGTAGATAAAATGTGATCTGTAAGTTCAGCTCCGCTATATGAAATGAATATTTTCAAGATGGAGTGGCACAGTTCCAGTGGAGGAAATAGACCACTGATGATGAGACGTGCGGTGACGACAATACATTCCAGATCTTGATTGTCTCCATTCTCACCCACGAGCTTCGTGAATAGACTGGCGGACGCATACTGTATATAATTTTCCGAGGCAAAACCCGATTTGAGTTCTGATATATGCTTGTCGTCGGACAACAGAACGGTTTCGATATAGCGAGCCACATCATTGTAGTTGATTTGAAAACATAATTCACTCTGGTTAGAGTCTAAGAACGTGTAAATGTCAGATCCAATGCATTTTGGGAGCGGAATATCCATACACCACTCGCTTATTATCGTAGTCAAATCATTTTTTGAAAGCAACAGTTGGCTATGGCCAAGTGGCATTTTAAAAGCCGCCAATTCCCAGAATTGATCTTTTCGAGGATTGATTTTGTCCAAAACGGTCCAAAGCCCTTTAGAGAAGGAGACAGTTTGACGGCTTATATGCAAGTCCCAGTTTTTAACCAGTTAAATTGAAAGAGGGGTGGCGAATATTGACGTTGGTGCTGTGGCTTACAGTTGTGGCTTACAGGGCGCGTTCAAAACCTAGTAATGTAGTCATGGTAATAAGGACCAGCCCATGGTCGCGACAATCTGTAGAAATGGTAATTTACGAAGACAAGGTAAATGACATTGTAAGAGGACATTGAAGCTTGGCTATATTAGTTGAGCGGTTAGAACTGAGAAAGCTGATAGGTTTCGAGCATTAAGAGGCGGCGGCTTTTATACAGATCCGGCCTTGCCTGACAATCTATCGCACATGTGATATTGAGACCGGCAGAAACTCGGAAGCGAAAGCGTCGGGTTTGCGGATGGTTTCACAGTGGCTTGAAACCGCATTGGCATACAGCCATGAAGGCTACAAGAGGCCTTCTAAATGTCTGGAAACAAGTCTTTAATACGCCTTGGCACTACGAGATCTATTGGCCGAGAGCGCCGAAATTGCTCTAACATTCCTCTGGAGTCGCCCAACCACGGCACTCGGGCATCCCTATGTGGGTTCTAGACCGTACAACCCTTTGCGACCGGTCTCTACCAAATAGCCAACGGATCCGCCAACCCCGCAAAATTAGCTTATCAGTCCCAACCTCCTCAAATATGGCGTTTGGACGCTTCATGATTCTCCGAGGTTTTTGATTGATCAGTGTCTTAAAGCGCACGGTCAGTCAATGGGTACTGTGCAAGCAGCCAAGCTGTGCGGTTCGTGCCACTTAATCATGATTATCTCCGGGTGGAATCATTCTAAAAAGCGATAAGTAGAAAAGTGTCCATAGCTAGCGCCATGGTAATATGGTACCATGGGCGGAAATCTGTCAGGTGCAAGATATTCCTCGTCAGCCGGGCGTTGGTATCCAGGCTATTGGACGGTAAGTCATCGTCAATCGGGCGAATCAAACTCTCGGACATCTTTCGGAGTACGAAAGCAAGTCTAATTCCCATCCTCCCATCCAGACATTAGAAAACTAGACTATAGATTAAATATTCGAGGAGAGTGGCCTAGAGCTATCGCTCCCAATTCATAGCAAGTCCACCTTGGACCGCGTTCAGCACGTGGGATTATGAAATTGAGAATGTCACTGTCTCCAGGCTTCCAGTGCCTGTCGCGAAGGCTAATTGTTGCGATGTAGGGAGTACCTATATAAACGCAAACTTCAACCAGGGGCGAGGTGTACGAGCGGAGTAGTAAGCAGTCACGTAATTTTGTTTATCCGTTCAAAACTTGCGCCTAACAGGCGAGTAGACTTACGGTAGACCTGGTTGCTGACATCCGATGGCAGGAAACTTACAAGGGATGCGACGTGGTCGTCCGATACTTGATTGCGATTCGCCTTTCTGAACTAGTGGCTAAGAGCGGAGTAACCAACGTGCTTTTTCTGATAGCGCGCTTTGTCAGCCACGCCAAAGTCAACAGATGGTCATGGGGATATGATATTTTGAATAGCAAGAAGGGAAAAGATTATCGGTCAATAGCCGGGTGGTTGCCTCCCGGGTGAGTTTAGGGTGAGTCGCCGCTTTAGCGTCGCGCGACCGACCTAGTGTGGGCCAGGCCCCACGAACTGGTGATCTTCACGCCCGTGGGCGCCAATCAGCTAATCCATATATAAAAAATACATGTCGTCACTGGTGTCAGGCACAAGCAAGCTAGGCGCCGAAATGTCACTTCCTCGGCCGAAAGATGACTTCTGAGGTTGAAATATAAAATTTGTGGCATAGTACGATTTACTGTAGCGACACATTTTTCTAGTAGCTCCCTCCCACTCGATTATAACTCCGTTGCCGACACCTTTTGAGTCTATCGACATGTCTCTATCGAGCCTACCAAACGAAGTCGTCTTGATAACTAGCGAGAAATTGATAAAAGAGAGGGATTTTTTTGCTCTACTGAGGACAAACAAAAGATTCTACCGGCTTTTGCTTTCGAATCTTTACAAACGCAATGTTATTTATTCTTTGAGCTCGGCTCTTCCATGGTGTGTTCACCATGAAAATGAAGAAGGGGTGCGGTTATTTCTTTCGCATGGCGCATCCATCCACCACCCGGAAATTCTCCTTCCTCTCAGGTGGGAGTTCGATGAGGATTTTGGAGATGTTTTACATTTCGCAAAGACCCCAATCATAGCTGAACTTCTTCTCAGCCATGGAGCTGATGTGAACATGTGCACCAGTTTTGGAAACACCCCACTACATATAGCTATGCAAAAGGGTCAACGGCCGTTGGCGGAGGTCTTGCTTAATTATGGAGGAAGGGTTTAAGACAATAAAGTAGGAGTAACTTCGGTTACTATATGTTGAGGTTTCAGCAGTCTTCAATACCGCTTAAGGCCTTATCCGTGCCCTTCGCTACGCTGCGACCCACCCATACGCTCCCGCATATGGGTGCGCCACGCTCCCTTCATAGCCACTCGACCTTCATAGATTTTTGAATAAACCATGCGATTAATCAACCAAAACTAGCTAAAAACACGCAATTAACCCATAAAAAAAGAGCTCTCCGTTATCCTTCGCTTCCTTCGCACTATCCTTTGCCCTCTGAATAGTCTCATCCGATAGTTGTGAAGGCTTGAAGCCGTACGCCTTCTCCGCTGCCTTATCAATCCTCCGCTTCTCTGCAGCGTTTTCCTTCTCCTTCCGCTCTTTAATTGACCGATTCGCATCACGAGGGCGAAGGATACCATCCTGGCTTAGCGTTTTAACCTGCCGCTTAGTGTATACACGACGTTGGGGGGCTTGCGCAGCTCGAATGCGCCGAATCGAGTCCTGCGTCATAGCAAGCTCTTCAAGCTTCTCTCGCTGGTGTTGGAAGATCCTAGTGAGATTTCGCTGAGCTTTCGCTGAGCTTTCGCTGAATCAGAGGCGATATCTCTTAGAATCTTCGCCTGATTCCTCTCGAGCGCTTCGATAGTGTCTGGAGGGCTATTTTCTATACTAGAAGATAGCGTATATAGTGCTGGAGATGGTGTACGATCGGCCGATCGAAGCTCCGGTGCATATAGATCAGGAATACCGTAAAGTGAGCCTTGTACAAGACTATCTACGATATCACAACCGTTAACTGGCCAGATACCACTATCTTTGAAGGAATCGCGAATAATTCGCGGGTGGAATGTTCGCTCACGAATCGGCTGGATAATCCGTAGAAATTCAGCCTTCCCGTACGGTCGGCCACCCCAAAATGATAGCTCATTATTCTCGAGCCGAAATTGCTGTTTATAATTCAAAAAGGGCTTCCCGTCGAGCGGTTGACAGAGGTGTGTAGAATGCGGTAGAAATGCGAATGGTACGATCGCATACTTCTCGCATTTCTCTAGAAATTCGAGAGTTAGATGCGCGCCGTTCCCGTCGAAGATAAGGTACCGCTTCTCGCCCGGTAGTAAGCGATCACCAGCAGTCGCATTGATAAAATACCCTAGCCAGCACAGGGCTAGTTCATCAGAAATCCAGCCGTTCGGTGAAATTGCAGTGCCGGTATTAGGTGGAAGGGCTTCGCTACCATCGTACCAGGCTTCCTTGAAGTTAGATCCGCTACTCTTAAAGATAAAGAGCGGATCCATTAGCCAGCCGTCAGCAGCGATACATTCAACTGCTGTAATAGTTTCGCCTCGATCAGTTTCAGCTAGATCAGGGCAAGCTAAGCCAGAGCCGATAACCTTTCTCGATCGCCCTTGACCAGGTTGGAAGCCGCATTCATCAAAGTTGTATACTAAACGCGAGGGTACGCCATGGAGTAGCTGACCAATCTGGTCGTACTAATGCTCAAGGGCGCTCGCATCTTCGGCTTGGATTCGCTTCGATTCCTGCGGACTTCAATTCGTGACGCAGCGCCCCCCTGCGGAGTCTCTTGGTATCGCAGTTGTCACTGCGGAGTTCACTTGATAATGCAGAGCCTGCCCTGCGAGAGAGCGCATTTCTTCCTTCAATGGGCTCATGCCAGCGAAAGCCAAGACTGATGATAAGTCAAGTCTGCAATTAGAGAAGATGACCGTGACTGTCTTGGAGGATGAGGATGGAAGTCCTGAATTTTCTAGACCGGTTGTGGAGCGTCCTTTTATGTATTGTCGCCTACGGATGCTCGTAGCAGCCAGGTATGCAAAATCTATGGGAGAAGTGGTGGACTGCACTGTAAACCTGTAGGAAACACTTCATTCTTGCCGTTGAGGTGATTCAACATCCGTTGAAGTATGCGATCTAGAGTTTGCAGCTAATCTCGCCAAGCGCCCCACTTCGAACCGTGGCGTGCATGAATCTAGACGGGGCCACCCTTGGAATCAATCTTGGCGGTTGCATCTCATATTCAAGATGTTTACGGTGAATCACCTTCAACAGTCGTTGAAACAAACGTTGAAAAGTGCAAATAAATTTTGAGAAAATTTTGCAATCAGAGTTTTTCCTGGGTCGTTCTATGGAGATATGTGGATGGGACGTTTCTGTCTCGAAAATTATTGTCAGTTTATACACTCTCTTCCGCACGTCTTGGCTGACTGTACGGTCAAAGATCAAACCTGCGAACAGTCTAATAAACCAGGTCTTTTGTCTTTCCACCCGTGACACCTGAGCCACAGTCGCAACAGCAAACATACCATGGCACTTCCGGCGGCGACAATTCAAATGCAGCGTTGCGGCGTGTAGAAGTTGCCTTCGATATTTCCTAGGCCTTCAGCGTTATTTATCCGGCCATTTGGCTGAAAAGCCGCATGCATGCTGGTTCCGGACTGTCGGCGCGGCTTCTCGCGTCATAATAACCTGAAAGCCCATCACAAGGAGGCGGCAATCGCTACGTGGTTGCCCTTGATCGGATCTCTTGTGGATGCAGATGAGGAACCAGGTCGCATTGACTAGATGATTCCAGCATATGCTTGCTATTTGAATTCTTTTGAATATTTACTAGGGACGTCGTGTGGGGCGATCTCGAGCGTCCTGACTGCTAATTTAAAACATAATTCAAATTCGATAGAGTTTTCAGTACAGATTTCATGACCAAAGAATGTAATAATGACTATGTTAAGCGTATAACAAAACTCGGGAGCCGATACCCGCCGGCCGTGCAACTTGGCTCTGGGAGGACGGCCGCCGATCGCACCTTAGCCTAAGACGAGGCGAAGAATTTCCATAACGACTAGTACTAGCTTGATTGGTGATTGATGAACTGGGAGCGCTGATTGAAATATCGTTATAGAGAGCAATTTCAAAAATAACCTTTCATATTGTGTCTTAGTATGCCCTTTTTTAGATGTGATCTACTGGCCCCGGTTCCTTCTAACACCTCTTTTCTTTTTTATGGGACGTTCAATATCCCCTAGGGCTTATTTGGTGTGGCGGGGGTGGAACTGTTTATCACCGGTTTGCCGACGACGCTCGCGCTTTCTTGACACCGATCTATCTTGCGTTAGTTACATGATCATCCTGGCTTGTTGCCCCTAAAATTATGAAAAAGACTTCAATACTCACTTCATTCGTCTAGTCGGCCAGCTCCTGTCCTTCTGATCCCGTCTGATCGGTCTGCTATTTCTGTCAGGAATTAGACTCGACGAGAACGTGGTGTTGCAACGTATAGTGCAAAAAGGCCTGACTGCTTTTAGACCGAGCCTGATCATTCTAACTGAATTGAGTCGGTTCCGGCGACCGGCTTTTTTCAATGGGCTCAAACCGAACCCTCCGATTGTGTCTGCTCTCAGGCTTTGCAGCTAGGGACGATGCGCGCCTATGTTCTGTGGGCGTGGATCCTAGCTTCGTCCGAGATGAGCGCGTAGGTTTCGAGGAGCCCGCAGAGTCTGAGGAATAGGTCTCTCCCACCAAACTGTTATACTATTTTTTGTAATCCCTGAAAGTCTTGCTGCAGCGATATTTAGCGGCTTTCCTGTCATACTGCGCTATTGTCAACGAAGGAACTCTAACGTGGTCGAGGATGAGGGTCTGTCAAAAAAAGAGAATTTTCTGAAATAGATTGAGGGAAAGGTCCTATCTGCCACTTGAAAACGTGCCGGCGGGAAATTTATCAGTGGCCACTCACTCGAGTATTGCTATATTTATTTATTCCCTGAATGGTTGGAGGTGGAGGTTTGAGTTGAAAGTGGGGCTCTGTTGGTGAGGGAGGCTTGCAAATATCAACGTTGAGCCATCCCTAGTGAATGTCCAATTTTTATAGCCTATGGATTGTACTGTACCTACGAAAACCTTTTATGCCTTTTCGCCTTCGGCCACTCGTAGCTGCTAGGTATGCAGAGTTATGGGAGAGATGATGGACTATGCTGTAATTCCGCAGAAAATATTTCATTTTTGCCGCCAGTTGAGGTGATTCAACATCTGTTAAAGTATGCGATCTAGAGTTTGCGGCCAGTCTCACAAAGTACCCCACTTCGAACTATGGCGTGTATCGATCTAGGTAAGGCGCCTTATTGAATCTATAACTTGGTAATTGCCTTATATATTGAAGATGTTTAGGGTGAATCACCTTCCATAGTCGTTGAATTGAACCTTGTAGGGAGCTAATAAAGTTTGAGAGATGCCTAGCGAGAAGAAAATTCCTGGGACGTTTGGTAGGCCGCTTGGATGGCATTATAGTATTATTTAGTTCCATTTTGACCACACGAATGCATTAACTGGAAAGACTTCGTCACTGTTGTTCACCTTCACTAGCTTTAACGGTTATACGCATTACTGATATCTATTTACGTACAGAAATGCGGGCCGGCAGATTTTCTAAAATCGGTCTGCAACCTTGTGTCAGCTACGCTTGGCTTTTTCTGGCGTCGGTGATGAGTTCAGTGTTGAGTCTACGGTAGAGCAAGGGCTTTTGTTTGTGCTGGCAGGCCGAAGTGTCCACGCCTATAGGTTCAAGTAATCGAATTAGGGATTATTTCTCGGTGCTTGGAAATGTGATTGTTGAGTCAACTTTGAACTGTGAACCGAAAGAACCGGGTAAACCCCGAAGCTCCAATCATTTCATTGATCATAGTCCTCGAAGAGGCATTTCGAGGTCAAAATTTATTCGTCAATCAACACTTTTTTAAATGATGCCATGTCCATAAACTCATCACAGCTATTTCTACACTACATGAGCTTGGCTACTCTGGCGAGAGTCTTAAGTTGGTATTCTAAGCGTCACTCAAATTAACGAATATTGAAAGTAAATATGATTTCAACGGGCCTCAGATTTGGATAGCTACACGCAGAATTACGATAACGGTTGCCACTGCTAGTAGAAAGTCAAACTGGTGCTAACAACCATATGAGGAACGGGACAAGTCGAGATGTCTATAAATACACTCTACTCCCCCGGTCCTTTGCCCTAGTTGTTCGGACTTGACAGCGCCACACACTACTATCAGCAGACAGGTGATGAGTTCTCCGTCCACTATTCATCACCCCTTAACTCTTCCATTACAGTATACTGATACAGACAGGACTGTCGGACAGTTCCTTTGACAATACCGCGTGAAGATACACTCCTCTTTATTGACCGTCTGGTTATCATCTTGCGTTGTCCTGTTTGAGCTGAGAAAGCCAACGAGAAGAAATTTGGGCCTTTTGAAAAAAGTCCTGTTTACTCGAAATGTCGCGGCTGCCCAATCAAGTTGACCCCTTCGCTATCAAGACCCGCCTTCATTTTCAACAGTGCAAAAACGGGACTATGTTCGGGTATGTGCCTCGTTCCCCTTGCCTGACACTAATCTCGAAAACTCTTTGTACGGCCTAGAGTAGTGTGCGTATGGCCTGAATACACAAGTGCATGGTATATGGAAATCCCAATTCCCGACGGCCACCAATCAGTTAATGACTGGCAGAAATCGTATGTTGTGCCTCAGAAGGACATCGCAAGCTTTCGAGCGCCGCCATAAATGATCGATATCACAAAGCAGAAGCTTAGACACTATTTTCTGGCTAGCAGCACTGGTAGTATGTGACATCGCGTCACCAGTTCTGCCAACTGTGAAACCCTGCGACTGGGAATGTGCTCCAAGAACGGGACTGGGATCGAGCTCGCAACGGTTTGTGAATTGTTTGAAGCCACTCAAAGCCCCATGATCTGAAACCACACTGCAGTCAGCTGACCGACCGAAATAGGGAAACAACAAAGAAATGCGGTCGTCGTCGAATCAGGGACGTGGCAGTTGAAATAATTTGTTATCTTCCGAGTTGCCCCAACAGCGTACGTGCGGCGGACCGATGGCGGATCCCGATGTGAGTTTCTGAGCGCCCCCACATACTCCAACGCAACGACCAACCATTTTCAATGAAGAACTTCGAACCGTCAATCGTTTCTCGCACCATTCGCAAAGCACGCCAGGTAACTGCTCTCGTCAAGCAGTTAGGACGATGGATTTCTACCTTCTCGTGGTGTCCGGTGTCAGTACCCTCTCATTTCGTGGAGGGGAAGCCAAAAGAATCCGCGTGGGGTGAATAACCGGCCCCTTTCATAAATTACCATTTATTACGGACCCTCGCTACGCGAGGGTCTACCACCCATACGATATTACCCACCCAAACGATATCGCGTTTTCCCATACTAAACACCCTCTTTCAACCACGCGATTTCCCACCACCAACATGCCTAATTCGAAAGAATCTAATGAATCTATCGAGTCTCGCATCCAATTGGCTATTCTTGAATTAGAGAACGTTGAAAAGCCTAATATAAAGGCATGGGCGCGTGCTAAGAACCTACCGTACCAGAGGCTTCTTGCCAGGTATAAAGGACGCGCATCGCTTTCTGACCGAAGACCTACCGGTCGCCTACTTGATGAATCGCAAGAAAGTGCCCTTTGCCGTTATATCGACTATCTCGATTCAATTCATCTACCGCCTAAGCGACCGGCAATTGCGGCTGCAGCCAATGCTATACTAGCTGGTTGCCATACAGATCCTTCAACCTAACCGCCTACTATCGGTATCCATTGGCTACAGCGCTTCCTCGACCGTCATCCTGAGTATCTATCTCGCCGCCAGAGAGCTATGGATATCGAGAGAAAGAAGTGCCTAGATAGGTAGGGGGCAAGAGATTAGTTCAATTCCTACTAAGAGACGATTACGCGCTACGGGATTACTTCAGATAATATTTGGAACTTCGATGAGACCGGTTTCAATATCGGCGTTGGTAGAGATCAGTGGATTATTACACGCTAGCCTAAGCGTCAGATTTCTGGTAGCCTTAGTACTAATCGTGAATATGCAACGGTTATCGAAGCCGTTTCGGCTACAGGTATTACTATCGCACCGGTAGTAATCCTAAGCGCGAAGCTTCTACTACTACGCTAGTTTAAAGTAGTAGAAGATGAGCGAATCGCGGTTACCGATACTAGCTATCTTAACAACGTACTAGCCCTATAGTGGATTCGGCTATTTCATCAACTTACTAAGGATTCGGTGAAGGGTACTCATCGTATGCTTATATGTGACTAATTCGGCTTATATCTTATATACGAATTCGTCAAGTACTATAAGGATTATTAAATTATCCTCTTCTTCCTACTACCTCACTCTAGCCATATCCTTCAACCACTAGACGTTAGTGTATTTAGTGTATATAAGCACTGGCACAGTGAGTGGGTATATGATGCGACGGTCAGTGGCTACGAGAAGATTACTAAGGACGATTTCCTTGGTGTAATCACGTAGATTCGGCAGAAGACCTTCAAATCTTCTACTATTAAGCTTGGATTTCGATTGACTGGTCTCTGGCCAATCAATCCGAATATAGTGCTTAATTCATTGCCAGATGAGAGTACACCAAGCCCTCCCTTATCGGTGACTACTACTTCAAGTTCATCTGATCTTAGTACACCGAAGATAGCTGAGCGCGTTAAACGCATAGAAGAGCGGCTAGAGGATAAGATCTCTCGTATATAGCAATCACCCTCTCGTCGCCTAGTTCGAAAGCTTGCGAAAGCTGCTACTGAACTATCCTATATTGTATTGGAACTAGAGCAGAGACTCGAGGCTTCGGATTATCTACGAGAGAAGCGATTAGCCCACGATAATCGCTCACGAAAGTCTTCTAAGTTAACTGGTATAGTATCTTCTAGCCAGGTTGAACGTATGAAGCGAATTCTACAGAGTGGTGATGATTTGGTAGCTCTTATGAAGTTGCGACCGTACTACAGACGGAAGGTCCTACCGGAGTTAAAGAAGGTCTGCAAGAAGAAGGGTTATCTAGTTAAATAGTACTATTGATTTCTGTATTCTCCAATCAAATTACTTTATTTCTGTATACAAATTATCTTCTAAATCGCTCTGTTTTGGTGGGTTAAATCGCATTGAAACTAGGTGGTTGAATAGTATAGTGATACGATATCGTTTAGGTGGGTAATATCGTATAGGTAGTAGACCCTCGCTACGCGAGGGTCCGTAATAAATGGTAATTTATGAAAGGGGCCGGTTAGACCTCGCCAAGCGTGGGTTTGGGTTGGGTTTTCAATTTCTTTACCCGCCCACGGGTAACCCATCGCGGGTTTTGGTCTTTATAAACCCGCCCGTGGGTTCTTGGCGGGTACCCATGGGTTACCCAAAATACCCAAAATCGTGGATAAATCGTGTATAAAACCGATTAGTCACCTACTGTAATTGTGGTATTTTATTATTGTCACGCTTTTAGGTGTGTGTTACGTTTAAATACTGCTCCCTCGCTCTCCGAAATAAAATGTAATGCTCTATGTTTCTGCATAATGTCTTTCTTCAACCTTAAGGGATCAATAGCATTATCGATCCACTTATGAGGATTAAATGAATTCTAAGCTGACTGCGTTGTATCTAGTCAATAATTGTAATATTGATACACTGAAAATTATCCATTGTGAAGTTCTCAGCTTCCCCCTAAAGTCGCACGGGTTTTGGGTTGGGTTGGGTTTTGGGTACCCGCGGGTTTACGCGACTCATGAATAGATAGATCCAAACGCACGACGCGACTCGAACAAAACCCACATTGAAGCACACAAGATGAAGAAATTTATTTTCAAGTCTGATAGCATAAACCATGAATATAGCCTCCTCTTCTTCTTCCTCGTCATCGCGATCAATCTATTAGGCTTTTAGCCCCCTGCTCTCTATTGAGCCACCGTCTGACGTTTTCTTAGACTCGGATATTCAATCTTCTGTATGAGAATAAACCCCTCCTTCGTGTGCCTGACTGCTACGAGACTATGTAGAGATATACTGAGATAGCCTCTAGCCTTTCACTGAATCCTGTTAGAGCTACGATATATCCTCTCGAAGACCTCCGGCGACGCTAAGACGTGTAGGACCTTAACGCAGAAAGAACTGGATTTTATTCGAGTTGAATCTAGAGAGAGTATTCTTAGGCTGGTGGGAAAAAAGTGAATACGGCCACAAGTTGAATAGGGACGGTCAGTCCTAGATCAAATAGTCTACCGAGTCGCGTCACGCCGATGTTTAGAAACACTTTAACTAAGTAGCCGACGTCGATTTAGGGCGCCCACGAGTCCTCTGCAAAGCCTGTCTTACCCTACTTGATCATCCACAGTACAAAGGAAATGGGACAAGTGCTATGAGTAGACACTAAAAGTCTAATTCTTGTCGCAAAGGAAAGAAGAGAGGGTCTCATCAAACTCTGATTTCCGATTCGCTACAAAACCATTCCATAAGAGAGTTACCTAATATAGACAAGGTAACCACATTTTAACTTAAGGAGCAGTTGTTAAAGACCATCACCTGTCTTCGGTTACCATTTCAAACAGTAGAGAACCCTGTGTTCCAGAGACTACTAAACCTCGTATACTCAGGACCTAAGGTACTAGAACTTCCGTCAGCGAAAACCCTACGAAGACGGCTCCGCGACGTAGTTACAGTTCAACAGGAGTCGCAGTTACGAGATCTGCCTAATAACGCTAAGGTATCACTCGCCTTGGATTGTTGGACCAGCCCATTCTAGCAAGCGTTTATAGCAATTACGGTTTATTTCATTGACAAAGATTGGAATTACCGGGAGATGCTTCTTAGCTTTGAACCGTTACACGGTCCTCACACCGGGAGCAACCTTAGTGATGTTCTCCATCAGTTACTGAAGGAACGCGGACTCTTAGATCGCATCTTTAGCGTCACTACAGATAATGCGACCAACAATAAGACTTTGATCCGCGCTTTACAAGAGAAGTTGATCTCCGCTAGTGTAATTAGCTCCAGGGAATCCATAATCCGGGTCCCTTGTATGGCCCATATAATCTAACTTTGTCTAGAACAGCTTTTAGGGCATATTAAAGTAGCGCCTAAGAATAAAGAGGTAAAGACTTTTTGGTCAGATACACAAGCCATCGGATTAAGGGACTTAGCGAATCACGGAAATATAGCTTATACCCTAGCAAAGGTGAGCTTGAAGTTTTTATGGACAATGGAAATCCAGAAGGTATACTAATAGAGACAGATTCGATCCTTTGCGGTATTCGTCAATACAAGCCCATAACGGCGAGACGCATTTCTATATCTTCAATCCGGTGGTGCCCGGCTGTTTCCTTTACATAATATTCAAACACGCTAGAATTCCACGTTTTTAATACTTCGCCGTGCGCGTCGACTAAGGAACATCATCGATAAATACTGTAGTGACCATAAATACTCGCAGTTCAAGATCACCGACGTTAAATAGCGGTAGGTTGACTACCTAGTCCACTTGACTAAGCCGTTCTTTTAATTCACTATAGCTCTAATGAAGACTAAGGACGTTACGATTCATAGCGTATTTCTGGTGTATAGGAAACTTCTGGAGCATATTAAACGGTTAAATCGAAAATTGAAGAGAAAGACAACTCCTTAGAAGAAAGATATGTATAGCGCTCTGATTAGTGCGAAGCAAAAACTGAGAGAGTACTATAAGAAGACCTATCGTGACCACGGCTTTCTCTATAGTATAGGGGCTCTTCTTACTCCTTAATACAAATTATCTACCTTTAACGATAGGGACTATTCTACTTGCCACGAGGATACGTCAAAAAGGTACTATAAGTACTTAAGAACGTGTTTCACGCAATATCAGTAATAACACCCCGAGCTATTATTTCGTACAGTACATCGTTCGTCCGTACTACATAGTTCAGAACTTGATCGGCTACTTATGCCTATTAATGATTCTATACCCCACGAAGGAGTAGAGTATGATAAGGTCGATCAGTACCTCCGGGAAGGTACGAGGCAACGGGCATCCTACACTAGCACAACTAACTAACTTCCGTAGTAAATATTCCGATTCTACCTCGGCTCTACTAGAGAGAACACGAGCGTGAATTCCCTGTACTTTCTCGGCTTACACGCGACTTGCTCTCGGTTCCGGCCACCGGCGCGGGCGTTGAAAGGCTTTTCAACAGCGCTCGAGATATCTATCATTATCGTCGAGGATCTCTTCATAAAGCAACTATTCAGGATTTGATAATGTATATATACTCAGAAAGATTCACACTAGAGGGAGAGCAGTTAACTCGCCTAGAAAAGCCAATAGAGAGCGAGAGTCAAGAGGAACTTGAAGAGGGAGAAGCGTTAAAAGCAAATGAAGAGGACGCTAAGTAGGCCTCTGCACGGGACCGGAAAGACCGCACCCAAGACCGCATTAGACCGCACCGCGCGGTCTTTGGTCCCAGACCTTGAGACCGCTGGGCGGTCCTACATTTTTAGGGACCGCACCACTGCGGTTTGGTGCGGTCCTGCGGTCCTGCAAACAAGCAAAACATCTTAGACCCAAGGTATGCATAATTTATGTAGAAGTCGCCTGTATTTTTGAGTATTCTGCTTTCAAATGATATTTAATTTTATATAATTCTGAGGTAGGAGTAAAGAATAATTCTTTGTTTGGTGTCTGTTGATTTCTACCGAAAAAGCGAGGATTGACTGATTTCCTTATGAATAGCTTATGTGGTTCTTGTTTCTATTAAAGATATACAAAATCCTCATCCTGTCTCAAGCGCTTTGGAACACGCCCAGATGAACGCCTCTGAGTAGTCCTCCCTTCTTCTAAGTGGCTATTATCAGGCAGGGGAACCTCATCGTCATCATCGTCAAGTTCAAATAGCTGATCCGGGGTAGCCCTTCTCTTTCCAAGCGCTCGCGCACTAGGAAGTTGGATAGTTTCGGCAGAATCTTCAGTAGTGGATAGGTCTTCCTCGTTATCACTAATTGGATCAAATTGTTCCTCTTTCTTCTGGGCGTCCTTCTGCTCTTTCTTTGCTTGCTTCTCTTGCGTAGAAAGATACTCATCAACTAGGGCAAGCTGCTCTGACTCCACGTCAAATTTTGTTGTACACATAAACAACATCAATTCCTTGATTGTCTGCGGTTTCAGTGAGCCCCGGCGATAATGGCAGATATCACGCGCAGAGTTAAATAACCGCTCAACGCCAGAACCACTGGCTGGTGTTGTAAGGATGTCTCGAGCAAGGCTTGCCAGAATAGGATATTCATTTTGGTGTTCTTTCCAGAAAACGAGAGGGGTTGCTTCGACAGTACCTAGTGAGGGTGGTATAAGAGAAGGAGTATATAAGAAGAGGTATATAGATTAACTTACTACTTCTAAGATACCGTGTAAGCTCATCTGGAGCCGTCACGTTTGACTGAAGAGATACAGTAGGTCTCAGAAGGATATCAATGTCAGAGACGTCTTGAATTGTGGGCTGGAGAGTTGATGTAGACTGTGCCTCTTCGTAGCGCTGCCGGTAAGGCTGAATGTAAGCCTCTAGCGACTGCTTATAGCGAGGCCCCCAGTGAGGTTCCCATTCAGATGTTGTGAAGAACTCTAGCTTGTTCCGTGGTCCTAGGATAGTCGCAATTGCATAGAGATCACCAGGAATATCATCAGTCTTTCCATAATACTCTGTAAGCTTATCGCGCGCACGGTCAAGCGCGGACTTCATCACTCTCTTCCAACCAACCTTCTTTCGCGCTAGCTGCACTTTCGCCTTATCAATATGTGTGAATAGGGCGTTATAGATACCAAAGACGTTATGGATAGTCACGTCTGTAGTTGCCGAAAGAGACGAAGTGAATTTGAAGAAGGGATAAGTGATTGACAGAAGATAGTCAACTTGTCGCCATTTATCTCTGTCTATCTTTACATCAGCGAGGTTGAATTGGACACAGAAGTCATCAAAGGCAGACTGCAATCGCCGGGCACGCCTGAGCATGAGGAACGTCGAATTCCATCGTGTCCGAACATCTTGTATAGGCATAAGCTTAGGCTCTTTCGTCTGAAGCCTTATGAAGCTCTCGCGGCGCTGGGGACTTTTGTTGATGTAGACTGCTACCTTCCGAACCTAGAATATAGTGCGAGTTAGTAAAGAAAGAGAGATAATAGTAAGAGATTAGAGAGAGCTAGACCTTGTTCAGAGTATCCACGATCTTTCTATTCTCTTGCCGAGCTATATGCCCTTTCTCGGTCCATTCAATCTCTTCCCTCTCGTTTCCTGGGTTCGCGTCCATCTGACCAAGGAGCTCCTTCAAACTGAGCTGTATAACATGTGCAATACATGGTATACGAATAACCGGTATACTACTAGGTAGCTGTAGGGATTCGACGACCTCTTGAAGGCTACCGAGTAATGTTCCGTTATTAGATGCGTTATCAGTAGTAATAGTTAACACCCTCTCAGTAATCCGATGCTTCTCAAGAAGGTCAAGCAGGACAGTGCTTAGATAGGCCCCCGTATGTGAGCCCTGTAGAGGTTCAAAGCCAAGCAAGAGCTCTCGGTAATTCCACTCTTGGTCAATGAAATAGCCCGTTATTGCCATAAAAGCTTGGCGAAATGGTGAGGTCCAGCAATCTAATGCAATAGAGAGCTTAGCACTATTAGGAAGCTTCTGTAGAAGAGTATACTGGCGTTCTTCCACGATCTCTTGAAGATGACGGCGGACTGTGGTTGCAGTTGGGATTTCGGGGAAGCAGGGAGCAAGCCGGGCCATCTCAAGAAGGGCGCGAAATTCAGGATGCTCAATAAGCTGGAAGGGTAGCCGCGAGGCAGCAATAAAGGTAATTAACCTTTCCATCCAAGCTTGCGGCGTAAATGATGCTTTACGAGACGACAGATATGCCTAGAAGGGGTATTTTATAAGATTAGTAATAATTAGAAAAAGGTAGACTGATTATCCATACCCCGTTCTTGATAGCCTTCCTAATATCTTGCGACTGAGTCGGTCCTCTCCGACAGGTACCTACTTGCGAATAATGCCTATTCATAGTAGATGTTCCCCGGCGCTTATCGGCAGGATGGGCAAGGATATGGTCGCAATTCTTGCATATTACCTTAGGAGACCCATCCTGGATAGTAGCGACCTGGTAGAAGTGGTCCCAACATTCTGCATTGCGTCTACCCTCAAAGATATTCCGTTTCATCTTACTTCCATACTCCGTCTTTAACCACCAGACGATGAAATCCTCATTCGCCATTTCTGTCCAGAGGATATAGTTTTTCCTTTTAGGAGGACCAACGCGTTCGAGTGTTTCTGGGATAACAGGAGGAATCGCCGGTCGGAGTAAGTTCACGTTAGGAGTAGAAGTTGGCGTTTCGCGCCCGTCGAGGTTAAACAGCCCATCAGATGTGAAGAAGGAGAAAGTATCTCGTGGATTATCCTCAAAAGCCGATGAGGGATACTGATCAGAGAACTGAGAGGAGGCCTGACTCTGTAACATTTTGACGAAATGAGTATAGGATAGGACGGGGGAGGTAAAGGACTTAAGGAGATACCTGCTAAAATATTTCCGTCTACTAGAAAAAGCTGAATAAAGGATTTTCTCTAGGAGAAAGCTATAGGCATGATTTAGATAGATCAAATTGAATTGTAATAGTGATTAGGCAGTAGGCTCCACTTTACTACAATCCGATAGGATAAGGGCTACGAAGACCGCAGAAGACCGCATAGAACCGCAGGAAAAACCGCGATAGACCGCATAGAGGGCTGCAAAGACCGCAGAAGACCGCATAGACAGCTAGTAGGAAATACTATGATTGACCGCAGAGGACCGCAGAGAACCATGAGGAGGACCGCACAGGACCGAAAAGGACCGCTAGAAGGCCCATATAATAGTATAATCCTCCTTTTCTTTCTAAGTCTACACTTCATATCAGAGAAACCAATTTTGAAAAGAGATTATTATGATATATTAGTAGTAGAATATAGAATTTCAAGATAAATAGTTAACTAGAGAATCTAAGCTCTCTGATAATACCCTTAATACCTATTTTAGCTGTATGTAGGGGGTTATGTACACTCAACGAAGAAGTCTCAGATGAAGATAGGGTCAGGTACTGATATCGAAATATATATTTCTTACCTCATACACCTAGCCAGCAATAATTATTACTAAACCTCTCTATTAGAACTTAGAAATATACTAGTACTGGCAGGTCTAGGTATTTTAAATAGTAGATTTTCTATATACGAGTATATTTCATCTGTTTTCATAGTGGCTGATGCTGAAATACAGTAAATGTTTATGAAGGGACCAAAACAGTGTTTAATAACAGTAATTAAATGGGATGAATCATCAATTTATGTAGCCGAAAAGAGAAGGTCTTGGTAGAATTATGCAATTGCGGTTCACCGTGGTGAAGACCGCAAGGGACCGCGGTTCACTATGGTGCGGTCTCAACCCCCGAATTCGAGACCGCAAGACCGTGCGGTCCGGTCCGCGGTCCTCGACCTAAGGACCAAGACCGCACCATGCAGAGGCCTAACGCTAAGCCAATCAGTGACGATGAAGAGGTCGAGGAAAGGGAGGACTTCGAGCGCAATCTTGAGCCGGAAGGGTTACACCAAGTAGAAACTATACTAGTAGAGGGTGATCAGTTCTTAATGCACAGCCAGACAAACGATGTGGAGGAAGACGAAGAGCAGGAGGAGGAGGGCGAGGAGGCACCTGAAGATGAAACAGATTTGCTTCCACCTCCGATAACGTAACTGGGTGATAAAAGTCAGAAGAGATCCTCTGGTAGAGCCACGATGCCCTCGAGTCGGCTACGTGGGTACGAACTATACTAATCTTCGTCGTGAGACAATATCATTTCTATTACTTGAAGTATTTATTCCCAATCCCTTAGTCATAGATCATACAATGGCTATACCGTTATGTAATCAAAATTTACTGCACAATTTAATGTAAAATGAGGTGTCAACTTGTTTTGCTTTTTTGGGTTATACGGGGTACCCATTTGGGTCTTGGGTTGGGTTTCCTAGTTGACAACCCGCCCATGGGTCTGCTGACTAAGACCCAACCCAGCCCATGGGTTGGGTTTTCTTGGGCGGGTTTGGGCGGTGGGCGGGTTTTGGCGAGGTCTAGATCGATGTCAAGAAAGCGCATGGAGCGTCGTCGGCAACCTGGTGATAAACAGTTCCACCCTCGCCACATCAAATAGGTTCTGGGTGGTGTCGAAAGCCCCATGAAAGAGAAAAGGGGCGTTAGAAGGAACCGGCGTGAATAGATCACATCTGAAAACGGGCATACAGTCGGATGGATGGATGGATGATTTCATTTACGCTGACCCCTCGCGAACGATATGCAGCATACAACAATTATATATCACTGTACGTACATGTGTCTTGAATCACTTCTTAAACGAACTTAGAGCCTCGTTGGGGCCTGTCATGGCCTCGTAGCCGTTATTTGGATTACTGCCCTCATGGCGCGCGGCTTTGGAACCGTTGTGATGCTTCTGCGAAGTCCAAGATAGCTTCCACTGCCTTGGCTCGCGGAACAGTGTCGCCTTCTCTAGGTCCTCCTACTCCCAGCAGTGTTGATATATTGTTAAGTGCGTCCCCAACCTTCTCTCGAAGCTCCCTACGTAGATGGCTCAGCGCGGGGCAGTCCAGGAGGACGTGCATCACACTTTCCCGCGCGCCGCAGATATACTGGTCGTCTTCGCGATGGCGGAATAACTTAGCGTATGTTGACAACCAGCAATGTCCTGTCCGCAACTGCGTCAGGAGGTACGCTCGGTTTCGAGGTAAGTTTCCGTAGAGCTATCTCGTGTATTTGGCTGGCAGTGAGTTGTCGATCTTGCGGAGGTAGCTGCCGTTGCGGGATTTTTTCCATTCGCTTTCCCACTGAGCGTGGATGCCATTCCTGATGTGGGCCCCCTCTCGCGATAGCAAGGGAGAAAACGGGTGGGTCTGGCCTAGCGTGGCCGCCTCTTTAGCTAACCGGTCTGCTATCTCGTTCCCGGGTTCATCGCTATGTCCGGGCACCCATTGCAAACTGACTGTGATGCCGTGAGTCTTGGTGTTTGTAGCTATTCTTAGGATGGTATGGATGATCTGTTGTCCTGACTTATTCCGTGGGTTCTGGATTGCTTGTATTGCTAACATACTATCGCTGAGGATAGTCGCCGATCGGGCCCGAGTTTCCGTTGATCTTCGACGTTAGAGAGCGATCTTGTTGATGAGGATGATTGCGTATAAGATCCCGAGTAGTTCGGCGGCGTGTACTGACCATCGGTCCATCTGGCTAACCTGGATTTGTAGGCTTTCAGTTATCTCCGGTGAGCTATTATTGAATCCTATGGCTGCAGTGCCGAGGTGACCGTGGTGTCCCGAGGCGTCTAAGTAGACGACGATATCCGACTTGGACCGTGCCGTCTCCGCCCGTCTTATCGCGACCTCCTTATCGCGTTCGATCTCAATCGTTGAGAAGGCCTCGGTTCGCCATAGGGGAAGTGGAGTTGGATCGATCATTTCGAGGTCGTGTAGTCTCTCTAAGGACATTGTTTTTAGGGCCTCTGCGAGCGGGAATCGCGCGTACGTCCCGATATTGTTCCGTCGTCTCTGAGCGCGAAACAAAGTGTCCCATATTGGGTGCTTCCGTGGTAGCGTATAAAGTTTAGTGATAGTGGTTTAGGCGCGGAGGCGCAGGCGAAGATGGATTGGTAGTACATGCGCCTCGACTTCGAGTGTGGATGTTACCACTGTCCGGAAGGCGGAGAGAATCCGGATCAAGGCTGTTCGTTATACTGTGCGTAGGTATCGAAGGTGCGTTTTGTCTCGTAGCGTGTCGTGCCAGACCGTCGATGCGTATTCGACGACCGGTGTAACACATGCTTTATATAGTTAACGCATTTGCTCCGGGCGGAGCTATCGCAGTCCTCCAAGTGCAATGTTCACTTTAGTGGCTCGCTTGACTACCTGTTGCACGTGTTCTTTCCAACGAAGCTCGTGATCGAAGATCACACCTAGGAGCTTGGCGGTTGTTGACGGTGTGATGGTTATACTGTTCATAGTGATCTGGCCTTAGCATTGTTCACTTCTCTTCCTAGTGATGTAGATAAGTTCGGTCTTCTCCGCTGCGAAGCTAGACCCCGTCTTCCGCGCCCATGCTTCGATCCGTGGTATGTCCTCGGACTGGATTTTCGCTAAGTTTCCTTCGGCGGACCAGCCGACCCGCCAGCGGAAATAGTCGTCGATAAAGGCTGATGCCCCGCCATAGAAGTCGACGGGCTGGTCGACTAGGTCGCTATTAAAGAATGCGAAGAGGATAGGCGAGAGGGGGGAGCCTTACGCCAGTCTAGCATTATGGAGTGGTCCTACCTCCGAGCAATAGTCATCGAATTTAATGTTGGCGTGCCGTCCACTCATGAAGCTTGCAATCCACCTTCTCGCGATGGTGGGGATACCCTTAGATTAGAGGCGAGCGTCTAGGCTTATCTGGTTCACCCCATTGAATGCCCCCTTCAAATCGAAGGCCACTAGGGTAATCACTCTTTGTCTATACCACGCTCGGTCGATTGCATTGCTCAGTATTAGCAGGGCCTACTCAGTGGTACGTCCTGGGCGTCCCCCGAACTAAGTGTCCGGGAGAAGCCCGTGGTGCTCCGCGAGGTAGGATAGCCGCTTAGCTATTACTGCTTCGAGCAGTTTGCCGAGTGTGTTTAGGAGTGAAATCGGGCGATAGGCTCCTAGGACTGAGTAATCCGGTTTCCCGGGCTTTCGTAGCACAATAATGCGGGCGTTTCTCCATCTTTAGGGGTGATATCCCAGCTCTATCGATGCTGCGAAGATCCTAGTGATAAAGTATCCTAGGTGCCTCCATAGACGTTTCCAGATTAGTATAGGGAGACCGTCTTCTCCTAGAGCTGACGAGCTTTTTGCTATTCTTAGAGAGCGGTAGACTTCGGTCACGGAGATCGGTTGCCACGGGAGTTCCGTAGGGGCCTCCGTAGAGGATTCCTCTTCAGCAGGCGCTATAGGAGGGAAGAACGAGTCCATGAAGGCCTTAGCTTTCTCCTAGTTATTCGTTACCTCTCGGTCGCCTACTTTAAGAGAGGGTATACAGCCCTAGGAGTCTCGTAGTTTCATGTACGTTACCGCTTTCCAAAGCTTTCCTTCACCTGCCTCATCTAGAAACTGTCTCCAATATGATGTCTTGTATTTCTTAATTATTCGTGTCCATATCCGTCGCTTCTGGCGCATATCTTCGAAGAGCGCCATAGTAGACGGATCGTTCAGCCCTATTGCCGCGTAGCTCTCTTGCTATCTGCGCCGTGCGTAGTTCACCTCTTTTTGTTGAGACTTTAAATTAGCGGTGAACCACCGCTTTGCGTAGGGAGACGGCCGTAGGTCTGGAGTATGGCGGTTAACTGCTCTTGCAGTTTCTTTTATAAGTTTTTCTACCGTGGCATCAAGCGCCTCGATCGTGGTCGGGGTCTCCTAGGGTCTTATGTATCTCCACACCTCCTATCTAATCTTTTCCTAGTCCGCTCGATCGTAGGCTTTTCTTGCCTTAACTGCGGGGTTACGCTGTGTTCGGAGGTTCCACTCCGAGTACGTTGCTCGATGGTCGGAACCATAGTTTTCGTGGTAGAGGTGGTATTTAATGAGTAGGTCGGGCCTGTCGGTCACGGTCTGGTCGATGGTGGAGTTTCTCCCCGGGTGGCTTAGCGACTAGAAGGTCGCAGTGCCTCGGGGTAGGTAGCTTTAGAGGCCGTTACCTTGGAAGAAGTCGATTAGCTCCCCTACATCCTCGACGAACCGGGGTTGGATATGGTTACTGCCCCACGCTGGGTAGTGTCGGTTGAGGTCTCCGGAAAGGATAAGGTAAGCGCTCCTGTTGTTATCTTGGAGGGTATTTTGTATCGTGTCTTGGATAGTTAATAGTACTGTTGCCGCCGATGCTTCCTTAGGCGTGTGCATCGGTACCGGCGGGATGTAAACTGAAAAGATTAGGATTTAGGTGTCGGCGGTCTAGACCTTGACGGCTGTCAGGTCTGGGTGGTTGTATGGTAGTTGCCGGTGAGAGGACGTGGAGAGTTTCCGATTTATATAGATAAGGCTTCGAAATTGGACTGAGTCGCTCTCCACCGTCGGCCGGTAGAGCCGCCATGCGCTGTGATTCACGTGTGTTCCGTAGGCCGTGGTAGGCGGCTCCTGGATGAGAAGCACGTCTAGGTTCTGGCTCTGGTGATCGTTGATGAGGGCTTCTATACCCGCCCTCGATTTCATCATGTTTAACTGTAGGATTCGGAGGTTGTTTCCTAGTATTGTAGGGCGGGAGCGCGGGTAGGCTTCTGGTATAGGGGGTCTCCGGTGGCGTGTTTACCACCGTAGTCTAGGTAGTGGGCTCTGATATCCGGTGGGCATCGTGTACGTTCATGTTAACCGCCGTAGTGTCCGTACCGGGGGTCTTCCTTACACGACCATGCGAGGTGACTAAACCCTTGGCAGCGGAAGCACCGCTTCTTTTTGATTTCGAATTTCTCTACCCGTCTAACGCAATGTTAGTCAATCATAAGGCCGTTGTTGAGCAACCAGTGTGCCGCTTCTGCTGATTCGAGCTAAATGCCTATTAACCTAAAGGCCCCTAGCGTTTTGTCTCGTTTCTTCAGCTAGGCGATATCCTCGATTTGGAACCCGCGTTCCTGGAGGTCGTTCTCTTCTATAATCTTTCGGATGGCTCTTTCTTTGTCTTACTTAAGGTTCAGTCCTCCTGTTGGTACGTGATGTACGACTACCCCGAATCGTGGTTTGACTAGCTTAGTCTCGTTCCCTAGTTCGCGTAGCCATTCGTTGTTTTTGCGCGCTGTCTCGGCTAACGTCGAGTCTTTGAATCGGATCACGTATCTAGTTTTGGTAGTGCCGATCCCTGCAACCTACACGTCTTGGGTAGATGGATCGTTTAATAACGCTGTTCTGATACGGTCGTTCGCTGCGGGAATAGGCATATATCGGCCGAATCTGTTCGCTATTCCTTCCGTTCCGGGAGCGTCGGTGGGAGACTCTTGGGTACTGATTCGGACACAATTGTGGTCTTTGTCCGGGCGTTGGCTGCTCGGCTGGGGGTTCACACTGCCCGCACTAGCTGCTACGGCGGCCCACGACCGAGCCGATGGCGCCGGCGGTGGACGGTCGAGCTATGCCCGTAAAGCCTTGACTTCTTCGTGGAGCTTCTGGTTCTGTTCCTGGAGCACATTCTGACCGCGTTTAACATCCTGTAATTCGCCTTTGGTTGATTCGATGAGTGTGGTTTGGCGGTGGATGATGTCTTTTAGTTCGTCGATGAGCTTCCACACCTCCCGTGTGGTGACCCTACCAGTGCTCTCCTCGGGTGTATAACTCTTATTGAGCCGTCCTCTTTTTCTTGTGATTCGTGTTAGGATGTTGGCCACTCTAGGCTGGAAATCATCAACTGAGAAACTGGTGGTCTCCTGGGTGTTTGTGGGCGTGGCCTCGGGAGGCCCCGCGGGTGGGTCCGCCATCGGTCCGGGGTTTAGTTCCCGCTCGGTACACAAACCACAATTTTATATCGCAACGTAGTATCAACCATAACAAGCAGTGGTTCTCGAAATCCGCACCTAACAGTCGCAAAGCTACAGTAGTTTTCCGCCGGTACCCGGGCATACAGTCGTTCTCGAAATCGGCTTGACCGGTACACACTCTCACACTCTCTTCCGGCCCCACTGCCAAGATGCTAGCGCAGATCAGTCATTGTCCTGGCCACACTAGATTGAGGAAGGCTGTAAAATGCTCCTGGTATGATACGGTACCTAGCGAAGCAATAATACACTGCTCTCATGAGAATTCCGTGGAAGCAAATTGTGGATCGCAAATCATGCGGACACGGCCACCACCTACCTGTTCCTCGACGATCTATCAGATGACTAGAGCTTTATTGAATATTCCATGTATAGTATAGAGATATATAAAGCCTCCTCTTCCCCCAGACCCTTCTTTTAAAAAAAGAGATAAAAAAAGGCTACGAAAAGGGAATCGAACTGAGTTGCATCTATATATGAAACCCGATAAAGGAAATCCGCCCTGATGTATGCCCCAGGGCAAGTGTGTTCCCATTAACCTTGAAATGGCTGGGCCGAAACTCAACAGGAAGCCAGAGAACCTTCTCACCATTCAATTTTAACCATTGATCCCCCTCAAAAGAGATACCCGAACTCGCGTGAGACCGAGTACGTGTAGGAATGTCACGCTTGGATTGAATGGCAAGCGCACCGGAGTCGGTGTGGAGATATAGATTGTTATCAGAAAATTCCACCGCAGTAACACTTTTTCCAGCATTCCATGTTTGGGTGAGCGCGCTCGTCGCCGGGTCCCAGAGCCGTACTGTGTTATCGATTGAGCCGGACGCCAACAACCGGCCGTCGGATGAAAAGGCCACTGAGTAAACTGAACCCGAATGGCCTTCAAGCGTCCGGGTGAGCGCACCCGTCGCCAGGCCCCAGAGTCGCACTGTGTTATCGTCAGAGCCGGACGCTAGGAGCTGGCCGTCGGGCGAAAAGGCTACCGAGTTAACCGAACCCAAGTGGCCTTCAAGCGTCCGGATGAGCGCACCTGTCAGCGGGTCCCAGATCCGAACTGTGTTATCGTCAGAGCCGGACAGCAGCAGCCGGCCGTTAGGCGAGAAGGCCATCGATTTAACTGAGCCAAAGTGGCCTTCGAGCGTCTGGGTGAGCGCGCCTGTTGCCGGGTCCCAGAGCCGCACTGTCTCATCTTCAGAACTTGATGCTAGTAGCCGACTGTCAGGCGAGAAGACCACCGAATGAACGCAGTCTGAATGACCTTTGAGCGTCTGAGTAAGCGCGCTGGTCGTTGGGTCCCAGAGCCGTACCGTGTTATCGTATGAACCCGACATCAGTAGCCGACTATCGGGTGAGAAGGCCACCGACGAGACAAATCCTGAATGACCTTCAAGCGTCTCGGACAGCGCGCCTGTCGCCAGGTTCCAGAGCCGTATTGTGTTATCGTACGAACCTGATGCCAGCAGACGACCATTTGATGAGAAGGCCACCGATGAAACCAACTTTAAATGACCCTCAAGCGTCTGTAGTTCCTGGCCCCACCTTTCCTCAACTTGTGGTAATTGGCATATAATACTCGGTATCTCTTGTTTGAACTGTGTACGGATTATTGCTGTTTGAGATGCAAATATAAGGCCTGCACAATAAATTTGAAGGGGCGCTAAATCAATAATCTGGTAGTTTTTCAGAATAAATCGCCTTGCATCGCGAAGAAAATCAGAAGTTAAAGGAGAATTATTGCCCTGAATCTGTTAGTATGAACCATATGACCTCTTTATAGAACTTACAGATATTGTCGCTTGCAGCTGATCAAGAATGCCTAGTATTTCCGACGTAAGACCGAGTAGGCTCATTGCTTCCACCCAATGTAGGAAATGCTTCCGTAGGAAATGCCTCTTGAGTAATAATAAAGCACTATATATCATATTCTCCGAGTTGGCGCATTTTACCAGATGGTATGCCCAGTATCGACAGGCGTACTGTAGCTCCGGAGGAAGACTGCTATCGACAATCTGGCGGTCAATCTCTGTACGTTCGGTTCCATCAGTTGGCAGGCCACAAATGTTTTTCCGTAATGTTTCACATATCAGGAGGCATTGTCTAGCAAGCCTATAGTGTATCTTTGTCTCATTTAGCCCGAAAGGTGTCCTCTTCCGGACTCTTTCATCCAGAAGAAAGTCTCGAAAGGATAGGTGAAATAGCCGTACTGGTTCTACTTTGCTATCAGGCACCCTTATCACAGAGTGTAGCGGGTTGATTCGACGATATATAAGGTCCTCAGGAAGTTCTAGAAGTTTAGAGAGTGAATTGACAGATAGTGGACTCTCTAGTATCATAATACTTCCGATTACTTGGTGGAACTCCGAGAGTAGTTTTTCCTTTTGCTCCTTATCTTGTCCTCTGAGAAGGCGATCAAGAATTGGGTAATATGTCGCATCTAGCTTTGATTGATTGTTCTGATGTGTGAGAATCTCGCTGAGGCTGTCTGTTGGATTCCAGTGTTGGTCCTCAAATATGCGACAGACTGTCGCGGCGAAAATGAATAATGGAACTGATAATGCCACTAGCTTTTGGAAGTTTATATCTCCGGGCTAGTCGTGTGGAAGGGGTGGCTGTCTTTCGTCCCGAATCCTCGAAAATCGCTAATTCAAGAATAGTGATATATCATGTTTAATCGTCTCTTCAGGGATCTCATGCAGAACCAGGTCTCTATGGTCATGTTTCGCAAGTTTTGAAAACCCTAGCCGGATTGGTAATTTAGGTCTGCTGGTTATAAAAACACGTAGGCGTAAAGTGTCTATCTCCTGTAGACGCGGGAGAAGTTGGAGTATGAGTCGAACGTCCTTTTCTCCTTCACATTCGTCTAATGCGTCGATTACTATGATCATAGTCTGACCCGGGAGATCGAATAGTTCCAGACTTTGAAGCGGTTCAAGGACGAGTCTTTCAAATTGCTCCTTCATCGCTTTTGCTGCAATACTAGAGTCGTCACGGATTGCTTTCTCGAGGGCCGGCTTTATCTGTGGAATGCTCTTCGCGAGTTGCCTTGCGATTGTCGGGAAAAACTTCTTAGCATGTCCCCGATCGCCTTCACCTCTCTTGAAGAAGAAGTTTGCTCCTAGTGACTTGGATAGGTTGAATGATTTTGCCATGGTTCGAGAGATGGTTGATTTTCCTGTTCCCGCCATTCCATTCAACCAGAATATGCATCTTTCTTGTGGTGACGAAGCCCACTCTCTGATCTGAGAGAGGAGATCGGTTCGTGTACCTGGGAGACATTGATCTTCATGCTGATCTACGTATGAGTCGAACGCAGCTCCAGGCACAAGGGATAACTTGTCGTTAAGATCTACACAAAGGTTAGCACGATTAGCTCCAAAAAATATCTCGTATAATACCTAATGGAAGATAGAACTCGTTTGTAACCGAACCGTAGTTGATCCCTATCTCTGACCCATAATTAAAGCCACGGAATGATACAGTTGAAACCATGATTCATGGAAATAGAGGACCCGCACTCAAAAGGAATGTGCGGGGTTTAACGGCCTTAAGTGACAGGAATCGCGAGTCGGTGTCAGCACCCGTCCTCGGAAGGACTGTCGGCCCGAACCAGCCTCACCCACGTTCCCCCCAGCGCCATTTGCAGTCATGCATTTGCAGTCATGGATATGATATCATTCAGCTCGAGTTTATCTCGGTCCGTAGGGAACTGATCTGGCGTCGAGTCTTCGTATACCATTGTACACCATCTGCAGTGACAGTGTTCTGCCGATGAAATCAGTCACTAAGCGAAAGAAAAAAATCCCATGAAGTGACGACTAGCAAAGGGGATACATGCCAGGTCACCCTGAGAGGAAAGCTGGGGGCACCAGGGGAGGTGGGGGAAGATCATCGAAGTACCCTGGCCAGCTCTCATTGACGGCCATAGATCCACACGACGTTCCATGGAAGTCTATGGGATTCTCATGAGACTAGGGTATTATTATGTCGTGGAAAAGTGGAGAGATTCATTACAGTGACCTCGGATTGGTCACTTCCATCCCAGATTTCCTATTGAAGAGGGAAGCGCTCGACGGCAGTCTGACCAATCAGACGGGTCGAGATGAGAGAATATCTACCACCAAGCCTAGAAATCGTGCTGAGAGACCGAGTCGTGAAAGATAGGTATCCGTAAAAGAGTGTATATTCGTCAGTGTGTTCTTCTTGTCCCCTCTTCCTCTTCGAAGTAATGAGTGTTGAGAGGCCTGAATACCTCAGGAAACAGAATCTCAGACTAGTACAAAAGAGGAAAAGGAGGCTGACTGGTAAATGACTGTTCAATCAATACTCCTCAGCGTATTCCAATACACCTCAGTGTACTCTCACCCAATCACCTTCTCTACATCGTCACCTGTTCTCCCACTACACTATGTATTTGTATGTAATATGCGGGTAACCCTTGACCATCGGTATGGTCACTTGAATACCTGGTTACACCGCCATGGGACAGCTCAACCTGCCCCTTTTCCCATTCGTTCGAGTCCTTTTCCTTTCTTCAATCAATCAACCTTCTCTGTATGATTCCGATAGTTCTCATTCGTCCATATGCATACTAGTCTATACCAATCCTACATATCTTGACATATTACTTCGATACTGTAGATACCGTATCATACTAGGTGCATTTTACAGCCTTCCTCACCTAAGTGTGGACAGAGCAATGAACGATCTGCGCTAACGTCTTGGCAGTGGGGCCGGAAGAGAGAGTGTGAGTGTGTACCGGTCAAGCCGATTTCGAGAAAGACTGTACTGGGGCACAATGTGAAAAGGCTAGTTTTGAAATTGCTCTCTATGACGATATTTCAATCGGCGCTCCCAGTTCGTCAATTACCAACCAAGCTAGTACTGGCCGTTGTGGAGATTCTTCGTCTCGTCTTGGGCGAAGGTGCGATCAGCGGCCGTCCTACCAGCGCCAAGTTGCGCCTCCGGCGGGTATCGGCTCTCGTGTTTTGATATACGCTTGGCATAGTCATTGTTACATTTTTTAATCGTGATATATGTACTGAAATCTCTATCAAATTCGAATTACGGTTTGAATTAGCAGTCGGGGCGCTGGAGGTCGCCCGACACGACGTCCCTAGAAGATATTCAAAAGAATTCAAATGGCAAGCATATGCAGGAATCTTCTGGTCAATGCGACCTGGTTCCTGATCTGCATTCACAAGAGATCCGATCAAGTGTCCGATCAAGGGCAACCACGTAGCGATTGCCGCCTCCTTGTTTTCCACAAGGGGCGTGATGGGTTTTGAGATTATCGCGACGCGAGAAGCTGCGCCGACAATCCGGAACCAGAAGGCATGCGGCTTTTCAGCCAAATGGCCGGATAGATGACGCTGAAGGCTTATGAAATATCGAAAGTAACTTCGCCGCAACGCTGCATTTGAATTGTCGCCGCCGAAAGTGCCATGGTAGGTTTGCTGTTCCGACTGTGGCTCAAGTGTCACGGGTGGGTAGACAAAAGATCTGGTTTCTTAAACTGTTCGCAGGTTTGATCTTTTGACCAGCCGGACAGTCAGCCAAGACATACGGAAGAGAGTGGTATAAACTGACAATAATTCCGAGAGGCAGACGTCCAATCCACACATCATCCGCGAGTACCTGCATAGCCATCCAGGTGGTCCATAAAACGACCCAGGAAAAACTCTGATTGCCAAAAGTTTCTCCAAATTTATTTACACTTTTCAACATTTGTTTCAACGACCGTTGAAGGTGATTCACCGTAAACATCTTGAAAATGAGATGTAGCCGCCAAGATGAGGTTCCAAGGGTGGCCTCGTCTAGATTCATGCACGCCACGGTTCGAAGTGGGGGCTTGGCGAGGTTGGCCGCAAACTCTAAATCGCATACTTCAACGGCTGTTGAATCACCTCAACGGGCGGCAAGAACAAAGTGTTGCCTACAGATTTACAGTGCAGTCCACCACCTCTCCCATAGATTTTGCATACCTGGCAGCTACGAGCATCCGTAGGCGAAAATGCATAAAAGGACGCTCCACAGCCGGTCTAGGAAAACAGGACTTCCATCCTCATCCTCCGAGACAATCACGGTCTCGTCTGACTGCAGACTTGACTTATAATTAGTCTTGGCTTTCGCTGGCATGAGCCCATTGAAGGAAGAAATGCGCTCTCTCGCAGGACAAGCTCTGCATTATCAAGTAAACTCCGCAGGGACATCTGCGAAACCAAGAGTCTCCGCAGGGACGTCTGTGAAATCAAGAGTCTCCGCAGGGACATCTGCGAAACCAAGAGTCTCCGCAGGGACAACTGCGAAACCAAGAGTCTCCGCAGGGACATCTGCGAAACCAAGAGTCTCCGCAGGGACATCTGCGAAATCAAGAGTCTCCGCAGGGACAACTGCGACATCAAGAGCCTCCGCAGGGACAACTGCGACATCAAGAGTCTTCGCAGGGGGGCGCTGCGTCACGAATTGAACCCCGCAGGAGAGTGCTGCGTTAACAAGTTCTCCCTCGCAGCAATGAGCCCTGTGATTGTACAATCTTGAGCTTCCATGCAGCCTTGAGCCCTGCGTTATCAATTTTGTGCTCGTTTAGGCGACCCGTGGCGCCGCGGTCCTCGTCCTGATCCTCTGACTACATGCAGGCACCTCTTCGCGGTGTCAGAGACTAGTATTCGAGGGAGTTACTCGAAGAAGCCAAGACCTGCTCCAAAGAATCCATCCAAATGAAGGATCTGCTAAAGAACTTTGAGTGTCATATGATTCTGCTTGTTTGTAGACTTCATGCCCGGAGCTTCGAGGATGGGCATTCTCTGCCATGGGATGAAATGTAGATAGTATATTGGATTATTGGGCGATTCCAATCCGGCGCATGATAGCGTGGGCCAATCTGGGTGATGCCTGCAATTCAAGTAGACCCCATTGGTATGGAGGTTTGTCCAGAGGCTGGCTCGCGGTGGCGGCAGGAGTTGTTCGTCTGTGGTTTGCGAGTATTGCGGGCATCGAGGATGGATGACCCATGTTGAGGGTCAGGATCGAAGGGGAGGCTTGATGGTAACTGGTGGTACAGTATGTTGGTGGTGAGGTCTAGAAGTGAGTGTGAATCAAAAGTGAACATTGGTGATAAGCAGGCCAGACCAGTGGGTCGTTTGTTGATGTGCGAAATGGTGAATCCTTCATGTCAGCTGGTTGTACATCAAATCTCAGTACAGTACACTCAATGGGAGAACCCATTGTCTTTTCGGAGAAATTTCACTATGTAGGTTGCCAATTAAAAAAACTATCCGAAGTTGTGCATTCTCGATTGTTCATTCTGCTTTTTCCTGCCACCACTTTCCTACGGGGCCCTAGCCGCCGCATGCTCTATGGTGTTATGCTGTGTCTATTCGCACGGGTAGCCATGAGGGGACAACACCGCTATGCGTGTACGTTCGCCCGATCTAGTTATTATATATATCACGCTTAGTCTCACTAATAGCTCTGTCAGTGGTCTACGAAGGGCACACAGATACTAAGCTAGATTGCTCATGATGATCGATAGAGCGGTTTCCCAGACAGATCAATCCTCGCGTCCTAAATATGTGACCTGCTAGGGGCCATTGCAAGGATAATGGTCACAAGTTCCATGATCTTCATGGTCCTTCGGTCAATGCATCTAGAGTGATTGTGGTAGATCGCAAATGAAAAAGACAGTGGAGATAGCGCAGAGATTACTCCTGACCAGAAACACGAACCGGTTTGGCTGAGGTTCCACCGACAACTTGTGAGCAAGAACAAATAACTCCCACCTTTCCCTTGTAGGGGCGCCGGATGAAGCGACAGATCGGGTCGCTCTTTTAGGCACCCTGTCGGATGCCAGTGGGAATTGCAAGGAGCCGTGTCGGCAGGGACTGTGCAGATACGGATGTACGCTGGCCCGCTGATATGGTACTGTATGGGTTGGAGGTGTCCTGAAGTAAGCATCTCACGAGTCAACAAGCTATGCCAGTATAACATCGATCACCTTGTCGGTGTAAATGAGGAGTCTCGGATCGCGCTCAAAGTGGCCATGACTCCTCCATAATAAGCAATAGCCCGGCCCTTTTCTCCGTGAAGGTGATTTATGAAGCGCCCGTGGTGTGTGATCAAGCAAGTTTAGGCTGTGGGGAAGTGTAAGGAGACGGAGGATGGAATGGAACCGCCGTCGTTGAGAAGCCGATGGTGAGAAGCCGCGCACACTATCCAGGAGCAGTGAGTAGTGTTAGCATGGGTGAGGGAACGGACGCTCTAACGGTGATTTTGGGGTGGTTTGAATGAGCGTAATCAAGAAGGCTTGCCAGTTTTAATCAGGGTGAGATTGAGAAGAACGGCGCTGAATCTAGCATGGTGCAAGATGGAGGGCAGCAATTCTAGCCGCTCAACCATGTAGGTCGGCAGAGGCGCGTCGCGTCGTGTCACGTCATCCGCATCCAATCAAAGGCGGAGGCGATACCAAGAATCCCCTCTGCCTTGGCTGATATCCCGAACACAATGCGTTCGGTCACAGTTGTGCATTACGCGATGGCAGATCTTGCTTGGGTTTGGCCTGTATGTCGATCAAGCGCTAGGTATGCTCCGATGAGTTCTCGGTCTGTCAGGGCGTCGAGATGCTTCCGGTAATGACCACGTTTCGATTCTCCACTTTGGTACTCCACGACATGTAGTCCTGAATGTTAACGGCTCTACTCTTTGGACGGCCCTGGGCTATTCATCAGCAAGAACACCTAACATGCATCTAATCACTCACGTCTCTTGTCCACACATTCTTCTCCTCGGATGAAAGCTGGGCCGGCTTCTCTGGCCCTAAACCAGCATTAGAGTGAAAATGTAGGGAAAATGGACCACCCTCGGCTCTGCTGAGAACGGTACCAATGGACCACACGACGTCCTACCATCTCACCGCAGAAGAACATGTTAGCCAAAGGCAGTCATCCAGGTATCTCGCAAATCGTACCTATGGCCCGAAGATCTATATCGGGGTGTATCCTTGTGCGAATCTGCTTTGTTGAGATAAGTCGTGAATCCCGGGCAGGCTTTTATACTGTATGTGGACAAGATACCAGAGTATTGTCCGACGAGGCGAGTTATCGAAGCGTGTCGTCAAGGGAGGCCCATGCTTGTATCCCCCTGGTGTCAGCCCCACATCTTGCGAGCAGAGTGACGAGGCGTACTTACATGCAATTTTGACAGTCGTCATGAGGTCCTTCGAAGGAAGGGCTGTACTCTGTCAGCACACCTGAGATCAAACCAGTGCGTAAAGCAGATCAGCGAATTCAATGGGTGGTGACCTTGATACAGGCATGCTGCAGTAGCGCACTTCATAATAGAAACATAGGAGAATAGCCAGGACCGTCGAAGCATGGTAGAAGTCGATATCTTTCTGGTTGTTCAGGGGCTTCCGCGGCCTGGAGCTGTATTTATAAACGTCGCTCACCCTCCTGTTGGTATTCCATGTCAACGTTGAAGTACTCGGTATCTTGGCCCAGCTCTTCTCGTGTAGTACACGCTTTTTAACAGCAGGAAGGTTAAGACAGATTATCAACAGCAATCTGTGGGTCAGTCATATTTCGCTTGGATCAACGGCGACTGTCAATTCAACCATGGACTATGGTTGCAAACCATTCTAGCAACCGTTCTTCAACACGACTTTCTGTTCTCGCAGCGGCGATAACTCAACGACCCCACTCACAACTCCACCGTCACATTTATGCGATATCACTGATATTCAATATACATGACTCCCGCATCATGCTTGCTTCCGCTACCACACCAGATAATCGACCACTCGCAGGGAACAGAGGTACTTAGTACGCATCGCGAGTCACGAATCTGCCCATGGCGGCACGTAGGTATCAAAATGCGGTCGTACTTCCTCCTGCAATTGAGGTATAATAGAAACTTGACCAAGACCGAGGCATCCATTATTTTTCTCATGGCAACTTGATAAATCCTGGGTCTTTTTTCTGTTATGACCTCATTTGCATGTCGTTGGTGGTGTGTGTTAAGATGAGGGGATAGGATCCAGGAGGAGCGATATTATAAGCCAGCAATTGAATGATATTAAAGATGTCTAACTAAGATAACCCCTGAGTGGAAGTGTGCTATACACACTTCCTAACTGTCCACTTTACTATATCGGGTTTAGTGCCTGTCAGGGAAGATGGCAAGATAGCCATTAACGCCTCAGCGGTATTGAAGACTGCTGAAACCTCAACAGTGTGCTGGTAGTGGTTTTTCCTACACCAGATGACGGGATTTTTTTTTGGCGCTACACGGGCAAAATATATAATGATCAATCGCTGGTTTAAACTAAACGCCAGCACATAGAACGATCGCAAGTAGATAAGTATTTAGCAAAGCCATCCTTTGTATTAATTTTTGCTTTTTGGAGCAACTTTCTATCCGGATTGAGAGCCGGGAAGGACTAAAACATATCTGAAGCTGAGAAAAATTCAGGGAAGTCATGTTCCAATCATGCCCAACATTGTATTTTCAAGAAGTACCCTAGAACTATTGCGATCTGCTCTTTAGCTCAGTGGTAATTCTAATTCGCGAGCTGCGTACCGGAGGTCAAGGGTTCGAATCCTCCGGGCATCGTTCTTTCCAAACGCTGTCCAAAACTCAGCCTATCAACTTTCGCCCGTGCCATTTCAATAAATGATTTAGCATGTCGGCATAAACAAAATTCTCCCAGGAGAGGCACGCGTCGTGGATGGAGCGCGTTATCTCCACAGCATTCCCACCTTTTCTCCAACTCTCTCTTGTGATCACCGCGCCCTTCAAGCCAGTTTTAATTTACGGATCGGACGAGTCTGCGTTTCCCTCCGTGACTGGCCACCCATCGGACGTCAGCAGTCCACGGAAACTAGGATTGTAGGCCGAGCTACTCTGATCCAGAGTAGCCACGTAGCGATTGCGGCCTCCCGGTCTACCATGCGTTGCATAATGGGCGTTGAAGTTGTCGCCACGCGTGAAGCGGCGCTGGCACTCCGGAACCCAGCAGACATATGACCTTTCAGCCTGGTGGCTGGACAGATGACGCTGTAGGCCGTTAGGATATCGAAAGCGACTGCTGCACCTTGCAACGGTGCATTTGAATTGCCGCCGGCGGAACGGCCCGGGCATGCTGTTATGGATGTGGATGGAACGTTCGTCATCGCCGCAGACGAGGCGCGTGAATTCTTCAAAGTCTTGCCAGGACGTCCTCCTCCAACCACCATTGGGTGTTTTAGCAGACGTATCTTCACTTTTAATCAACCTAGTTGCACTGTACGGCTCGACAGTGGGATTCCTTGCGATGAATTCGACCCCAGACTCGAATACAGACCCGCCCTGAAACCAGTCCATACTATGAACTCGATCTTGCTGAGCAGACGCATAAGAAGAATATTCGGTATCGGGCCAGGTGGAATTTTGCAAATCACCCCAGTCTACTGGGAATTGCCTATCATTGACCTCAAAGCCAGGCCATTGATAGGAGAAGTCTTGCGGAATGCAGGAAAGGTGCCACTCTGCGTAGCTTAGTGATTTGCTTCAACCAACCATCTGTGCAGAGGAGACCGTAATTACTTACCATTGTCGTAGTGTCCACAATCATCCATCGACGAGGGTGTTTGGTCAAGTTGCAGGTGCATGTAGCAGATGAGAAGATTGAAAGCCTCCTCAGAAACGAACGTAGGGGCCTCGAGCAGACTGAGAGATATACATGAAGGCAAGCTAGCCAGATAAGGTACCGAACGTAGCTAGGAAGGCGTCAGATTAGAGAACGCTGTACGGTGTAGATATTCCAAGCCGATCCGCTTTCTAAGAGCCTTGAACCGAGAACAAAGTTGATTCAACCAGCCGTATAGTAGGTGCATTAGTCAAGAGGGAAGATGGTTTCACTGGGGAGCTGGTCCGTTGATTCAACGTTCGAATACCGCAGTCACTGTTTTGAGTTGTTCGTCTTGGTTCACTGGAACGCACATTGGAAAAGATATAACTTCTGCAACATCATGAAGCATCGTATGCACCATCCTGGATCACACACGAGACAGACGAAGCACACGAGTCAGCATGTACACCTCCAATACCAATCCCGTCGAAGAACACCCGGAGATTCAGCCCGGAAGTGGCCATTCTCCCATCGGCGAAGCTATCCCTCACATCACAGAGCACCCGCAGATTGAAGTCGATCGACCTTCCGGTCTGGCAATCGTGAGTAGGACAACCACAATCATGTATAAGGATTAGCTGACCTGTTATCAATAGCCCGGGAACCCTGAGAGACCTTCCTCGGGGGACCAGCCATTTGCACCTGCCATGGAGGCTCTTGCGCGGCTCGAACGTGAAGACCGAAGCTTGCGTTCCAAGCCGCAAGGATCGTGGGACTGTATCGGCGCCTGTGGGAGTCATGCATAGCAAAGCATATGGAGGGAAACAAGTTGGCCAAAGCGAATGACGCCCTCAAGGAGACTCACCGAAAGCTGTTGGACGAGAAGAACAGAATGCAGTCATGCCACGATGACCAAATCGCGCGGTTGCGATTTTTTGACCAGGCGTTGGAGTCATCTCGACTTCGATTGACTGATATACTCAAGGAATGGAATCGCTATTCTGATGGTCTTGAGTCAAAGCTCAGTGAATAAAGAAGAGGTCGTGGATCGATGGCGGTAGTAAGATAGACATTCGATGGTCGGAGGTATTTGGAGAAATTGAATGAGATGGCTAGGATTCAATGACTCATTAACATTCTCGCTTCCCCTCTATGCAAGGCAGCAATTTGTGCTCGGTTGACAAGCGCAGAACAAAGTAGCCATCATTATTTTTGCCAAGAAGACGAAAAAGCGAATGGGATTCGTCGGCCAAGTGTGGTCAGCCATCCTGTACCGCAGAGTGGAAAGAATCACAATTATACAATGATTCCAATTACTAGTATATCTCCCCGCAAGTCGAATGAATATCATTCTAACAGCCGTTCCGGTTATCTTTCCGCTGGAATTTGAGTGCAATCAAAGGATGGAGGGTGAGGGTAGACCCGCATTTGTTCAGAAGCTATCGCCTTGGTAGGCGAGAACTTGCGCACATACCCAGGCACGGTGATATTGACAGTGATAAAATGATCAGTCTTACGAAACAAAGGTAGTGACTCAGACGCATACATAGTGGATCAGGAATTAAGCATCCAACTCGGCTGGTATCCCATTGCATCGTGTTTTCAAGACTAGTTCAACTCGATCATTTTATAAGCGCGTTTCTCGCTTGCCTTCAAAACTTCGACAATCCCATCTTTGAGGGCAGCCGCGGCTTGACGGCTGCCGAATAGATCTAGAGCCTGATCATTGCAGCACTGGAGTAATACATCGCATTCCGCGGTCAGCCATACAATTGACCGCTGAAGCTGACCCTGCTCTTCTTCGAGCTGTATCTTCAATGCAGAATCGACGACATAACAGTTCCATAAGCGGAGGTACCAGTCGAGGAGGCTGACGATGGGAGCCACGAGGGAGATGTGATGACGTAGAATATATTCAAATTCTGTCGAGAGGCTTGCTGAAGTAGTAGGGAGCTGTTTCCACTCTGATTAGCATTGCTATTTCAAAGTTTGGGTGGCTCTTTGACCTGGTTTTCGCCAGCATAAGTGATATTTCCAGGCGCCCGATTGTGTGATCCCTTCTGCGTCTCCCCATCTGCACTTGCATCAACGTGTTGTCTTTTGGGGGACTGCGAAGTGGGAGAAGACAAAGGTCGTTTCGGAGAACTCATGGCGGTCGATTGGTTGCTGGATGGAAACCTGACTCACGAGTGTGTTAAATAGACCGTACAACCCTTCATAATATAGCATGTGTCGTGCCTAGCAGCGCACAGTTGTAACGTCCAACGGTGGAGTTCACTGTTTCTTGAACTTTAAATCCACCCACAATCAAGTTGATTCAATGTTCAACATTGGCCCGTCATACCCTGCCCTTTGGCCAATGACCTCAACCGACCTTAGCTCTTGGATCGATGCATGCCATCCATAGCCACCGAAGACATCCTTTCAGACCTTTGCAAGTGGCCATGGGAAGCAGACGTCGATCGCGTCCGTCGCAGATTTCGATTCCGGGCCGAGGCTTGATCGACCTTCTTTTGCCTCGACAGGATTCGTTATTCATGGCGAACGTTAAGGTACTTTCTCTCTCTCGATTTTGCATACGAATATCAATGTTCCGATGACTGGGCAGGAGTTCAAGAACATCTAACGATCCGTATTGGATAGCCTTCATCAAAGGAGTCTTCCAACTCAAGAATGTGTTGGCATCGGCACCACGAAGAAGCTTCAGATAAGCATAAGCATAGTCGTTGTCTGTGGCCGCCAGGTGCAGGAGGTAACTGTCCTGGCCCTGAATGTTGTAGCTGAGGAAGTAGGCCTGCAGTCTGCAGTAAAGATCTCGGCCTGATATACTCAACGAGCTCAGGCAATGGCAGTTTAACTGAATTCCAACAAGTACGATAATCTGATCTGGCAGGGTTTGGAGAATTCCCTGCAGGAAATTAACGCATACCTTGGTAGAGAACTGAGGGTTTGCAACAGTGACATTAAACTTACCATCATTGAAAACAAGCGTGTACACGGCGAGAAGTATCTAGAAGGCGGCAAGTTTGTGAATGAGATGAGCTTTTCACTGCTTTTCTAGGATGGTTCTGCGATTTTATACTCGACACCACTTCTTGTAGACAGCTCCTGAGAGCCAACTGAACAGTTTTGAAGGCCATATGTCTACTCAAGGATCCTGCTTGTGAGTTCCAGGAACCCCAGTACAGATTCCTAGAAGCAGATGCGTGACTTGTGGCCACGAAAGAACTGTCAGGATATTCGGGCCTACGTGGAGAAGGTGCGCATTCTTTCATGGCAGGAGGCGGCAACACCACTCACCCGAGGTGATGCTGAGAGATTCGTTCTACTCATTTGAGACGAAACCACAATATGGGTAAAAACGGCACCTGGGCCCAGGATGGCATCTCAACTGCCTCAACCATCCTATTTCCACAACTGAATCGTTCGTAATTTCCACCTCGCAAAGTTGTCCCTTTCACCAACATTGAGATGACCTTACGCACAAGATGGGCGACTGCCATTTTAACGAGGCTCAATTTACCGTGAAACCCCCAAGATGTATGCACCAAGCAGCAACTCAGTCCTGTCCCAAGGGATCAGGACAGAACAATAGCAATTCGTGAAACTTGGTGTGCCTGGGGGGTAATCTGTTTTCGAAATCCCCTATATCGTCATAATAGATATTTACGGGCCAACGGGAGAGGTGGGAAATACTGTGGCTGTGGGGCGCGTCCTCGGCTTTCGTCATCACGTGACTTCAGGTGCTAACCCCACCCACACGGCTTCTCTAGGAGGTCATGCTTCCTAGGAACGGATCGACCAGAACCAGAACGAGTGAACCGGCCGGAATTTTCCATATAAAACGCTTTAGTCTCATTGCCTTAAGAGGATTTTGCTTCCGAAAAATTCAAGCGGACAATCTTCACAACACCCTTCTTCATTTTCAGTCACCCTAGACTGAATATTCAAACCCCAAGCTCATTTCAAGCAGACGATCATCTCACAAATGTTGCTTCAATTACCACGTGAGCTGCTGGTATGCATCGCAGAGCACTTGACAGCCGCAAAACATATAAATGCTTTTGCTCGAACCAACACCTACCTTTACAAAGTGCTAAATCTGTTTCTCTATCATCACGATGTACAAAATCATGCAAGTTCGGCATTATTGTGGGCTGCACGACACGGGGAAATGAAGACGGCTCAGAATTCGGTAGCGGCGGGGGCTGACTTGGAGTCCCTGGCTTACTCGCTGATGCTAGCAGCAGTAAAGGATCATAAAGAAGTGGTCGAACTTTTGCTGGGAACTGAGGGCGTCCACCCAGACTCCAAAGGCTTAGACGGACGAACGCCGCTATCGCATGCAGCAGAATATGGGCATGAGGCCGTGTCCAAGCTACTGCTCACAACTCCGGGCGTCAACCCAGACTCCAAGGACTCAGTCGGACGAACACCGCTATCATATGCCACGGAAAATGTGAATACAGCTGTGTTCAAGCTTCTGCTCGCAATGGGGGGCGTCGACCCAGAATGTAAGGACCATGATGACCGAACCCCGCTATGGTACGCAGCGCGAGGGGGGCCTGTGGAAGTGGTCAGGCTATTGCTTGCAACAGAGGGTGTCGACCCTGACTCCGAGGATTCTAACGGGGTGACTCCACTATCAATGGCAGCAAGTACAGGCCGCGGAGCAATGGTCAAGCAACTTCTCGGAACGGACGGCGTCGATCCAGACTCCAGGGATTTTAATGAACAAACGCCGCTTTCGCGTGCGGCACAAAGAGGTCAGCTGGAAATAGCAGAGCTCCTGATCGCGACTGAGGGTGTCAATCCGGACTCCAGGGACTCCAATGAACAAACGCCGCTTTCGCATGCAGCACGATTTGGGAAGCTGCCAGTGGTAGAGTTACTGATCGCGACGGAGGGTGTCAATCCAGACTCCAGGGATAATAACGGACGGTCGCCGCTATGGTATGCAGCAGAATATGATCATGGGGCTGTGTTCCAGCTACTACTTTCAACTGAGGGCGTCGATCCAGACCCCAAGGACTCATATGGACGACCGCCGCCCTCTTTTAACTTATATCGGCAGATTCGTTGGAATAGCTTGAATTTTCCCTCTTCTATCAAGGCCCGCTCATAGATTCTCTCTCTCTCACTTTTTTCTTTTTCGTTTATATCGCTTCTGTCCCGCTATACGCCCCCAAGGGTTTTTTTTGGCGGAATCCACGCTCATAGCAACCTCAAAACACAATTTCAGCCACACTACATAACGACCACGGACCCACAGGCGTTCTTCGATAAGGCAATTTCAATTGTTATCACCTAAGATACTGGATTATACCCAACTATCTTGCTGTTGCCTCTCAGTTTAATGTTTCTTGCTCGATAATCTATTCACACTGAGGCCGTGGCGGCGAGGCCAGGAAAGAGGTACTCAGTCTATGTTGGACAAGTTGCACTTTTGTAGTTGGATCTGTTGAAACAGACGTGAGTGGGCCATGTACGGTCAGCGTTCATTACTACAATACTAGGCAAAAGCGTGCTATAATCTACAACATATAGCACCTCTTTTTGCATTGCTCTTCAACCTAAAGCACGCATGTCGGAAAAGGCCTTCTGCACTTTCTCCTCCAACCCCGACGACATCCAGGCTCCATTCAAGACAATCTGTGGAGTCTTGATCTGGTTGTTTTTGCGAACTCCGTCTCACAACTTTTTTTGGTTCTATCCATCTAGCCTCTTTCTAGGACCATCCATGCGCTCGAAGGACTCGACTGATAGTGTATGTAGATACGAGCACGCCGAATTCATCACACAAGAACTCTGCCGTTTCGTCTAGATATACAGAGGATTTCGAAAACAGTCCTCCCCAGACACCCACGCTTTCTTACGAATATGATTCGTCCGCTTTGCCTCCAAGTGATTGCACCCTTTTCTATTTCGACACACATGTTGCAGAATTCCCATGACGTAATGTGTGGAGGTCCATTTAGATGTACCCATTTCTTGACCTAGCGTCTTAGCGGTAGGGCCCAGAAAGAATGAAAGAGAGTACAGTAGTGAAGCTGGTTTTGTACTTCTCTGTACCTTGCTTCAACAGGCATAAAATGACCAAAAATATATTGTGCAGTGACAATTAGCCATTTCATTGGTTTACCAGAGAGGCCATTGGTTATCTGTCAAGTTTTGTACCAAGACATCCGGATTCAAGCATGTTGCCGTGGGATGCGTTGTGTGCAAAGGGCATGCTGGGTCTGGGAAACGTGTGGGCAGCTCCGTGCGCGGTCGTAAAGACAATCGGAAGAGGCTTCGCTGTTTATCCCTAGGCCCGGAGATGATATCGAGAATCTGCCAGCTAGTTTAGTACAGCCTGTAGATAAGCGTGTAAAACCAAAGTCTCCATGCACTGCAGCACTTCCTGACCGCCTACGGCCACTCAACGGAGGCGACAGGGGCAAGGGGTAATAGTAATAGTCATTATTCAGTCATTGTCGTCGCGAAAGTATTCCGGTCTGATACTGAGGGCTTGGTAGGGCAAGAAGCAGAAAAACAAAAAAAATAAAGGTAAATAAGTTTATATAAAGAAAGATATTGGAGAGATCAGGGTTTTAACATCATTAGGACCGACTGAGAGAGATAAAGAATATCAAAAAGAAATGGAGCGCCGATCCCGGGAAATTGAAAGGATTTTGGCCCTTCCTGCTGCAGACAGGGAAGATGAATTTACCATTGAGTTTGAAAAAGAAGAAGAATGGGCAACTTGGTTTGAGTCTGAATACGAGAAAGGGAAGTGAATTGGTGCACATTTGGTATGAAAAGCACAGTCAGGCATTACATGATGATCCGCTACCCAGCCCGAGTGCATTGTATAACATAACGCAAAGTGGGAATTCGATTTTCGGCAAGAACTATCCCGGATACTGAACTACTCCAACCTAGATCAATGAAGGTTGGAATGGTCAATGCCATACACGACACCGTAACTCGCACCAGCCGCTATAGCTCCAACACAGAGCGTTTGGACTGCCCCGATTAACCCAGATCGCGTTGTTTTTACGTTGACATAATTTTTGATAAATCCGAAGAGAATCAGAATAGCCGTTGTTATACCGATAGAAACGAACAAAGCACGGGTGACATCTTTCGTCACAAAGTACGGAATCATTGGTAAGAGGCCACCTTCACGAGATAAGCAATGGTGGTAGTGTTAGGGAAAATAGTAGCACTTACCAATTAAGTAGGAAACCCCCATAGTGATGGCAGAAAACTATGCGCGCCGTCTCTTTGGTTTCTTAAAATTGTACTTGAATTCCATTATGAAATGTAATGATGGATCAGCATCGTCGATTGTCATCAAACAGAACTGTAAGTTTTACCTTGGCCAAATTATCTTCTGCGGTGAGACAATCCACAACACACTCGCTCACCTCGTCACTTACCCCATATTCTCCAAATAGCTCAGTGATATCAGATAAATGACTTCTTTGCCCGCAGGCAATGTTTGCCCTTACTGATTCCTCCTGGCTAAGATAACGTTGTCGATCCGTCAATGCGGCAAGGTATGCACCCATTCCCATTGAGATTGCTCCACTTAAAAGCTCTGCCAGTCCACCAATAACAACAAGCCGTGAGGAACTCCTAAAGTCACCGTCACGGATAGCTTGGGTTACAGTTTAGATCAATTTTGCAGTGTCGACACCTGGTGACAGTGTGTCGTCAAATAGTCTCTCATATAATACACTTGGGAAAGGCCTGGAGACTTGATTCGCATTTGCTTCGGAATCTTCTCGCTACCCGTATGTCGGACTCGGCCTGGTCAATGAAGAATACAAGAGTGCAGGTTGAAAGCACTTCTTGTTTGCATATCAGGACACAGTGGATTAGGTTGTTTGGAGAAAATCGCTGCGATCCATCTTGTACGTCATAGATATTTCATGCTTCATTCCACATGCAAACTCGTTAGTAGCCAGTCTGTCAGAATATCAAATCATCAAATGCAAGACTTCCAGAAGTAGGCTCTTCTTGACTTCGTCGGGGGGTTGCGGCAGCCCCATCAACTCAGTCACCGCGATTTGGGCACTATGCACGCTGTACTCCATAGCCAAAGTGGTATCGTCAGGTATCTCCACAAACTGGCCAATGCATGCAATGTTGGTAGTATCTTGCGGAATCACTCGAGGTCGATCTCCTTTACGCCGTGACAGAAAAGGGGCAGTCCCAAACGGCATTCCGTATGGGATAGTTCTCGAGGTTGACAGAAGAGTAGGAAATTCAAGAAATGAGAGTATCTCGATGAGAATTTCCTGGCCGCTGCATTTGTACATGGGCTTCTTCACGAATCTCCCCTCATTGGCCGGTCTCAGGGCATAACCGGATATAATGTTTGTCGATCTCGATTGGCTTGAAAAAACAGGTTGGCGTGGAATTGATAGCGATATTGCCCAGTTGCTCTCTGCCAAGGTAATGATTGCGCCCGTACCTGGGCGTTCATGTGTCAATTTCTCATAGAGAACCATGAAGTCTGGCCCGTGGAATGTTGTCGTAAATGTTTCGACAGTGGACCGCAGGCCTTGCGACAGAAAGTTGTTGGGACATCCGAATTTTGGAGAATGCTGCGCAAGTCTCTGCCAGAATCGCCAGTCACAAGCTACTTCATTTTCCCAGTTCAGGGATAAGTTCGGAGGCGAGGATTGGTTCGTTCCTAACGATGCACCTGCACTAGTCGAGCCTAGAGTTGCAATAACGATGTCCGTCGGATTGATACTGACCGTGTGCTCTAAGCCATCTTGAAGGAACTGAAGCGATGTGACTAGGGCTGGGTCTGCCACCGGGTAGACTGTCAAATTAGTCACCTCTGTATTGAAATGGAAATGAACATCTTCTTCTTTCAAGTAAGTTACGATAGGGTAGACGATTAACTCGTAAAGATTGGACTCAGTTCGATTCAGCGTCTTGACGTTATTGAGGTCTTGTATATCTTCCAGATATTTGCGAAGATTCTTCGAAACTCGAGGGCACTATGCCAAGGCTGCAGTGCAAATCTAAAAGCAGTTGTTTAGATGAACTGTCGACCTTGTAGTTTTATAAGGGTAACAAGACATACTCTGGGGCCCACAACATCCAGAATGTTGTTTTGAAGAAAGTCTCATCCATTATATCTTTGACAGTCTTTGAACCAACTGTAGCTTCACGCTCCAGCATGAGATTCACTAAAGCAAGTCGATTCTTAGCCCCGATATGGAGGCTTTTGGTTTCGACCAATTCCAATCCCGAAGGTCCATGATTCAGTGCTCGAACAAGGGCAGATTTCTGCGGCTGAGGCCGTTCGACATTCTCAAATCGTCGAATCTCATCCATCATAGTTCCCCCAATCTCTGTTTTGCTTGGAACAAATGACAAAAGTCTTTCGAGTGAACTGCCGTGAAAATGTGGATGGCATTCAAATGGAAGGTAGTACCCGTCCTATGCAGTACCACCTGGGGTCATTCCTCCCCCCAGACTCGGATGTAGGTCTAGAAGATGAATGTTTGAGCCAGAAACTTGGGCTTCACTAATCAAATGCACGGCTGCTGATATCGACGCAATCCCGCCGCCAATCAGCCATGCTTGTATATGCTCTGGGTCGCGATGAGACTGGCCTAGCTTCGACATGGTGCTTGGCGAAGGTGAGGGGGACGGAGGGCTATGAAGTCTCAGTAGGCACGCAAGATTTTCATTGTATACTTGCCGCTCCATTGAGCCTGGTGGCCATTTACAATCTAACTCCACAATGGATTATAGGATATGGCTCTGATATACCTTTTTTCAAGCCCCGCGTTACCAGGTGTGCGTCATCACTATCTGGCTTTTTTCGGCTTCTGCCTGATTCGCCAGCAGAACACTACATATTGGTAATGGCATCATGTCAATTGCCCAGACAACTCGATAAAACCAGAGAGAGTCATGCGATTTGATAATGTGGATGGGCTAGGCCTTAAGAAGTATGCAGCCGAATGGCAAAAAAAATGAATGGATTAATTAGAGCGAAAAAAAGACTCGTCGCAATTCTGATGCTTTTGAGCCAGCGCAAGACAGGTGCTTCCCTATTCTACTGCTCTACGAACATGGAGAGTTTTGATTTTCCATGAAATAGTGTAAGTAGAGTGAATGAGACTAGTAAAAATACGCCCGAATGAATAATAAACTGTGAGCTTGGAGATGTAAGAAAGAGGTAACTACAAGCTTGATTTGCCATCAGACTCTCCAAGACCCCGGTAGTTGAGTGATAGACTAGGAGAATTCAAGTTGGCAAGTTTGATCACGTTAAAGGAGTACGATTTGGTGCGGAAGCCTTCTCTTACACTACTCTTCAGGGCCACTCATTTCAATCTCATGTAGGTGCTTTGCGGCTCTGCGGCGACCCTCTTCACTAACGAGTGGGTTTTTCTGCGCACTTCAATTCCCATTAGAACAACCTAGACACAGGTTCAGTAGGTTCTTACGCTTTCAACCCAGCTGCAACTCTGGTAGGATCCTTCGGCCTTTCGTCTTGGCTGTATAGTTCTTGCCGAGCTTCCTCGTCATTCATTAACTGCAACATTTCCCTCGCATGTGCCTTTCCCTCCTCTGACACTAAAGGATTGTGCATGGCTCTATTCTGTATCAATCAGTGCTCCAACTGGAGAGTCAAGCAAAGATCTTACGCTTTATACCCTCGGGCGGCATTGATTCTCTCTTGAGGTGACCTCTGTCTATCGTCGCCACACGAGCGTTCTCGTCTGTGGTGGTGATAGGGTACGTGCATGCTTTCTTCCATAAGTTCCTGGTGGGCCTGTTGTTCGTCCAGCTTTAACAACATCTCACGGGCATGCTCCTTTGCCTCTGGAGAGACGTGCTCATTATGCAAGGCTCTGAAAAACCTTATAAGATGCTTATCAAGACCAATACACTAGAATGGGAGAGGACTTACGCCTTGTAGCCACGAGCAGCGTTGATTCTTTCTTCAGGAGAGTATGGAATTTGATGCGACATTAGGAAAAAAAAATTGACTTCTAGCGCAGTAGAGGACTATATCACATTATGGCTATATTCTTGAGAGCAGAGATTTTGCGCATTATATGCATCTAGAGCCATCCAATCGGATTATCCACACAGTTTTGAAAAAACTCACACACGGCTATAAACCACTCCCGGTTCGTGAAATAGCGTGATAATCTGCCCTGTGGAACGCGTATTTATCTATGACATTGTAGGCGGGTCTAGATTCTTGCTGCTTTTAAGGCCCGACCCCTTAGCCACCCACTTGATGCGTATAATGTTTAATGCGTGTGAGCCGCCAAGATCTACAGTTAACTAAAACGACGTAGCTAACGTAATATGATGTCAAAGTCGGTTATTGGAAAGGGGGAGGTATCACATCGCACTTGAACTGGCATCCGAGTTATGAAATGTTTGCAGGAATTCAGAGTCGCCATGATGGCTTCCAAATAATACTCGATTCTTGCAGAGCCACGACTGGGAGTACTGCCCATGGCCAGATGAACTGAAGGTAGAAGGGCATGCTGGTTGGCGCACATCAAAGGCAAGTATAATCCATTTCCAAGCGGATGCGATCGAAGAGAGTTCAGGCCGGGGTGCATGGGAATCTCGATCGCGAAGGGCCACTTCGACACTCTAATTCCCCTTATTCCCATGAGATTCTAATTAGCCCTCGCTGTAATATTGATGTTATAAGAACTGCCTGTTATTCATAGTTAGGTTAGATCAAGTTCAACTGTTTTGATGAAGTTTTAACTTTGATTCTTCTATCATATGGTATGCTAACGCATATAGACATCTAGTTCTTTACCACGCATTATAGGCGGCGGAGGCGAAATTGCTAAATTTGGCCGTGCGCACGAGGTCGCTTTCGGTACTCTACTTTGGCGGTAGGCAGGCGGTGTAACAAAGCGGTAGGGGCGGGAGTAGAGTGCATAAGAACGGCCACTGTAAGTGAATCATTTCTCCTCATGGTCTCGTATAGTATTGTATCTTTGGCGTTCGGTCGTTATAACATCGAGAGATACCAGTGTCATTCCTAGGGTGGGGTACTTCAACCTACCTCAGTACATTCCGTTTTTCTCTTCAATCGACCTTTACATTCAAGATGGATTCCACTTGGTCCTATCCACGATTCCATTCGCCTACTAGAATTAATAGCCTTTAGTGTCTCAGCTTGCTCCGACAATTAGTAAGGCTTTGTTCCATTCCATATAATCATGTGTTTCTGGTAACATTAGCGAAGACGTCATACCCAGTGAAGGGAAAATCAGCCGTACGCTATTCTAGACCTGAAAGAATCTTAATTTCCGGAATGGCCTAGATCAAACCCCAGCCACTACATGTGAATGTAATATTCAGTGCCATACGATTCGTTGAACTGAGCCTGGGCCCTATATTAACACCATAAGTGATGACGATAATTCCTCTTCATATTTCTCTCATATCCTTTTCGTAGCCTCCTCGGCCATATTAATAAGTATCAGATGGAACAGTTTCAAATGAATTAGGTCTTCCTATTTCAAAGATCGCACCGCCTGCCTCGATGCTCACTCGATCGTTCAGCCGGCCTTTCATACGGTGCAGAGTACTAGCCACCCTAGTCTCTGCCCCTAGCTTTTTAACCCGACCAACTACGTCGGCTAGGGGATTTCAAATGAAGCGATCGGAAAGATTTTCTTCGATAGATACGAATAACGTAAGGTTATATGCGCTTGGTGTAGTCATCCCTCCCATGAAGAGTCATTAATCTTATGGAGCCAGACGGAAATGAAAGGGTTGGTGTACTCTGGCCTCAATCAATGCGAGGTGCGTGACTGTGTAATACCAGCAATCCGGTCCCCAACGGATGCAATTCTACGAATGAATCATACAAGCATATGTGGGACGGACTTACACATCCTCGGGGGCGACGTTCCTACTGTTGAAAAAGGCAGGATACTCGGCCATAAGGGTGTTAGAACCATTACATCACTTGGGTCCGTAGTCGACTCCTTCTTTGTTAGTGAAACGGTTCTGATCTCCTGTATTTCCTCCTGTGGCACGTGCAGCGCATGCAAAAAGGGCATAAACTCTCATTGTGTAAAGGGGGGTAGATACTTGGGAATGTTATCGACGGGACCCAAGCAGAGTATGTACGCATCCCTCACGCAAACAACTCTCTCTATAGAATTCCAGGGAATATTGATCCTAGAGAAATAGTGGTTTTGTCCGACTCTTTCCCCACCGGACTTGAGTGCGGTACACTCAACGCCAACATTCAACCAGGCAACTCTGTCGTAATTGTCGGAGCTAGCCCGGTAGGTATTGCTGCAATGCTCACAGCTAAGTTGTATACCCTATACCTGATTGTTATGATTGATAAAGATGAAAAACGACTGGAGCTTGCTCAAAAGCTTGGTGCTGACAAGGTAATAAATGTGCAATCCTTCGATGCCATGGAACAACTCGATTCCGTTGTTGATGGCCGAGGATTTGATTCGGTCATTGAAGCAGTTGGAGCTCCTAGTACATTTGACCTTTGTCAAAAGTTGTTGGGTCCAGGGGGATCGCTGGCAAATATTGGTGTTCATGGCAAGCACGCAGCCCTGGATCTTGACAAACTCTGGGATCGGAACATTAGTAAGTTTATGTTCGGAGGTAACACAAGAGACCGCCTAACAATTCACAATAGACATAAAGACTCGATTAGTAGATACTGTCACCATTCCAAGCCTTTTGCGGCTATTCCAATCAGGTCGTCTCAAGCCATCGTTGGTTACGCACCGTAAGTAGCCGCCGTACTCTTTGTTTCAACATGCGTATGTCGGACCACTGACAAGACCAAGGTTACCCTTTTTCAGATATTCTAGAGGCCTATCAAGCCTTTCGATCGGCATCAAAAGAAGGTGTTTTGAAATTGGATATATACTTTTAGCGTCAAGTGTCGGCAACTTAGTATTGTGATTATTGCTTTGGCATCATTCGGCATGATCGACTCCTGCTCCAATCGAACTGCCGCTCAATAATTGACGACTTTTGGCACTATTATGACTGACGATCCCTGTCCCGCTTGATATGAGAAAAAATGATTATGAAATGCAATCTCTGTGTTATGATATTTGCTGAGGCTATTCACATATTGATATTGGAGCCTCAGGCACCCACGGGCCGAGGATTCTGCCAAGGCGGTGGCCAACCGGCGGTCAACCGGTAACCCCTCGGCAGCGATTCAAGATAGCCACACTGCATACAGCCCACGTCTACAGTATGTGCCATGCGTTGGCCATGCAGTGGCCTTTCGCCATGGGTTCCCCCTCGAATCGTGTTTGATTATTGTTTGCACTAAAACTGTTGTATTTAAATTGATACTTGAGGAAGTCGGATTTCTCTTCCTTAAGAAACAGTCTCTGTGATAATTTGACTTAGTGCTTTACTCTCCTACTTAGTTGACAGGCCATCTACCCTGTAAGTAGTATACCCTTAATAATTCTATTTCTTCTTCTTTAACTACCTAGGAGAGATAGCACCCGTTACTCGTTCTACTCCCTATCCCATGGGGGTAAATCAAACGCGACGTATTGCATTTAGGGTTATGACTTAAGTATGGCCCCACTTGGCCCGTCAGGGCATGCATTGTATTTATTTTTGTGCACGCATTGCATTTAGATTTACCGCTCAGATGAGGCTGAATTTTAGATATGATTTTATTCACCAGTTCACTTAAGTTACTCTGAAATCTCAGGGTTTTTCAGCGATTAGAATGTCTGTCTTGGCGTAGTGAAAGTTGGCTGGTTTTTGATGGGGTACGGGACGGGTGATTAGAGCACTTCCCGACCAGTCCAATACTAGGTCATTATTATAAGCAGTGAGTGTACGTAGCGATTTAGTCACGAGATCGTAGAAAGGTAGGAGTAGACATTGACATCTCCCACGGGACTCCCACCGTGGGACCTGGGACTTCCCGCCATGGACGGGAGTTGGGACTAAGCTTTAGTCCCATGGGCGGGACTAGAAGGGCCGTGGGACTCCCATGGGAGTATGGGACTTCCCACGGGACTGTAAACAGTGCAAACAGTTAAAATCCTGCCACTTGCATAAATTGTGCGCTTTTCCTAGTATTTTTAAGTATTGCACTTACTATATTACTCTAGATAGCTCTATAGATCCTCGATAGAGATTCAATAAAAGATAGGAAATGTAAGTTTATTCGTATGTTACGTCGTAGTCATCTAAATTTCTTGGACGTTTCCTTGTCCTTCCAGACGTCCGCATTTGACTATAGCCCTCCTTATCCTGTGGCAAAGGGGGTAGTTGAGGTTCAGTCTTATCTTCTTCCCCATAGGAATCCACACTCTTTCGTCTCCTTCCCAGAGCTCGCTGGCTACGTTGGGATGTAGCGGATGGTATATAGGCGTCGAAAGGAACGGAGTTTACCTTATATATCTTATCTTCACTCTCATCTTCACCTTCAGCTTCATCTTCATCTTCGTCTTCATCTTCGTCTTCATCCTCATCCTCTTCATTGTCACTGATTGGAACCGGGGTAAACTGGCCTAGTTTTGCCTCTCTTCGTAGCGCTGCTTGCTGTCTCTCTTCGGCGGTAGGCTCTTCCTCCTTATCGGATTCACCTGTAAGATCTGTTGTATCAAGATCAAATTCGGAGATACAGCGATACATCATAAGGTCTTGTATAGCGGTCTCGCTAAGACGACCCCGTCGATAGTGGCACACGTCGCGAGCAGAGTTAAAAAGACGCTCCACACCAGCCCCGCTAGCAGGGATAGTAAATACATCGCGTGCCATGCTTGCGAGTGTAGGATATTGATGCTCATGCTCCCGCCAGAAGTCACAGGGATTCTTGTTCAATGTGCCTATTAAAGAAACGTTAGAATGAAAAATCAGCGGATATTCGAATGGAAGAAATATACCACTATTAAGATAATGTGTAAGCTCATCGTCAAATACAGGGCCAGTCCGTTTCTCTTGGGACTGAGAGGGCTCGGAAGGGTTATCATCATCCAAGAGCAGTTCAATATCATCCTTCTGCTGGGTAGAGGGTCGGCTGAACTGTGACTGCTCTGTCTCCTTTTGGCGCTGTTGGTAGGGCTCGAGGTATTTTTCCATGTAGCCTCGGTAGGTCTTACGCCATTGGTAGTTGTTATCGGACCATTCACGCTTCGAGAAGAATTGCAGCTTGTACCGCGGCGCAAGGATAGTGCCAATTGCATAGAGATTACCATGAGCGTCAGTCTGGCTATAATAGTCAGAGAGCTTTTGACGGCCTGCTTCGAGCGCCCCACGCATAGTTGCCTTCCAAGGAACCCGTTTCCGCTTCAGTTGGCTGATGGAAAAGTCAAAATGGTCAAACAGCTTGTTGTAGATTCTAAAGATCTGATGGATTGTAACATCTTTGATCTTAGAGATAGCCGTGGTCCACTGATGAAAGGGTTGAGTGATACAAAGAAGGTAGTCAACTTGCCGCCACTCTTCCGTGTTTAGTTTAAACTGAGGATAGTTATGCTCACTGCAGTACTCATCATACGCCTTTGAGAGCCGCTTAGCGCGCTGAAGCATAAGGAATGTTGAATTCCACCGCGTTTTGACATCCTGGATAGGGAGAAGCTTTGGTTCTTTACTTTGAAGGTTCAAAAACGCTTCTCGGCGCTGAGAACTAGCGTTGACACCTATAGCTAGGCCACGGACCTAATATTAATAAGTAGATAGATCTCTATAAGATAAGATCAACTGATAGATATAAGGTAAGACTTACTTTTGCAAGAGTATAGATAATACCTCGCTTTCGAAGGTGTTTCAGGGACGTATCCTGTTCAGCTGACCACTGCCGATCTATGCCATCGTTCTTTGGGTTGAGCTTCATCATCGTGAGGAGATCCTTTAGGCTGAGTTGGATAACATGCGCTAAGCAAGGAATTCGGACAATTGGTATATGGTTTGGAAGATCTAGGGCTTGCATTGACGTCTGTATGCTACCAACTAGAGTGTCGTTATTCGATGCGTTATCAGTCGTAACAGCAAGCACCCGATCTATAATCTGATGCTCTTGTAGACAGTCGAATAGAACCTGGCTTAGATTAACACCGGAGTGCTTTCCATGTAAGGGTTCAAAGCCAAGAAGGATCTCCCGGTACTTCCAGTTTTGGTCGAGGAAGTAACCAGTAATTGCCATAAAGGCCTGTTGAAAGGGAGATGTCCAACAATCAAGAGCAATTGAAAGCTTCGCATTTGGTGGGAGGTCTGATAGGATACGATGCTGATCTTCTTGCACGATCTTTCGAAGACGACGTCGAGCAGTTCGAGGGGTAAGGAGTGTAGGGTTTGACGTGGCTAGCCGAGCCATTGATATAAGGTCTGCAAGGCCTTCATGCGCAAGGATTTGAAAAGGAAGGTTTGATTTAGTGATAAATCTGACCTGACATCGTTTCCATTGCTCCTCACTGAAAGATGGCTTCGAACGTGATGTGTTTTCGGCCTAGATTAGAAGAGTAGATTATTAGTTTACTGGAGTTAACTAGTGGAATGTTTGTATTACCATATATTCGATTGATTGGTGTAGTGTCTTCTGCCTTGCTGTATTATTTGCAGCTTGAATGCATGTTCCAGCCATGAAGTGGCGATTCATAGAATTAGTCCCGTTCGCAGTTCGCCCTGGGTGTGGAATGGTTTTTCCACATCTTCGGCACATAACCATTGCCTCGCCGGTGATATAGTTGGCCACTTGGTCAAAATGCTGCCAGATCTCAGCGGAGTGCTTTGTATCCCATCGCATCTTCTTTTGACGTGATCCTGTCGTTGTCGCAGCCTCAGTCTGTAACCACCAGATCACAAAGTCGTTTTTATTCATTTCGGTATATTTTACCCAGGACTTCTTCCGATCAGAACCAAACCGCTCAAGGGTAGAAGGAAGAGCAAGAGGAGGTGTAAACTCAGAGGATAGCGTAGGATATTGAGTTCGTTGATAAGATGAGCTCCCTGCTATGAAAGAGCTATCATCTAATTCGATATCGGTAAGGGGGTCTATAGGATCACTCTGATAGAGAGAGGAAGGCCCAGCGTCAGAAAATTGGCTGAATTGAGACATAGTTGAAGAAGAGTAGAGTGTGTAGCTAGGGGAATCGAAAGAGAAAGGACTTACCTTATGGCGAATTGGTAGTTGCGACCGGAGGAATTCAATAATAACCAGGGTGAATTCAGCTGAAAGATGCAGTTGATCTATCATGGTTGATAAGGAGACCCATAGTAGGCACTCTTCCGATTGGTTAATCCCGTGGGAAACTCCCATACTTCCATGGGAAATCCCATGGGACCTTGTAGTCCCATCGATTTTCGGTCAGACCACGCCCCCCGACTTTCAAATTAGATAAAAAATATTTCACCTATATTTCAAACTGCTATTTCTGCACCCTCTTATATTACATACCTACTAGTTTTGAATATAAGATGGAGATTAGATAGCGTATATAACTATAAACACTTCTAATTAGCTAGCTTTTTTTAAATAGAGCAGCATTCGTATTAAACAAAGAGATCTCGTTAGGGATGGTGCTGCGGTACTTGCATAGAATATATATTTCCTACTCCATATACTTCATCTACCGCTATATCTTCTAAAATAACCATCCAGTGATTGAATTATTTTAAAAAAGATAGGAATCTTTAATTTCTAATACCTAATTAGCTATATACAATTAGATTTCATAAAATTTCCTAGGAATATAGCTGAGTTTAGGGAGATGTTAAAGTAGTATACCAAAACACTGTTTAATAACAGTGAAAATTCGGATGAATCATCATTTTATCCATCCTATTCGGGAAAATTATGCAAAAATATGAGCTTGGCGGGACTCATGGGAGTCCCACGGGACTCCCATGGGCGAACTAAGAGACTTTGTCCCGTGGGATTGATGGGACTAAGGTCATGGTCCCGTGGGAGTGGGACTAAATTTTTACTAGTCCCATGGGAGATGTCAATGTCTAGGTAGGAGAATTTTCAGGGGTAATATTAATATTTTAGAGAATTATTTATCACAGTATCAATTCATTCGCTCCATCCATCGCTTAATCCCATAATCAGTGGAGTGAGTCAGATCTAACGTACTGCTAAGAGCCCCTAGTCAATATCGGGATGGTCCAGCTGTGGCAATATCCCTACGTCGTTGCCTACGCGGGTTTCGTAAAATATCACGTGACATGTGTTTTATAACTGTACGGTTCATCCATAGCCCGTGGCCAACCGTCGCATCCACCCACGCCTCCGTGCTAGTTGCTCCACGCACGAACGCTTAAATTAATGCCGAGCAGGTATGCGGCTCAAATTCAAGTTTGGCTGGTGGTGGATCAAATAATGCGATGTCCTAGAAGCTTAGACATCCACATGCTACGATGGTTAATACTACTCTAAAGATATTTATCTATTAGTTTGCGGTTATGTTCAACGCACAAGTTAATGGTTCTCTCACGTGACAAAATATCTCTGTGCCGTTGAATACAAGCTGCGCCTGCCATCGCCATCCAGAGCAACGTATGGGGCAATACGGCGACAACGGAGCTCCAATTTGAGTAAGCAGACTATGTAGTACAGTGAGACCTGTGCATGTCAGGGCAGAGGTCAATTTTGTCAACGTCAAGTCAACGATCCAATCATTTTGAACGCAAGAAGCAACGCCAGTAGGGCCGTCATTCCAAGCGACACGTAGCCCACCGCTTCTACATACGCGGATATGACCAGTGTGAGAAACAGTAAACCAATGACCAGAACAAGATATAAGCTATAAGACCAGAAATCCCTTATTTTGCGAGATTTGTGGTTGGGCATTATCTGAGCAAATGTAAATGAAAAATTGAGCGCGTCCATAAAGAGCAGCCAGCTGATTGCTATCAGAATTCGCACTGTTGACATATCGAACTTGCCATGCCGGGATATTTTGCTCGGATCGGCAATTTCTATGACGATGAGAGCGAAAGAAATCGAAGCCCCGAGCGTCGCGACTCTTCCGATGTTTCTGTAGAAGTCATCTGAGCGTGTGTTGACGGCTATCTGCATCAGAATTGGGCCCAGCTCTTCAGAGCAAGTGCAAATGTGGGTCTCAGTTTTCGTACTGGATGGCGAACCATCGGGAACCGTGGCATGCCTGGAAGATGTCAGATGGAGTAGATTTCCTTCGAATACGCAACTGACCCATCTTCCCCAGTGTCTGCATCAGCTTTCCGCCTACGGGGAAGAATGGTGGTCTGCGGATAAATGACCCCTCCCTGGCTGGTAACGCTAGCATAGGAGGTGATATTTTCAGAAAGCTTCCCCTTGCCGCTAGGATATTGATCAGGTAGCACAGTTGTGAGTCCGGTAAAGGGAAGCTGAAGCCCTTTCACACATCCGGCACCGACAGCTGCTGACAGCTCTTTTGGGGACTTGGTCATGTTGTTTGCTGTGTAATATTGGGACCTGTGATTTACTAGATGTGGTTAGTTTGCCGTTCTCGGCCTACACACACACACACACAATTCATTAACGCCCGGCGGCTGAGCCGAAAGGGCAACTATCACTAATCTACCAGTACATGCATGTTTGGGTATAAGCCGTGTCTCCTTAGAGCCCATACAGTACTTCCTTCCGTATTTGCCATTTCAATTTCCAATCTCATAGCAGGTCCCTGTGGGTTAGTATTGGTTAGTAGACTGGCTTGAAGTCGCTTCTTCAAGTGTTCAACATCCTATCTTCGGCAGTTGAAGCGCGTCTACCGTCTGTCACAAGGGGTTGGGTTGGGGTTAGTAAGAGGGGTTATTTTGTCCGTTCGTCGGCAAGGTTAAGTGGCCTCAAGTCGGCCCGTAGCGATGGCAAACCGTACTGAGGCTCGCACTGCATCTAAATTGGGTGTCCACTTCTGGTCATCGGAGGGCGATTTTCCACCCAAGAAGAAGGAGATATTACTTCGGTGAGTGTGGGTACATTGCAGCATTTCCGTTCGGTACGCGGTCCACTTCCGACATCGAAAGAGAAAGTGGTCCACCGTCTCTCTTGCTTGTCCACATGCACATTAATCTGTCTCGGCGGCATTGATTCGAAAGAGATATCTATTAAGTCTTGCCATACCCGTGCGGAGCTAGGCCAGCACGCTCGCCTCTTTCCACGATAATCGGTTATACAGCTGTCGCGTGTGTTTTCCTGGAAGGGCTTGATCCACTCGTCTGGAATGTTTTCCGATGCTCTCGGGGAGGTTACTGCTGGGGATTGCTTAGGCACGCGCGATCTTTAAAGTCGTCGATTTTATTTTGGGGACCTGTCTTTGCGGGATAGCATCTTCTTGTGTCGTAGCTCTAGCTTGATCTTTCGCGAGGCCTAGCAGTTTGTTGTCCTCGCTAGTGGGGATCCATCGGATGCTAATGTGGTTTCTATGCCTCTGCAGTCATCTCATCAGCTTGTAGATTTGATAGACAAATTCCTAGCCCGACTGTTGTCGAGGGTTCGTCAACGTGAGAGCCGCCGCTCTGTTGCTCGTGATTAGTGTGATCCTAAAGTCTTTCAATCCCACGAGTGTCTTTAGTGTATGCGCCATTACCGCCAGCTCCGCGGAAAATGGATTTTGCTCTGTTCTCGCGCTTAACGTGACGGACAAGGTCTTCAGTCTCACTTTCCGATAGCGAGGTGGTTATTTCTCGATCGCCACTCCAAACCCGACTAGCTCATTCCGCGCCGAGCTGCTGAACGCGATCTGCATTGATCCGCCTAGTACAGTTAATCCCTCAGAAATGGGCTTATCAGTCTGCACGCGTACTTCCTATAGGGCCAGTGTAAACGGGTTAATGGTTTCCAGTGATTCCATCGCGATGTTTTTCAGCGCGTCCGCTACCTGATATAGTGGCGAGCGGTGGTATCTCCTGAACTTCCGGATCCGATCTGTGGTTCTGCGAAGAGGATTGGTTTCTGGTAGTGTGTGGAGGTCTGCCTATATATTCACGGCTCTTGATCCACTTTGCGAGCCTTCGGTGCGAAATGTATAATCGCCGTTTTGTCTGCTTCAAAAGTTGCTCCGCTCCTCTTCTCCTAGTCGAGCGCTTCACTGATAATAGTTGTGATACCTTCCCGATTACTCTACACGGTTAACCCTATCACCCACGCGGTAAAGTTATCCACGAAGGTAATTACTCCTCCTTGGCTGTCGATTGGTCTCTGCACGAGGTCGGCGTTAAAGAAGAGAAATAGGATTAGAGATAGGGGCGAGCCCTGAGGGAGTCTAGGCTATAGCAGGTCCTGAATCTCCGATAGTTGCCTATTGATCTGGATGGCTGCCGTTCGTCCCGAGCAGAACGCCTTAACCCACCGTAGCAGAACCTCCGGTATACCTCGCGCTTTTATCCTCTAGATTAGTCGTTCCTTATAGACCCTATTATAGGCCCCTTTGACATCGAAGCTGATTAGGCTTAGCACCCGTCGCCCTCGCTATGCTGCGTAGATTTGCTCCTGTAGGAGTAAGAGTGCGTGCTCCGCGGACCGCTACTTTCGGGCCCCGAAGTGGCTAGTCGGGAGTAGGCCGTGGGTCTCTACTACGTGCGAGATTCTTTCTGCTACTACCGATTCTAGGATCTTGCCTAATGTTGCGAGCAGTGAGATCGGCCTCTATGCCTTAGTAATAGTGTAGTCTTCCTTATTCGGTTTCCTTAGCGGGATGATCTTTGCGTGTCTCCACTGTTTCGGTAGCGTGCCTTCTTCTAGTGACGCCTAGAAGAGATCGAGGACCCGGTGTTTGACTGTGGGCTAGGTCATCTTCCACACCACGGCTGGTAGGCCATCATCGCCTGGCGCCTTCCAGGACTTCGTTGCGAGTAACTACCGCTCTACCTCTTCCATAGTGATGGTCGGCATCTCTACCGGCGCTCTTTGCGGCCTGGTTCCCTCATCGTTAATGCTATCCGGCAGTGGTGGGAAGAATTTGGTCAGTAGTTCTTCTGCCTGCTCCCTATGATCGGTGGTAACTGTTCTATCTGCTTTGAGGAGCTGCGGTACCTTCCCGAAGGCTGTATCTTCCCCTGATTTCAGATACTTGGCAGCTTTCCAGATGTTGTCGTTGTCGGCCAGAAACTTGTTCCAGTGTTTCTTCTTTTGTTTCCGAATCGCGTCATGGTATTGGTGTCTCGTACAGTGCGTTGCGAAACCGGTGCAACCGCCTCCACTCTTTCAGTGATTCTTTAGACTTACTGCCAAGAGGCACTAGAGCGTGTTAGAAGTAGTTCCGGAATAATAATATTTCTGTGCCAGTTTCGATACTACAACCTCTGTCGTTAAATACGGCACCTTGTCTCGTACCGTATTAGCCACTACAGTGGTGTTTCATTAATCTCCAACCACCTCTGCTCTACCGCCTAGTCTTCCGCTCTCCGCTCTCAGCAGGAACTTTGCTTGTCTTTATCGCATCAGAAAACTGATTTAAGATCGTCTCCTGAGCATATGTTATGTGTAATATAGACAAGGCTCCATTTAACAGCCCAGAAAGCCAAAAGTAAACGTCTGATGTAGAATATTGGGTAACATTTTGAAAGGCAGAATATTATGTCATCATCAAGGTGGTCGGAAACTCATGAAACACCTGCATAAGCTCGCCTGGCTGTGAGAAGAGCGGTAGGTCTGACTGCTCTGGTTGGTTGATCTGTTCCTGGGAACGTATGATTGTTTTGACTCCATGCCATGCTCGATATGATCTCCCAATAGGGGTTTCAGGTCTATTGCTAGCTGGAGGGGATCCTGGGAGCATTCTACTCGCGTGGAGCAGAAAATGTGTTGTGATACCTGGCACTTGCTGCTCAGGAATGAAGCCGCAACATCGGAAATAATTCCTGCTCTATGTATAGGAAGAACCAAGTTGATTTCCAATCAACTTAGACTTCATGCTGTATATATAGCCTCATGTACTTCCTCAAGAAGAAGAATTAAGCTTCCTTTTGTATTTACAACAGGTTATGAGCCCGAGTGCAACCACTCGGGTGCCGTCTCTACCCACACCGAGACCTATTCAATTCTTTGACTTATGATTATATATTACCCCGCTTCCTCAATATCATATCGGCTCTCGTCCAGGACTCCCCTAACCGAGCCGTCACAGCCATTGAGCCTCTGATAGGAAGCGATAACTACGCTACCTAGAAGCGCCTTATGACTTCCTACTTAAAAGCTAGGTAGGTCTGGGATGTAGTTAGTGTCGGGCGACCTCTAGCGTCCAGATTGCCAGTTCAAATATGCCAAGCTAATCACGGCGGATATCACTCCGCTTATAGAGCCCTACCTTAATAGGGCGGTGCGGCAGAGGGCTATCGAAGCACGCCTCGAAGTAGAGGTCTAAGCTTTCGAGCGTCATAAGTAGGCTTCATCAGGGCCCACGAATGGGCCGAGGACTTCGGCCCATGGCCCAACCCACGGTGGGCTTGGGCCCTAACCACCAGCCCAAGACCTAACCCCCAGCCCACGATGGGCCCCTATTGGGGGCCCATAGAAGCCCATTTTTGCAGAAAATCAAGGTCTTAGCGTTCATAAAACTGCTGAATCATCAGAATAAAATACTGTCATTTTTCGCCGTTCTAGTTCTTACTCTTATGAACAAGACTTCCTTCTCTAAAATGAATGAAATGTAGGTTAATATTTGTATGATCAACCTAAAGCAACCCGTTACCAATTAACTACTACCTAATATTAATACTATCACTTATTATAGTGGTGTTTGGATAGTCGTAAGAGTTATAGGGTCTAAACTTCCAGAGATATATTTTTAGCGAAGTGTATCTTTAACACTGAATAAATTATACTAGCGACTATTCTTATTCTAGATTCCGTGGATATATAATCTATACTATTACTGCACAAAGCGTTATATTCTAAATTAAATAAGTCTCTTCTTTAATCATAAATTTATATCGAAAGAGGGTGATAAGATGAGTGGAAAATTGTCGGCTGCTTTTACTCTTAGGGTGAAATAAAAATTTTAAAGATTCTAGAGATAGGAATAGGCTAGGAATAGGCTAATTATAGGCTCTTATAGGCTCTAGTAGGCTATTAATAGGCTCTTATAGGCTCTGGTAGGCTATTAATAGGCTCTTATGGGCTCTGGTGGGCTATTAATAGGCTTTCGTGGGCTCTGGTAGGCTATAGTAGGCTTTAAGGAGCTCGGCCTACTTAAACCCGTGATATCTAACTAATTAGCGATTAACTTGATATATTAGAAGTACTTATTTCCTAAACTCGGTATTTACCACTAAGTTAACACGTCTCCTAGCCTTAGTACTATATATATCCCCTTTCTCCTTTCCTACCCTTTCCCTTCCTAATACCTTATTTTAAATCCTTATCTTTCTACTACTATATTAGAAAGCTAGCAATCTGACTTTACGTCGTTACTTTATAACGGAGATATAGATACTCTTACTTATCTTAC